CACAAAAGATTGGGAACCGAAATACAACAAAACATACAAGAGCATTAACACAAATCAAAAAGGTCTAAAAAGCAACGAATTCTTTTAAAGACAAATTGCCTCGAGGAGTTGCAGCCTTATTTTTAGCACACTTACATAATTTATAACCATTGCACAGAGACTGTGTTTTATGATGGGGTTCATATTTCAAAGTCTGTAGTTTTCTGTGTAGTGTTTGTTTTTTTTGTTTTTTTTTTGTTTTTATGGAATTGTATTTTTTATTTTTCCCTTTTGTCTTGTGGTCATGGTGTTGTCTATCCCTTTAATTAGGGCGCCCGCTTGGTATCTTCTTGTTTATTAGTAAGTCTAAAAGAACGCAAATTTGACCGATTTTATGTATGTAATGTAGAGTTATCGCGCTTAGTGCTTCCTTGGATAACGACTGTGTTCTTGATTAACAATAAAGGAAATGTCAATTTATGATTGATTGATTGACTATTGGTAGCTTAACGTCCAGTGGAAAATATTACATGCATGCTCAGGAAGAGAACAAATTAAAAATAAATACAATAAGAACGTCTTGTAATAGAATTATTAGATGCCGTTCGGGATGAATGTAGGGGAAATTTGGACTGCCACTGGAAAATGAGGGTATATTGAATAGGGACAGAAATTTTACCTTGCAACTGGCAACCTACGGACCCCTCAAAGAGCTGTTGCAAGGGCACTCTCTCTACACGAGGCATCGGATTTAACGTCGCCATTCCGACCGGACGTGGATGCGTACTTATACATCCCGCGCAGCAAATGGACGCCCTACTTTGTCAAGGATTTTACTGACGGTCGGAAGAAGTTCTCAGTGACTATATTTCTGTTACCCAGTCACCCTTAGGGGATTCATAATTGAAACAACTCTTTAACAGATTATCAGATAAAGCACTTAAAAAATGAAAACTACACTGTACATGTTTGAATTGCAAAAAATATTTGTATCCTGAATCTGTTGAGGCGGAAATCTAATACAATTTTTATTTTTTATGGTTTATTTTGTATTAGATTTTAAAACTATACTTATTTACCTGCCGAAAAATTTTGAAGTAGTCTGGGGGGATAATTATTTTCTACTGTTTGCTGTCATTTATGTCATTTCTGTCAGTGTTTTTCTTCATTATTTTTCGTCATCTGTCACAGGAAAAGTTTGAAAATGTATTAGCGCATTCCATAATCTTTAAACTACGAAGTAGATATAATAGAATGAAATTGCTTCTGGTGATAAATCTGAGTTTGCATTTAGAAAATGAAAAATGAAAATATCAGCATAAAAACGTTTAAAATGTAATAAGAATGCGTATGACTTAACCAGATTCGAGTAACATCTGTGGTGTCTTTTGTGTAAAAACTATGCAAATACTTATTTAAATATACTCTATAATATACTAACAATAAATCATCTAAATTGTTGCCATCCGGAAAATCGGTAACAAAATATATGCAACCAACAGTATATAATTTTCATCTATACTATTTTTTTTAATCAAAATTGAACAAACAAAGAAGAAATGGATGCAATTGGTACAACAATTAAATATTCTGGCCTTATCATCCAAAGTTCACCAAGTCCAAGTTAAAAAAAATAAAGTTCGACGTTTATATAAACCACACCTAAATGTAGATTCCAAGTTTGAACAGTCTAAAGGGGAACCACCCAATCTATGAATCTTGTAAACCGACTGTAATATCTGGCCGTACGGTTTATGTATGGGAAACTAACTGTAATACCTGGGAGTACGGCTTATGTATGGCAAACTGACTGTAATAAATGGGCGTACGGCTTATGCATGCCTTTAGTTCCAGAAATGTTATATTTATGACATGCTTTTTAGTCAATATTTACATCTCTACAATTCATGTTAATAGATATACTATTAGTACAGAATTGGAAATTAAATAAAATCACAGACGCAAGGGTTCGAATCCCGTTGTGGGAAGAATATATAGGTTGTGGTGTTAGCTCTTTATAACTATATCGTAAAGTTGTCACATATTCAGATGCATATGAAAAAATATATTGATGTGACTGAAAGGTAAACAAAATTATCATCCCTTAAAACAAACAAAAACAGCTGATCTGCAAGGTATGCCATCTGCATCCCACAATACATCATGTACTGTATTACAGCCCATGATAAAGCCGACCATGAACTTTAGGCAATACTCGGCTAACGAAATGTATATTTTTATAAATATAAGTTTGCCGAGTGGTATAAGGCACTGGATACAGTGCAGGAATCAGTGTAACAACCAATCAGCAAATCTTATAGGTATCGCATCGTCTAAAATTGAAGATATTATATATACAAAGACAGGAAAATTATAAATGTCTGAAGATTTGTGCTACGATACTTATATAGTAATATACGTATAAGGCTAAACAATATTGTATTATATACAAATACTTCGCCACAACAGGTGGCCTTCGTCAGTGTAAATTCTTTTAAAATACAATTTCAGTTCTCTTAAATTGGATAATATTTCATCTTAAATCACAAATAAATGCCATTTTTGTTTTTATTCTCTCAACCGTTTTAAACTTGGGCTTTAAAAACTTTTGGTCCAAAGCATATTTGTCGATGGTTAACCCAGAAACACGTGTTGTGCCTACGGAAGTCGCTTCATACGTTTTTTTCAACTGCTACAAATTATCCGAGAAATGTGGTTTGTGAATATCTATGTTCAATTGTGTAATGTTATGATCATCCAAAACAGAATGAATTAGCGGTTTACCTTATCAAAGGTGAACTTTTTTCTTCGTACTTACTTGTATAAATTATATACTAGTCCTCTGAGTTATAGCTGAATGAGTGAATATAGTGATTCCTAATTTGTCGAAATACAGTGTTACACAACTACACAAACTGTAACCATGGTAACGACTGTAAAGGAGCTGTTGCTTCGAAACGTTGAATCTTTATTTTTTTCTCCGGAGCCAATATACTTTAGAATATAATTATACAAAAGTATCACAGGAGAAACTTCTATCCTTTTAAAAGCCAGTATTTTTAAGAATGCAAGCTTAGAAATATTTGGAGCCCGGATGTCAACATTTCGGTTTCAAGGAAAACATACTTGGACCCATAAACAATATTTTTTTACCAAACGTGGTTTGATAATGCCTCATAGGATGATTAACACTTCAATTGACTTTGTGTTCAATGAATTAAAGGTCATGGTCACAGCAGCTATTTATAGACTGAAATTTTTGGCAAATTTTGGTTCCGCATTTTATCTGTTGAACCATTGTCCAACTTTTATCAAACTTGGTGTGATAATGCCCATGTGATGAAGAAGACCTCTAATGATTTGAGGTCACTATGTCAAAGGTATAAGTCACAGCAGCATTTGATTGACTGCACTTTTGGGTGATATACTTTGAACCATATGTCAAACTTTCAACCAACTTACCTAGAGAATGTATCTTGATAAAAACAAGACACTTATGATTTTTGGGATAGTAAGTCAAAGGTCAAAATCACAGTACCTATAAATTGACTCAAAAATTTTAAAGTTTTCTCTCCAGACTATGACCATTTGATCTTTACTAATATTTGGTGGATAATGCGTGACCATCTATAATTTTGAAAGTTACTTTAGTAAAAGGTCGAGATAAAGGTCACAGCAGCAATTGAGACTGAACTTTTAGTAAAATACGAGTTTGGATGAAAAAGACCTCTATTGATTTAAAGGTCACTAGATCAAAAGAAAGAACAGCGATCGATAGACTCTTATTTTTCTAGTTTTTTCTTCATTTGACATAGTTGTTTGACATAAATTGTCAGCATACACAAACATCTGTTGTTCTACTACAAATCAGTTAGATAGCAACTCGGTTAATGCACCAATGGTGCTTCTATAAAAACATTTAATTGCATTCAGAATGATCGTCAAGTATTTGATGAAGTTAAAAAAATGTAAACTTTTTTTTCTGTCGTCTTTTCAATATTTCATAACATTTATATATATGATCTTTGAAACATTTACACATAGTTACTCTGTCATAACGGAAATTTATCATTTAATAGCTTTGCATAAAATTTAAGAATTTTGCTTTTGCTATTATTGTACAAATGTCTGGATTGGATATGAATGCAATATACTAAAGTAACTTCAAATCGCATAGCTCCAGGTAACAAGCATGACTTATCATTTTAAATAAAAGCTTTAAAAGGTATGCTTTGTAAGAAGGTCTCTTGATCTTGTGATGTAAGTATATAAAGCACGCCGCTTAAGCGTCGTTCGTTCTATCAAATTATGGCTATTCGTCTGGTCTAATACAGTGCTCTTAAGTTACATAAAATTTAACAATTAAGCAATAAAAGTGTAAGTTACTGAGACAAAAATAAAAAAAAAAAATTGTATATTAGTTTGTGGACTTTGTACTGATTTATGTATGTCCAAAGCCTTATTTCAGACTGATCATTAAATAGTATTGACTAAATTGTAAGCTGCACCAAGTTATTAAAAATAAGAATGCCATATAGGGTAATATTGTAGGAAGTAAAAAAAGTGACAAAGAAAGGCATGAGGTCATACCACAAATGACAACCTTCGTAATGAATGACAAAAAAGTTGTCATTGCAATGTAAAACAGGTATGTTAATGAGGACAAACAATACATATGTGTTAGAACAAGAAGGTTACTAAGGGGCATTTCTTTTGAAAATTGTCAAAAGAACGATTTATTTTTTTTAAAACCACACAAATCGTTATTGCCAAAGTACACACATGAAAGCATTAAAGTATTGTTGGTTTTTTTTAAATATCTTGAATGATGGGCAAAAAAAAAAAAAAAAAAATAGGTGAAGATATCCCCATTGGTATTTGTCATCAATAATCAAACTTAAACCATCCTCATTCATGTGTCTTACCTACTGGGTTGCGTATGCGTAAACTCAGGATGTGACGTTTATTCTTAGAAACATGATTCCCAATTTTACGTATATAGTATTGAGGCTGTATAAATACAGAACATCCACGATCAATATCATTATCAAAAGTACATACTTAACTATCATGGCAAAACTTTTACTTTTACTAATTATTGCCACTGTTTTAGGACTTTGTTCAGGAACATTTTACTTCCATCATCATCAGTATCAGTATCGTAGGCAATATCATATGGGAACCCGTGTCTACACGCCTCCAGCAAGATTTTACCCCGGTCGTCTGCCACCAACTTTTATTCATACGCGTATTTTAATACCGTATGATTCTCCTAGATTTGTTGAAAGAAATCCTGTTCCGCCAACTATATTTCCAGTCGGTACCGTGTATCCATCTTCCGGTCGCCAGTTTCCAAATCCACTTGCAGATCTGAATACCTATGATCTACCACCATGGAAACCAACAGCTCCAGTGTTCAATAATGGCATTGTAGGTCCGGATGTAGATACTATTATCCCGCAGTTTTCGACAAATCTTAATCAAAATCCACAGATACCAACAAGTGAAGTGATAGCAGAAGTTCCAGCTATTCAACAAGTTCCAACTTTCCCAGACACTAACAATGTAGATAACTCTATTCCGGATTTTCCGTCAGCTGTGGTACCTTTTGTAGTACCAAATCCTCCACAAATTCCGATCTTTCCTGGAGTTGACATCAATAATAACCAGAACGGAAATGACTACATCGAACAGCAAACAACTAAGCTTCCACCAATAATTGTAGAAAGACCAAAGTCGTGTCAGGAAACGTAAGATTAGATTCCTTTTTTTCTTCTATACTTTTTTATTGCTGAAATATTTGTCTTACCGGTGTTAACATTTGTTCATCTGTTATATAAAATCTATAAAGTGTTCATGTTAGGGAAGTTTTAAATTCTATCAGTTACATTCCTTAATTTATAAAATTATTTTCGAAATTTTATAACAGCAAATTTTAATAAAAACAATATCCGTCTTTCCATGCCAGTACCAAAGAACTGGATACTGGGCTGGTGATACCCTCAGGGACTAACAGTCCACCAGTAGATGTATTGATCCAGTGATAGTTAGGTATTTGTACTTTAACAAAATGTTGCAACTTCTACAGGAAGCAAGTCATTTCGTACCTTGACCATTTCGTACCTCTGCCATTTCGTTATTTCATAATCATATTGAGTGCTCACTGAAATCTGTATCATACGATTATATTTATGTAATCAAAAGTATGTTTTCTCAATAGTTGTTTGACTTATAATTTTAAATTTCAGAGGGTGTGGACTTGGAAGTGAATGTGTATATAACTACAGCTATATATGTCCTAAGGATATCACAGATATTCCATGTCGCTGTCAAAGAGGTAAACACATTATGTAACTTAAATGGTTTTGTAGAAAACTTCCCAATTTAGAAATAAACATTTGGTCATATTAGAAAATAACAATATGAATTATGTGCTAAAGGCAGTAACAGTCCATTTTTTAAAGATGGAATCATATTCCAATTCTAGAGGTGTTTACTATAGGAAATGTGTATCTATAATTTACATTATTACAATCTACGCAATCGCATGTATCAACAAATATAAAGGTTTTTGTATGTGACTGTTCTATCTACTGTTTATATTAATTTCAACGTCATTTGGTCTCTGGTAGAGAGTAATCTCATTGGCAATCATACCACATCGTCTTATTTATATACATTAGACGATGGATTGTGTGAAACGATTGTTTGTGTTGTTATCTTACTGCAGCTTTCATAATTGATTGATTTGTTCTTATATTTTGTGTTTGTCTTGCAGGTTGCCGCATACAGTATACATTTATACCACTTGGAGTTGCCACGATTATTGACCCATGTGGAAATATTTGTTCATGCAACAGTTTATTTGGAGGGGTGAGTTTTCTTTATAAATTGCAACAAAATAAATAATACATACAATTTAGTAAAATTTCAAGATGGTTCTTAAACACTTACGGAGTCAAATGTGAAAATGCAAAGAATTCATATTATTTACTTTCAATTTATTATTTGCGAAACAAATTAGTGATGAAATAAGATAACGATTGCAAGAATTCATGGTATTATTTGGTAAATACGGAGTATTTTATCGGAACATTCAAAACAAATTCCTGGAACCAAATCAGTGTTATTCAAATCTGAATAAAATAAACAGTATATGTACGCGATGATAGTGTAAGACACTGCATTATTTTTATCAGCAAACGTTTTTACTTGTAACAAAAGAAATAAAAAATGAACATTGTCTTGACTTATTGGTATTATATGGTTCATTTGTCTTAAGGATGTTTTTTTTTGTAATAATATCTTTAACATTTAATAAATCTTTCTATAATTTTTTCCAGGCTAACTGTACAGATATTCCATGCAAACCAAAACAACCGTCAACTAACAATCCTACAACTGGGTTAATTCTAGAACCTGTACAAACTGGAATACCAGATGCAGGTCCCTTGCGAGGAGATTTCCCTGGAAATGTACCAGGCACAACACGTATGGAATTTCCGGTAACAATACCAGGTCAACAAGGAGGAAATTCTCCAGTTAAAGTTCCCGGCCGAGGAAAGCCGAACTTATCATTTCCAGAGCAGACCTTTGTTCCACCAATTCCATTTCTAACTGAAAACAAATTACCAGGATTTAATGGACATGAAGGTTTACCAATAGATTCGAAAGTCAGACTTTCAGAAAAGAATCTTGTATCAGACAAGTCAAAAACTGATTCCATGGTATTTCCAATTGCTGGTTAACAAACAGTAATCAAAATCCCAACTATGATCTATGGAATCCATTATTTATAGTATTAGTGCTTAGTTTAATTAATTTATTTATCGTTCATAACTTACAATTGGTCGATATATATGTGCTTTGTAATTGTCTTTTATTTTATCTATATTTACATTAAATCTTGTTTTCCTATTTAATAAATGTTCTTGACTCGTACTTTTATTTTCTTTTTGTAACAACTACAATACATATTCCTTGATATCAGTTGTGTTACACATGACCACAGGCACTTGTCTCTAAAAAACAAATTTCCTATATACGTGTTATATTAAGGTATATAGGAACATTTTTTTTTCAGAGACAAGTGCCTGTGTACATGACCTTTGGTTACATGTAATAATTGTAGATGTAAGTGCCCTTCAATATCGACTGCCTTTGGACGGAAGGGCTGCTCAAGAGGCGGCTGAAGATGTAAACATTTATAAATATGAAGTTAGTTTAAGGATAATAAATCCCAACATAAACAAAGTGAAAGCAAAATACATCACAAATAGCATGCTTTTGGTTTAGAAGATGCTCATTTCGTCAACATAAGACATCGATGGCACTCGAATCGAAACAGTTGAAAAGCCAAACCAATTACAAAATTGAAGAGCAAAGAAAACCAAAAAGTCCAAAAAGTCCGTCTTAATCTTGCTTTTGCAATCTATGCCTGGGGGTAGAAAATTTTCTGTGTTTCTAATGATTTTTAACAATTTTTCGAGAAAAAAAAATACACTCCAAGATTTATTTTTAAAAAATCTAAAATTAAATACTGAGATCTAAATCAAAATACACTGATATTTAAAAAGTTCTAACAAGAATGTGTCCATACTACACGGATGCCCCACTCGCACTATCATTTTCTATGTTCAGTGGACAGTGAAATTAGGATCAACACTCTAATTTGGCATTAAAATTAGAAAGATCATATCATAGGGAACATGTTTCAAGTTGATTGGACTTCAACTTCATCAAAAACTACCTTGACCAAAAACTTTAACCTGAAGCGGGACAGACGGACGAACGAACGGACGCACAGACCGAAAAACATAATGCCCCGAGGTGGGGCATAAAAAAAACCACAGAATTTAAATTACACACTGATAATTTCAAAAAAAAAATGTAACCACTGGAAAGTCAAAATTACACAATGCGAATTAAAAATTATACACTTAAATTAAAAATAAATGAAAAACACACAATAAGATTTAAAATGTTAACACAATGAGATTTGTTTGAACATATCAAACTAGCATACTAAGGCTGCGTTTTGCGTTTTGTAGATAAAGTTACCTATGGTTTCCATATTTGTGAAATATACATCTGCTCAAAGGTAACATTCTGTATCAAAACTTCCCCAAACATTTCTAGAAATACAACAACAAAAAAACGAAAAACATTTTAAGTCATACAAAACGAGTTTCTGATAATTATTATATTGAGGAAATTGTGACCAGACTGTTAGGACTAGCATGTACATTCCTGACTTAGTACAAGCATTTTCCGGAGAAAATGGTGGGTTAAACCTGGTTTTACAGCTAAAACCTGTCACTTGTATGACAGTTGATTATAGTTCTGTTATACACCAAAATAGTGTGAGCAACCGAAACAGACATGATTGATTAAAAAGACAATAATTTGGATACAGCAGCCAACATAGTGAAAACATCCATCATAGATATATGACAATATAACTAAATCTAATATAAACAAAAACAATCAGTGTAATTTTACTGAATGTTTTAAAACATTTCAAACTCCATGTGTTTTGTTTTTTTCAATCTTCGGATGTCAATTTTTCGAAGAATGTCATAAATGGAGTTTTGACGAAAACTGATAACCATAGTTCGGAGATTTTTCGTGTTTAGTTTTTGTTTGCCTGTATAGTACAATTAACGATCAGTATAAACTGCAGTCGAATAAATTGGACAAAAATTGCGTCAAATCTTAAAATGACAACCAAAAAAATAAAACATGTGTATGATCAATCACGATATGTAATTAATAGATATTAAATGTTTTGACAGAAATGAGCGATTCTAGTACATGTACGTATACATTGGCGCCACGATTGCAACACGTATTGGAGGGAAATGTCCGAAATAAAAATGTCCAACAAAACAGAAAAAAGATAGCGGTTAATTTTTATTGCTGTTTTGGCGATACGTGACATCTGTGTAATTCATTGACGCGTGCAGGACCTTAAATGACTTATGACAAAAAATACAAACTTCATTGATACATAATTGATACTAAAATAATCATTAATGAAATATAATTATTAATGACCGGAAGGAAAATGATGGTCACTAAGGATCGCTTACGTCAACGAACAGTCCTTGTTATTTCAGTACATCGTGTGATCTTTTTCCCGGAAAAGAGAGGCGAAGGATACCAAAGGGACATTCAAACTCATAAGTCGAAAATAAACTGACAACGCCATGGCTAAAAAAGAAAAAGACAAACAGACAAGCAACAGAACACAAAACACAACATAGAAAACCTTAGACGGAACTTTTGTTTAAGAAAGGAAAATGATGGGTCAAATATTTCCTACAAAAATATACTGAAAAAGATTTCTTTGAAATATTGAGACTGATACCTGTTTTAAGTTTTGATGATGACAGCGTACAATGCTACAAAAATAGACAAAAACAATTGTTTTCACATAAGATACAGTTTTTAATATAGATATTTAATTGAAAGAGCCAAGTCACATCATCTAAAATGAAGTGCACAATGATATAAGTCTATTAGCATTGGCAATATTTAAACATGGCAACGTTCCCTAGTAATTCAGTATAAATTAAATAATGAATTTGTTGTTTGATTCATTGACTGTGGCATAGAGCGCATTCATTGCTATGTATTTATAGTAGATGTGAAATTCATAGAAATGAATTATGAATACACGTTCTTTGCAGTTTACCCCTACTTTGTTCAAACTTTCAGTGCTACATCCGATAACAATGTATTTCTTTAATGAAGAAAGTATGGTATGGGGCAAATTTGGAATAATATTTCAAAATTGTTTTTAATTATAATGCATATTCCAATTTGAATGCTACGCAATGATAACAATAAGTACATGGAGAATGGAGACATTACACTCATTGACAATCTTTTTTTACCCACAAAAGCGAAAAAAAACTTAACACTGGTCAAAAATTGTTTTTAATTTTCATGGATGAACCACTTTTTGGCAGCCACTTATGTTGATCAAAGCAAAATGCTCCTAAAAAACTTATATTTCATCCTCGTTCTTTGTTTTTATGGGTATTTGTCTCAGTGGCAATTTAACCACAGTGACACCTCTTTATTTTTTTTATTTTCGCGCGCCAACATGTGTTTCTAGAATAATCACATGCGCTTGACAAAGGTTAAAAAAGCCAAAGGAAAATGTTTGTTGCTATACTGACCAAAAAGGACAGAAACGGAACAACCATAAGGGTCTAGATAGAACCTCCAATGTTGTCTAAATAAAACTGCCAAAATCGTCTTAATAGAACTGCAAAAATAGTCTAAATAGAACTGCCAAAATCGTCTAAATAGAACAGCCAATATTGTTTAAATAGAACTGCAAAAATCGTCTTAATAGAACTGCCAAAATTGTCTTGATAGAACTGCCAAAATCGTCTAAATAGAACTGCCAAATTCGTCTAAATAGAACTGCCAAAATCGTCCTAATAGAACTGCCAAAATCATCTTGATAGAACTGCCAAAATCGTCTAAATAGAACAGCCAATATTGTCTAAATCGAACTGCCAAAATCGTCTTAATAAAACTGCAAAAATAGTCTAAATAGAACTGCCAAAATCGTCTAAATAGAACAGCCAATATTGTTTAAATAGAACTGCAAAAATCGTCTTAATAGAACTGCCAAAATTGTCTTGATAGAACTGCCAAAATCGTCTAAATAGAACTGCCAAATTCGTCTAAATAGAACTGCCAAAATCGTCCTAATAGAACTGCCAAAATCGTCTAGATAGAACAGCCAATATTGTCTAAATCGAACTGCCATAATCGTCTGAATAGAACAGGCAATATTGTCTAAATAGAACTGCCAAAATCGTCTTGATATAACTGCCAAAATCGTCTAAATAGAACTGCCAATTGCCAAAATCATAGAAATAGAAAAGCCGACCAAAATCGTCTACTGAAGGTAAACTTTGCCTGAGGAATTTGCAACCTTAGTTTGATCACAATTAAATAAAATTAACAAACGAAATATATCACAATGATTTAAAGCATTTCAGTACCAAAGCGCTGGCCTTTAAAAAAGAGGATGGTACCATCGCAGACTGATAGTCTTTTATCTTATTCTGAAAATATCATATAGCCCCTGTTTAGGCCTATATTTAAATTTTCTTACAGCTGTCAACATCATACGTTGAAAACGTCATCAGTGGTGGTTTTATATAAAAAATAAAAAAAAAATATATATTTTCAATAAGATCATTAGGTCAGTTGACCTTAAGCTGCCTTATTATGCCAAAGAAAGACTACGCAAATATATATAGTGTTTTCACTAGAATATATTAATATTAATGTAATGATTTCAAGTTTGTTTTGAAAATTAAACAAATATATTTTTTTACATGTGTCAATCCTAAATGTACTTTGTGTCAATCAAATGTACGAAGTATTTTGTTTTTTTTTAGTACTTGTTTTGAGTACTTTAACCTTTGCTTTAGATATCGATTCCGATAAACATAAAATATAACCACAATAAAACGTCCAAGGAGACGCCAGTTATTTTTTGGATGATTATCTAGGTGACCAATCAATGGACCTTATGACTTTTGTTTAATATATGTAATACATACAAGTATATGACCGGTAACAACAGAGTTTGTTTCTGATTGTCGGTTTTATTGCTAACTTTGACAGTTTAGTTGTCCCCTAGAGGAAACCATCAAAAGGAACTAGATACACACAGGTGCTAAAACAGGGAAAATGTCATAAAATTACTCATCAAATGATAGAAGATATTCAAACCAATTGGCTTGAGCGAAATCATTCTTGTTCTCATAATAGTTATCGTTTTCTTATGCAAAGCTGTTGATAACAGTGAGCCTTTAATTTTATAATTATTCCATGGGACTTTTTTAATTGGAACTACTTACTTTCGTCATCCGTGTTATATTTTAAATATTTTCGAAATACAACAGTTACAATTACAGTCGAATTGTCGCATGGTTCTATTTTTGTTATTGAATGGAATAAGTGCTTACATTTACCAAGAAAAAACGGTCATTCATTGCGTAGACACAGTGAGATTATCCCCGCAATAGTCCACACATAAAATATTCGCATTGACACTTCGGCTACCAAATATCAACAGTGATGGGGAAGGCTTATTATTCCAACAAAAAATGATGACCAGGTATGCGGTCAGACGATGTGTAACGGTCATTTTTTTAAATTTGAACTGCGGTGTGGATTTAATGACTACATGATACGAGAAGTAGGAAAACTATCTTCAGTTCTATGAGAAGCAGTTAACTTCATTATGAAATTTTATTTTGTTTCGTGTTTTGTTTTTGTGTTTTTATTAATGTCGTGTGATGGTGAAGGACGGAATGAAATCCAGAGGAAAAAACGAGTCAAACATATTAGTACAAAGATATATAGACCTTCAAAGGATATGTATGCGAAATATCTAAACATGAATCCGCCGAGATTTCCACCTACAATTATTCATACACGTTTACGTGTACCGTTTGATGGGCCACCACCAAAATATAAATGGAAACCAAAGACATTACACTTGAATAGGGATAAAATGAGGAGTAAAAAGATGAACCCTGTTGGTAGAATAACAAAAAAGGTAAAGTGGTACCCATCAACAAATCCAGTTTTTAGGAGAAAAAATATTGGAAAAGGAAATCCAACGAAACAGCATGTGAAGAGGAAAATTTACAGAACAACAAAACAATTTCTTCCGTCAACTAAATCAGTATTTAAATACACTGTTGCTCCAAGAAAACCTCATCCAATCAATGCAAGGATGACTTATCCAGCAAAGAAATTACCAATTCGTACAACGACAATTAAACCACAAAGATCAAAATCAATACATCTTTTCAATCCTATAAATGACTATGTTCTTTCTACAGAACCTTCAACAACAAAAGCATCTGTTTTTATTCCTGTGCCTATTTTGAATGAGGTTATCATTGATTTGGCAAAACCAATGTGGCAAACAACTACAATGAAACCCATTCCAATTGCCAAAAACAAACCAGTACCTTCAGTATTTCAAAGTACAACACCGCTACCATGGCCAAGAGTTTTTACTCCTAGACCAACAAAAAGAAGTCAACCTTTACCTTCGATAATCTTAATACGACCTAGACCTAGACCGAAGCCTAAAACTACCTTTCCACCAATTATGTTACACCAAACTACAATGCCACAAATCATTGTGCCTCCCGTTTTTCCTGCTTTGTTTGAAGAAGCACCAAGGTTACCAATTTTGAAAAACAACGATGTGAAACGCATTCGTATACTTAAAACAACACAATCGCCAACTGATACCCAGAAAACCACCAGCACTGCTCAGACAACCTTTCAACCAACTGTAGCACCACACACCACTACTAAACAGTCAGGTCAAACGAGAAGGCGTGACACTGACGACAACGATTCGGTAAATATCAAACCTCTGCAAGAATCTTCAACAAAATCATTAGAACCTGTAACAAGATATGTGTCTGTTGAAAAAACTAGTACACAAGGTACTTTAACGTCTGTTTCAATGATTGATTTAACACATAACATCACAACCCTAATTTTGGATGTACTTGCAAAATCTTACACGAAATTTCCAACAAGTACTGGTCAAGTTAACATGATTAGTTCTACTGAGTTATCACCGGCAATATCTACGGAAATACCTACTCCAACGTTTAAACCTATTGTGACAACGTTTAAACCTATTGTGACAACGTTTAAACCTATTGTGACAACGATTAAACCTATTGTGACAACGTTTAAACCTATTGTGACAACGTTTAAACCTATTGTGACAACGTTTAAACCTATTGTGACAACGTTTAAACCTATTGTGACAACGATTAAACCTATTGTGACAACGTTTAATCATACTGTAGCAACGTTTAACCCTATTGTAACAACAGAAATGGCAACAGCAAGACACATTTCAATACCATCTGGACTGCCAATTGATTTCAGTCATCTTTTTGAAGTAAGAGAGGAAAAAACAACTACGAAAACGTCAATGTCTGAACATTCAACACAAACGCCTATCAGCTCAACAAAAAGTCCATTGGTAATCTCAGAATATGTAACGATGAGTGCACCAGTGCAATCTACATCTACCGTAGGAACGCCTGCAACGTTGAAAACGTCAGTAACTACAACATCGGAAATACCTACAACAACAACGACGGAAGTACCTACAACAACAACGGAAATACCTACAACAACAACAACGACGGGAATACCTACAACAACAACGACGGAAGTACCTTCAACAACAACGGAAGTACCTACGACCACAACAACAGAAGTACCTTTAACAACAGCTACAACAACGGAAGAACCTACAACCACAACAACGGAAGTACCTACGACCACAACAACGGAAGTGTATACAACCACAACATCAGAAAAACATTCAACCACAACATCAGAAAAACATTCAACAACAACAACAACAACAACGGAAGTACCTACAACCACAATAACGGAAGTACCGACAACCACAACAGCGGAAGTACCTATAACAACAACAACAACAACAGAAATACCTACAACAACATCAGCGAAAGTACCTCCAACCACATCAACCAAAACAACTGAAATACCTACAACTATGTTTTCAAAAATACCAATTTCTTCCCCATTGAATTTACCTTATACTACGACCACCCCAAATTTTATAACCAAAGGACCAGAAATCATTAAAAGGGGTGATAACATTCCTACAACTACTGAACAAATACAAATGAAACATAGTTTGAAAGTGATGGGGATACCATTATATCTACCTATGATAGGTGAGAATCAACCGACAACACCAGAAACCAGAACAATAAAAGGTGTATTCGTTCATATTCCGGTCACAACAGAACTAACATCAGACCAAACTGAGAGGAATTCTTTAAACATTACTTTTTCATCAAATAATAAAACAGAATTTTCGACAACAAGGTCAATGATTGAAAATAACGAGCAAACTTCAACGATGCTGACATCAAGCGAGTTCACTACATTGTTATCAACTTCATCTCCGGAGGAGTTGACAACAGAAAAACCAATTTCAGAGGAGTCAACAATAATATCCACTGCTGCAGAAAACCAAACAGAAATACCAGCAACTTCACCTTTAGAAGAGTCTAACACAATATCATCAACTCCATATTCAAATGTACCAACAGAAATACAAGAAATTTACTCTACAAAGAAAGCTGTAATGACCCCATCAACATCAACTCTGTTACCTAGTAGCACAACATTGAAAAGTACTACAGCTTCATCAACTACTTTAAGTACGACTGATTTGACAACGGATGAAACAGTGGATAGTTCCACAACACCAATAACTATCAGTACATCAACACTGTCTTCAACAACAGAAAGGGATTTGGATGCTTCTACATTTCCCTCAAATATTTCTACAGAACTATTCAACATTATCCAGGAAGCAACTACAACTAGGACAACACAAGATTTATTTTCTACAACCCGTATCACTTCCAATACTTCAACAACGACTGATTCCGAAATGATTACAACTCAAACGATAGTTGCATCGACAAATACTTCAACAACGACTGATTCCGAAATGAATACAACCCCAGCGATAGTTTCAACGACAAATACTTCAACAACGACTGATTCCGAAATGAATACAACCCCAACAATAGTTTCAACGACAAACACTTCAACAACGACTGATTCCGAAATTAATACAACTCCAGCGATAGTTTCAACGACAAATACTTCAACAACGACTGATTCCGAAATTAATACAACCCCAACAATAGTTTCAACGACAAATACTTCAACAACGACTGATTCCGAAATGATTACAACTCAAACGATAGTTGCATCGACAAATACTTCAACAACGACTGATTCCGAATTGAATACAACCGCAACGATAGTTGCAGCGACAAATACTTCAACAACGACTGATTCCGAAATGATTACGACTCCCACGACAGCTGCGACGACAAATACTTCGACAACGACTGATTTCGAAATTATTACGACTCCAACGATAGCGGCAACAACATTAACAACTTTCTTTACTCGTCCAACAACGACAACATCCGGGCAAACAACAACCAGTAAGAACCCAACAACAGAGGTAAAAATGATGTTTCCAGATCACGTTATCAGAATGTTTCCATCTTCTACTATGAAACCTGCGAACATGGTACCACACAATTGCATCACTATGTAAGTAACTTTTTCTTCTAGAAAAATACATGTTGTAGCTTACATATTTGAAATGTTCATTATGAATAAAATAGTTGCTGCCTTGACTGTTTACAAAACTTTTAATTTTTCGAAATACTAAGGATTGCCTACCTCAGGAATAGATTACCTTGGCTGTATGTGGCAAAACCATTCGGAATTGCTCAATGCTCTCCAACTTCGTACTTTATTTGGGCTTTTTAACTTGGTTGGTTAGAGCGTCAATGATCAGTCTTTTGTAGACGAAACGCTCGTCTGGCGTACACAATTTTAATAGATATAGGAAGATGTGGTATGAGTGCCAATGAGACAACTCTCCATCCAAGTTACAATTTATAAAAGTAAACCGTTATAAGCCTGGTATCTATGTTGAGTTTATTGAAGTTGCAATAAATGAATTTACCTCTGAAGCAGGATAAAAGGTTTCTTGTGGGTGGTTAAAGAATTACTCAGTCTTATGTCAAAAGTGTTGCACCTATCCCAAACTCGAAACATTTTCGAAAACTAATTTGAGGTATGATTTTGATGAAATTTTAATGTTGAACTCATAAATGTGTACAATTGTTATGGTTACTATGAAATATTTTTATGACCTGTCGTTACTGCGAAATCATTATTTCAATAAAAATATTGAAATTCAGTGTCATTTATTTCTATATTACAGCTATATGTTTTTTTTACGTGCAGAAATTCACATTTGTCTTTACACAGTGATGTTCTTAAAAGTATAAATCATAGATATATTTCATTATTATTGCAAGAAACTGCAGACATTTCTGTATTTAATGGGAAAAATCATTCAATTTGGACAAGAAATATCTTCAGTAGAATCTTTATTAATAAAAGTGTTTATGTGAAATGATAGGGGAAAAGTGTTTGACCTCGGACTGTACATTTATGATAATTTATTAACCACAAATATCGTTCAAATTGCAGCTACATGACATATCAGAATATTATCATAGTCAAATCATTAATATATAAAGTAAATTTTTATTTGAAAGAAACTATACTTTATACAAGGCGATATCTTCTAAGCAAATATAAAGTTGAAGATGGAGTATATGTGTTTTTAATACTTTATATGCCTTAAATTTCAACATGTATTTATCATTTACCTATTTTCTATTCAAGGGGGTGTCCGAAAGGTAGAGCGTGCTTATCAGATCAAAACACTCTTTGTTTTAAAGGCGAAAAAGCAAGTACATGTTTCTGCAAACCTGGTAAGTATAATTCCTTTTCTTTTTTTATTGTTTGGTATTTTTCAAACAAATCTTTATCAAAATATCTGTATTTTGACAAACCATCGCTCTTATTCTAAAGCCTTGAACATTGGTCTCGAAACTTCAACGAGAGATGGCACAATTCCCAATGTAGAACTTATGAGTTTAAATGTCCCTTTGGTACAGTACTGTATCTTTCGCCTCTCTTTTATATTTTTATGAACTTTCAAATAATTGAGACCGTGAATTAAAGTTAAACATTCATGAGACACCGTTAAAATTAAACTGTTACCCTGTGACAATGAAAACGAATCACATTTAAGGGCTTTAATCTACTAGAATTTTATTATAGGATGTAGACATGAGAATATGTACATTGAATTAGGACAGCCTGTTGTCATGGACCGTTGTGGCAATTTGTGTTATTGTGGCAAAGGCGGATTGGTAAGTACATAAACACATTAAGGTTTTATCTATATTACTAAAAGAAAATTTTTTCGTATTTTTCCAGGAATACGAATGGCTCAAACTGAAAGAGAATATATTTATATATTTGTTCGCGCATTTGGAACCACTTCTTACGGGAATAAACTTTCTTCGCGTTTTGTTTTTTGCAAATGCATTGTGTATTAAATGTGGAATTCTCCCAACAGTAGAATACTTTTGAATTTACAAATACTCCTAATAAGTACAAAATTGTGTATGAAACTGTAGTGAATAAGTAAAGTCCCACTTTTGGAAAATACATGAATAATACATTTTTTTAAACACATACATAGTTGTTTGATCTGTATATCTGATTTTAAGATAAAGACAAATCCAATTTATTTATGAAATTGCACTGCATAAGTTAATAAATGTTTTGATATGGGATAGATCGTTCTCAGCAAAAAATCTCATTCTGTTTTTTTTTTTAAATAAATTAAACATGGTAATTATCCCAAACAAATAAATTGACGTATCATCTGAAATACCGGTTACGAATGTCTAATCAGTGAATATATGGTCCTTCCACCAAACCTCGGTAATTCCGGGTACTTGCAGTGAAAAAGTAATTCTCTAATTTTTCTGCTATTTTCACATTTCTTGATCGGTGTGAGAAAAATATTTCTCCTCAATAGTGAAATATTTGTTCTCGGCAAATGATTGGTCGAAATTTAATTATGACGTCAGATTTTCTTGGGTTTCTTCTGAATTTCCTATTGTGACGTCATGAAAAAAGGCGACCATGTCTGATGACGTCACATATAAAGAACACAACTTTCTTCAAATCTTTGAAAAGGAAGGTAAAAAATCATTAGAGAAAATATCAAAATTTAACTGTCTCGAGTGGAGAAATATCGTAACACACTTGTTGCAGTGGTGAAATCTATATTTTTACAATATCAAGATCAAGGCTTTCACTACAACTATAACATGCGATTTGGAATTGTTTTTGTCTTTTTAATTTGCATGCTTGGCTGCGCGGGAAATGAAAACAATTCAAAATAAATCCATTGTGTGGTAGCTAGATTTATATTTTAGATTAAGGGAAATGCGGTGTATCTATTAACTACACTTGAATTTTGAACAAATAGCACATAGGTCTGTACTTCTGAAACTTTACTCAGTACGAAGACACCCCAAATCCAGTTTTTTGATTGGTTGATTTCTGAGGTTTAGTATGATAATCGTGCTCTTAGTTTTTATTACCGCTAGGCCTGATATTCGTATACTATCTCCATATTTTCATGCTCAATTCGAAAAGCACCGTTCCTATAAATCGTAAATTGTTTGCATTTCCTATTAAGTATATAAAATTTGATATTTAATGTCTACAGTTTTCAGTTATTTGGGTTTGACCTCTTTTTACACTCATTAACTTGCAGTACACTACATCATCAAAGTTCTGAGTAATTTTGGAGGGAAATAAAGTTTTGTAACACTTTTATGAACATATAAATAGAAAATACTACTATTTTAAGTCACGATGGACCAGACATATAAAACATATAACATACGTCAAAATTGAATGACAATTGCCTTTGATCTAAAAAGTTATTGGTCTAACCCATATGGGGTGAATTATGTCCATGGATCTTTTCCTTTTCCTGGTCTGCTTGTTTGTGTGCTGATTTTTTGTTTCGGTTTTTTGTTGGGTTTTTTTTTTTTTGCATAAGTTTATTAAAAATTAGTCAGAACCTTTTTTTACTATTTCAGACAGCATGTACGAAAATTCCATGTGAAAAGAGCAGATATGTAATAACAACACCAAACCCATTTAAACCAGTTGAGTTTAAACCGGATGTAAAGGATAGAGGACCGACTAGGGGCGATTCACCTTATTTCTATGTAGACAATACGAAGTCCAAGTCAATAAAAGTTCATGGATTACATTTCCCAGATCAGCTGTTGGCGTGGTTGTCGCCGTTTTCGTCAGAATTCAGGGAAAGTCTTCCCTCGTCTGGAATAAAGGCCATTCCAATTGAAAATCTATTTAAAACTTGAAACCTCAGTGTAAAAAAAAAGTTGGAAAACAGACAAGGTTTCAGGTTCAAGTTTTAATGGTTTATCCGCCGCTATTATAAACCATTGTTTGCTTGCCAAGCTATGTTTTGTGGAGATAGACTGGATGTAAGCGGCTGGGCCGCTGATCTCTGTTCTTGTAACGTTTTTATGTTCGTGACTCTATAAATGAGAACAATGTGTTACTTTCTGTCGTTAACTGGTGTAATTCTCGTTTCATAAAATGAAGTTATTTATTGTTTGAACAAATTTGCAGGATAATTCGATTTCATTGTTGACAAACAGATGACAATAGTCCCATTTTATTATCTTTGTACAAATTATTAATAAAATCCTTAAGATTTAGTGTATATGATTATGTTGTTTATGAATTGTATGATGTGAGGTAAAGCTTGTTTGATTTTTGAACTTCAATCTTCATATTATGAAGATTGAACTCCAATCTTCATGATATGAAGATTGAAGTTCAAAGATCAAACAAGCTTTGCCTCACATCATACAATTCAAATTGTACCCCAATACTAAATATAAACATGTATTTGAATTTCTTTAATTCTTACCCGATTTATCCTTTTCCTGACCTGTTGATTAGTTTGATTTCTCTGATTCTAACTTACCCTATGTATCCTTTTCCTGACCTGTTGATTATTTTTATTTCAACGTTTGGTTCGTTTGATCTCTTATTTACATTATATAAAATTTTGAGCGTATTTGAATATTTAACATTTAACTGTCGAGAGTGTATACTTTCACACTTGATGCAGTGGTATATCTATAGAATCAACGTGTGGTTCGTTTGATCTCAGTTCTTCATTGATCAAAATTCGATTATGAATTCAAAAATCATCAGAGAAACAGATTCCACCACTAAATCTCGTGCAATACGATATTTATCCACTCGAGACAGTTAAATTTTCAAATTTAAAACGCTCGTACCATCGTATCACAAGATGGTACCGATAATACTCTCTTTGAAAAGATAGAGAAAGAATCAATAACTGAACCAAAATTGGTAGGAGAACAACTAACAGTTATACAGGACTTAATTTTAGGTCATAATGAGAAAAATGTTACTGTAACAACTATATTCAGAAAGTCTGAATACTTAAAAAATGAAAAGAATTTGTTCATAAATTCCAGAGCACTACAATACATGTATCGGTAATAACCAGTTATGCATTGTTTCATAATAAAAAAACGAACAACAAGTAAACAGAGCAATAAAATACTAGTTTGTCTGTAATACATTTTAACACCAAAGCATACGTGTTCCCTAAAGTGATTTATGTACAGCTATAAAACATGCATAATTTTACAAATGTACAAACAAGAAAAATTTAACATTGAATAAAAAGCAAACCAATAAACGATGCAAAAAGAAAACAAATACATCCACTTCATTTGAACTTTGGTGGATAATTGTCTCATTGACAATCATACCACTTCTCCTTATAATATAACAAATACATCCACTTCATATGAACTTTGGTGGATAATTGTCTCATTGACAATCATGCTACTTCTCCTTATAATATAACAAACAACAAAGAAACAAAACAAATGATAAATACAAAGAATTAAAAAAAAAACGTTCTAATTGTAATTTAAAAGTGTGATTTCTTATTTGTACAAATCTTCTGTGGAATATTTTGTGTTAATTAATCATGAATATGAATAAAAGGACATACGGATATTCGGCAATGAGACAACAACCCAATAGAACACATAATCAAAGGATAAAGATCATTTACAAAATAAACATCAAAGATTGCCACTACAACATGTTCCTTTGAATTTATCTGGTTTTAATTATTGTGTTATATACGTTGATTGCAAAAACAATTTATAAGGTAAAAGATGTCGACCACCAATGTTTAGGGGTTGATTGAATCTAATCAAGCCTAGCAAAATGTAAACTTGAAGATGGACTGATTGGTTGTTGCTTGTTTAACGTCAGTAGACAAATCTATTTGCCAGGAAACCCGAGGTTGATGATGCTTTATCTTCTCTTCACGACAAATATATTGTTGTTCCAGCAGACAAAGCCTCAAACAATAGTGTTTTATATGCAAATATCGTTATTTGGAATGTCTCACTAAAGAACTAGTAATTCACACAGCAAACCTGGGAATCATAAATATACCCCTACGCAATTCACGAAAGGTGAGATTTTAGGAATCCGTCCTTCTCTCCTTTGGTATTAACATAAAAAAGGACGATGAAAATCTCCCATCTTTTTTATAGATATCTAAACTTCACACAAACCCTTATAAAGAACAATATATAGTTGGGTCGTTACGATATTCGACTAAACATCTTTCTAAATTTTTTGTCATCTTTCATTCTACAGTAAAAGAAGGTCTTTAGAAATATTGTGTCCCGGTATATTCAACGGCGTCAATCTGATGTTGATTCTTTAACATTCTTGGTGGAAGGTTGTCTCATTAGCAATTATGCCATGTCTTCTTATTTTTATATAACTATCAACCCTAAAATCTTCATTCACAATCTTTAAAATTTTACAGAAATATCAATCCTTTCCATTTTAATACGCTTTAACTACTATACCCAATGCTCAAATGAAGGATAGACTACATCATTTCGTTAAACAGAGCTTTTTATACAAAACTGGGAAAGTAGATACAAATTTCTTGTTTTATGTCATTACAAATGAACCACATTGATTCTCACAACAAAAACACCAAAGAAGATATTATCAAAATGCTTAATTTTTTTATTGTCTACATATTGATTCCGCGTCAATATTTCTTTATAAACTGAATAATTCAGTATTTGCTTAATTGAATTTAGCATATGCTGAAATATAACTTAGCATATGCTAAAATATAATTTAGCATATGCTAAAATATAATTTAGCATATGCTAAAATGAATTAATCATATGCTAAAATCAATAATTATAACCTTGATTAAACGCCAAATATACCGCAGTGAACTTGAGATTAAGGATACTACCGAAAGTAGAAGGTCTGTGTCATATCTTCATCTTTTCCTCGATACTGACATAGCTGAATGACTTCTAATTAGAATCTATGATATCCGTGATGATTTCAACTTTCCAATTGTCAACTCACTGGCGACATGTTTACGCAGTCTTTAGATACCAGTATAGTCATCTGATCTTTAATTTTATTTATTTTGTCGATGGTGACATGTTGACTGAGTGTGATTTGCTTGATGGGAGGTGCATGTTAAACAGGAGACGCTTACCCGTCGATGCACTCTGCCTCGATCGCATCTTTTAAAGTTCACACGTTCCCTCAGTTTTTGTTTGTTGTCATTATTTGTCTCTTCTTAATCGATTTACAAGATTTCAATCACGGTCAGATTGACTTCACATGGTGATAGAACGTCGCTACTCATTATCTTGGGCACATATAGTTCACATTATGATAGAATGTCGCTTCTCATTATCAAGATCAAATTGACTCCACAAGGTGATAGAATGTCGCTACTCATTATCAACGTTTAACTGACTTCACATAGTTATAAAACGTCGCTACACATTATCAAGGTCAGATTTACTTCAATTAGTGATAAAACGTCGCTACTCATAATCAAGGTCAGATTTACTTCACATGGTGATAGAGTGTCGCTTCTCATTATAATGGTTAGATTGACTTCACATGCATGGTGACAGAACGTCGCTACTCATTATCATGGTCAGATTGACTTCACAAGGTGATAAAATGTCGCTACTAATTTTCATGGTCAGATTGACTTCACATGCATGTTGATAGAATGTCGCTTCTCATTATCAAGGTCAAATTATGTTTACATGGTGATGGAACCTTGCTGCACATTATCTATGTCAGATTAACTTAGCATGGTGATAGAATGTAGCTACTCATTATCAAGGTCAAATTGACTTAACATGGTGATAGGACGTAGCTACTCATTATCCTGGTCAGATTGACTCAACAACTTGATGGAACGTTGCTGCTCATTATCAAGGTCAGACTAGCTTCACGTGACGATTGAACGTCGCAATTCATTATCAAAGTGAGATTGACTTCAATGGTGATGGAGCGTTTGATAATCAATCACGGATAATAGAGACCCCAACCAATATTTGAGATCGAGAGCAATAGAGATAAATATTGTTATCATGCATCGTCTTTAATCAAATAATGCAGATGTGTGGGATATATCAATACGCAGCCACATCCCCTCAGAATGGAGGCGTTTAATTTGATGCCTCGTAAAGGGTTGATGCTGCGCTAACTGCACGCTAAAGATTCCTTGCAACAACTCTTTGATGGATTGAAAGGTACCTGCTTCAAGGCAAACATGTTTGACCCTATTTTACACACCCTCATTTTACTTGTGGCAGTCCATGTCTTCCAAATTTCACATGTCTCCTCCATTCCGACCCATTTTAAACAGCCTTCCAATAGCATTTATTGTTAATTGGTTATCGTATTCAAAATGCATGAAATATTAGCCAATTGACACTAAGCAAATACCAATCAACCATCAATAAGTGAATAATGAACTTTCAACCGATATCAAAGGACAGAATGTCATATCTTGGAGGTTGAAAACTAGACACTGTCTCACAAGGTTTTGGCTCATAAATCTTCAATCATACAATTATGACGACTAAGTTAACTAGCAGGCATTGTACAGTACAAGTCTTGCTATTTTAGAAATTAATGTATAGTCCAAAAGCAGAAGAACGAATTCATTTCTGCTCCTTTTCAAAAATTATAAGTTTTTGGGGGGGTTTTTAAAATTCTTGAAATTGAATTTTTAGAATTGAATCGTACGATGAATCAAGATGAGGAATTGTACAAATGCATGTTTCTGTTTACAGCTTGTATGATTTAGTCAAGTTGACTATTTGGCTTGGTTTAATAAGTTTCTTTCTCAACATAGATAAGATAATATATCAGAAATGATAACATTTTTCCATTTGTTTACAACGTTTTGCTTCAAGACGATATATATTTATATAGCAGGTGTGGAAATTTTTCGAAGAAAATTATAAAACAACAATGAAAAACGTTCTCAATTGAATATCTTTGTAGTGCACTTATGCTACTTAGATATTGAACATATCCTTTCAGAGTGTTAATATAAGTATGTTTATTTTTTTACGGAGTAAATATTTATTTTTTAAAGTACTTGGACTCTTTACCTTTGTTTATCCAGTTGCCGATATCATTTTTAACAATAATAAACACCTTTGACCTGAAAAGATACATTTTTTTCGATTCCAATAAAACGGAACCAATGTAACGTCACTTGTTTTGGGGGTAGATGTACACCTGCAATCTTTATTGTTTATTTATGTGTTTACATGTATTATATAACAATGGTCTGCAATACATGCAGGGTTATTTGTTTTTATTGTTTTTTTCTATAAATAGAAGTCCCGTGAAAACATAAACAAAACATACCTACTATAAAATAAGAAAGAGTAGGCACTATACTATGTTGGAATGACGTCATTGCATGCAGCGTGGGAGAACGAAAATTAAGATATATATACAAAGTATCTGCAATACACAGGCTTAGAAAATCAAAGGACTATAACGCTTAGTTAGTTAGGAAAAGAACTGCTACATAAAAATTACTACTATGTTGGGATATATTTTTGTTCTTGTGATTGAACTACTTACAGTATGCAATGGGAGAATTTGGTCAGGAAGGCCTTTGTATGTTATTGAACGGTTTTCTCTACCAGAATTCAGTAAAAGTGCCCAGTTTCCTCTGAAAGGATCTGGAGTAGGTGTTCCATTTAAAATCACACCATTAGAGTCATTATTAAACACAAAACCATCGAAGAGTGTTGCACTTTTGTCTGAATCTGAGGATCCAAAATTAGGTGTGACAGAACCATTACCAAGACTAGTGAAGGCAATACCAACTGAACACAAAGTAAAGATCAAGTCACTCCACAAGCCATGTCATAAAACGTAAGTTGTCTATAAATCAGTATCCAAAAAGTCTGTGGAAACCAATTATTTATCCTGTAATGAGTTTTTTTTCTTACGACGGAATTATCAAATAACGATATTTGTATATTTACGCATTATACTATGCAGCAAAAAGCAGATAACACGAGGTTGCAATTAGAAATCAGCAAATCAATGAAAGACATTAACTCAAGTAGAGAAGAAGAAAAGAAAAACACTTCATTGTTTATAACGAACCCCACTAAATATGGCGTATTCGACTAGACGCTTTAATCGCATACTTGTTAGGATAAAATGAGCTTCTGTACAAATAGTTGCGTTTTAGTCTCACTGTATTAAGCTTTTTATTTATCAACTCACATGTTTTACATTGTTTGAACTGCATCTGTTTTTTTAATGTAAACCAACTCATTTTCGCAGATACCTTTTTTTGCTAATATAAAAAGGGAGATGTGCTTTGATTGACAATGAACCAGATATACACCAAATTCCAAAAGGCGTGGATTAGGGTTCAAGCCAACTTCGCTACAACTGATTTTTATGATTTTTTTCTTTTGATGGTGCATATATCCGTGACAACTCGTGTTAATAAAAATAAAAATCGCTAACAAAAATTAAAATTGAGAATGGAAATGGGGAATGTGTCAAAGAGACAACAACCCGACCATAGAACAGACAACAGCAGAAGGTCACCAACAGGTCTTCAATGCAGCGAGAAATTCCCGCACCCGGAGGCGTCCTTCAGCTGGCCCCTAAACAAATATATATACTAGTTCAGTGATAATGAACGCCATACTAAACTCCAAATTGTACACAAGAAACTAAAATTAAAAATAATACAAGACTAACAAAGGCTAGAGGCTCCTGACTTGGGACAGGCGCAAAAATGCGGCGGGGTTAAACATGTTTATGAGATCTCAACCCTCCCCCTATACCTCTAGCCAATGTAGAAAAGTAAACGCATAACAATACGCACATTAAAATACAGTCCAAGAGAAGTCCGAGTCTGATGTCAGAAGATGTAACCAAAGAAAATAAACAAAATGACAATAATACATAAATAACAACAGACTACTAGCAGTTAACTGACATGCCAGCTCCAGACTTCAATTAAACTGACTGAAAGATTATGTCTTTATCATATGAATATCAGGCACAATCCTTCCCGTTAGGGGTTTAGTATTAGTATGTTTACAGTTACTAGTAACAAAGAATCATATTTTAGCATCAGGTAATTATAGCACAAACATGAGCTTGCTGTAATGGTATTGTGATTTGTTTGCTTTTTCGACACATCAATACAAGCAGTAACAACGAAGTTATTTGATAATTTACATTTACAAAGGTATGCAGGTTAAGAGTTTCCCTAATTATTGTATGTTTTCTTCACCAGGGGTTGTTTGAAAGGTTCACAGTGTGTTTACGACAGAATGTGGATGTGTCCCACTTATATTCCAGACCTTAACTGTTATTGTCGACCAGGTAAATAAATGATTATATACAAATAAGTAGTGAAAAATCAGTCTTTCTTTTTCTTTTTTTTTTCTTCTGATTCTGTTTATCGTTCTCTTTTTTTTCCCCATACATTTTTTGTTCGATTTAACATGATGTTATTTTTAGTTTTTGTTTCTCAATTTACATTCGATTATGTACTCGTGGTGTTATTTCATTAAAATAGTATATATAGCAAAAATTACGACAAAGTATATACATCCTCTGACTTTGGTCTCTGATGGATAATATTTGTCATTGGCAATTATATTACATCTCCTTAATTTTTTTATTATAGTTGTTTTAGCAATACAATGACCGATTTCAGACGGTTGAAAATATATTCTGACCTTTAAATGTATGTACGGCATAAATGGTCTGTTATGATACATTCCATAGGCTTCGTTCGGCGTAAAATTAAATTGAGAAGAAAACAGAAAAAAAATATTGTCAAACTCGCATAAAACACCAAAAATATGAAATAATCTTATTCATCTCTGAAGTTTTCATTCATTCTCGTTTTTTGTTCTCTGTAGGTTGTGCCGTAGGTAACACCTTTATACCAATGGGAAAGGCTCTGACCATAGACGACTGTGGAAACAGGTGTGCGTGTCAGGATCAAAGTGGCGAGGTATTATCTTACAATATTCGTTGTTATAAATCGTTATATTTTATGTGCTAGTAACTGTAATATGAATTAAAATTGTATACATGTATAAATATACGGTAATAATTAACAAGAGCTGTTTAGTTTCATGTTTGCAGGTCTGTTAATTACGTAAAAAAAAATGATTTACCGTAGTTAAAAAGAAAATATATATATATATATATATATATATATAATTTCGGAGTTCAAGTGTTGTCTTCTGATTATGTGATAAGTTGAGAAGACTAGTAAAAATTGTTAAATACAATGAAACGATGATAACTGCTAACATATGTCACTCAAAAGCTGTTGGCATCATAAACATTTGTTTTCAATATTCAATAGCTTGCTGTAAAACCAGATTTAACCCATCAGTTTCTTTGAGTCGTTCCGTTATTTGATATATTTGTTTCGAGCGTTTGTTTTTGTCAGTTTTCATGGAGTTCGGTGTTTTTGTTTCCCAATCATTAATATAAGTATATGTTAATCAACAGAAATTGTTTATTGTTAAATGTTATTGTTTTTGTATGACTTTGTCTATTGAACTGTTTTTCAAAATGCTACATTTATTTTTTCATATATACAATGAATTATAATATTTCTTTCTATTTTAGGCTGTATGTACTAAACTTGAATGCGTGAAAACTTCTGACAAAAGAGAGGCAAAAATGGATTCCCTTCTCAAATATTTGAAAAAGTTGGTGAAAATAAATTTGCAAAACGAAGAAAAATCTACAACTCCAAAACCACTGAAGACAAGTGCTAGTGGAAATGCTCAACAACGCAAATCAACATCCAATATAATAAACATGTCAAGAAAAATCGATTTCAATACAGAAACAAGATTTCCATACAGCCCTCATAGACCATTTTATGTCCGAACATTATGAAATGACATTTTTATGTAATTGTGTGCATTCTTGAAATATTATATTGATAGGCATTTATGTTGTTATAGTCCCAAATGAGTTTACAATAGTAAAAGTGCTGTATGTAATAAATCATAAAACATGATCGTGTACCTGTTCCTGCGATGTGCAAAGAAGTTAATTTATTCGCAATCTGTAATTGTTTTGCATTTTTTTTAAATTTTGCCAATAAACAAAACTTTAAAATAAGTAAAATTAGTTTACTCCATATTTTAATTGCTTATAGTACGGGACCAAATCATAGTATTACTTGAAAATATAACTTGGACATGAATACCATCATTCATCAAACTTTGTGCCATGATGTAGTATGTATGTTTTGAAAAAAAAGCCTTCTTTTGCAAATATGGAATCCTTTAAGATACCTGACGCCTAGTGTTGCGAGACGGTGGCATTTTTTCCCTGCGTGATATGTCTCTGGTGATAACATCAAGCAGCTTAGCTTACAAAAAGACTTTTGACCCCGCTGAAGATATCCGTGAGCCTCTTTTTTCAATTGGCAGTAAAATGAAACAAGTGTTTTTTTTATTTACAGTATGGTTTAAATTTTTTGCTTTTTTCCGTAAAAATATTGTACTGGAGAAAACAAAATTTTACCAAAACTTTTGGCTTTGGTCGATCCTAAAGAAGGTAAATCCAGAAAAGCGCTTTGGGCGCATACAATTTATAAAGTGTAACTTTAATTTTGCATAATTAGTTCTATAGATAAAATGTGCAACTGGTTTCTTAAATAAAAATTCTATAGTCTGAGTCGTCCCTTTTATTGGGTCTGGAAGACCGGTGGTCTTTATTCCCGTATTCTTTGATTTGTTATCCCCTTTTTCTCCTATCTTTGTTAATTAACCATTATTCGCTATTTACTATATTTTAGCACACAACTATTCTATAATGTGTTATCGTGATAAAATAGGGAGACATCAGAGACCGGAAGAGACCAAACGATGTAGATGTCAGCAACCATAGTCCACCGCATGACCTTCAACAATGACCACACCCATACCGCATAGCAAGTTATAAAAGGCCCCGACATAACAAAATGTATAACAATTTAAAAGAGGAAAACAAACTTGTTCATTTCTAGACGACATGACATGAAGAATGCAAGAAATGTAACATCATATGAAACTAATAACCTTGAGTAATCATGTCAATCATACCTCTTTAATTTATCATTTACAAGTTCTTTGCTTGAGGGAACATGTATGTATCAAACATATTTATCTTGATACTGTGATCAATATAATTAGTCGATATTTAGTATGACACTTGTCTTTTTTTTTCAAACGATGATATGAATAGAACAGGATCGAAATATCATATATAGTAATTTCATTTGAAATTAAAACGTTCATTGGAAATTTGTACTTTAAATTTATCAAAAGAATACAGCTCATCGGCTGCACAAGAAAATGAACTATCAATCGAGAAAAAAATTACGTATATTAATTATAATAATGAACGTGAAAATCCGGGTCCTGATTCATCACCTCGTTTGTCTTGCTGACAGATGTACCTATATGACATTTTTATTACAATGACTATGTAAAATTTTGATTATTTACAATTATGTCTTCCTGATGGCTTCTACTAGTATTGATATACTATATTATATAACCTCCTTGATTTATTAAAAACTGTAAGATAAACAGTTAAGGCACATTCATAATTTCAAACAGAATAAATTGATTTGAGTGTTTACGACAGGGTTGTCCGCTTTGAACCCAATTATTCATATGGGCTGTACGTCACAGGCACTGATGATAGGCTTATTTCACTTCATCTACCGCATAGAAGGTGAAATGAGGGGAGAAGGCACCCCTTAACTTTCAAAGTGTGGAGGGGTGAATGTACTTGTCTATCCACTTTTCGTGCCGATTTTTTTTAATAGCCTGTGAAACTCTGTTCAACATTATTCTATCATCATTCTCGATTTTATTTTACAAAGTATAGGATAAAATCAATTTCCTTATATATCAATGTATTTTACAAAGAATAGCAAACAATCAAACATCAGAAGATTTTATAAACAAACAAAGATGTCGTTTTAATGAGTATTTAGTTGGCACTGGCATACACCTGGCTTCACTTGAGATTACTACAACATTGTAAAAGTAATCTCGGGCTTAACTAAGAGTTTCATTATCCATAAAATATGTTTATAGCACTGTGTGTAATGTACTTTTGTTCTTGCATACATCAAACAAAATTATTGCTCTATACAATTACCAATTGTCGTACATAACCATTTACCACAAAATATAATCAAACCACACTAGGTTTGGGGAAAATTGGAAAAAAATTGATGTAGTATGCGGTGGACAAAAATTGTGACAGGACAATAAATGCATAAATAATGACCGACTCTGTTCATTATAATCAATTTGACCACACGGTATGAACTCTTCTGCATTAAACATCACATAAAATAGAAAACATATCGTACTTCCCGGAATAATCAATATGAAATCTATCTTTCCATAAAACTAGGGTGATAAATGTGGTGCACTGAGTGATTTATGAGATTGATTGTTATAATGGTAGGACCATATTATTTTTTTTTTTGTCAATGAAGTTACAATATGCAATTGCAGAAAAAAAAACAGCCAGTACAACCCTACGGCTAGCGCACATTTTGACCTGGCTTTCCAAATTATTTGGCGTTTTTTTTTTAAATTTCTTTGTTTAAGATTGTGGTTATCCTGTTGGTAGATAAACTTGCAGGTTTTCTTTATTGTGTGTTTTACCATAGATGTATGGATTTATACAACTATGTTTTTTTGTTTACGACATATGATCTAGATAGGTTTAAAGGGATGGTATTTGCTGGTATAACCCCAACACATGATGTGATTGAACCATGTCAGACTATCTTTACCATGTATGTGCACATGTGGTCTGTTGTTGTTTTTCTTTGTCTGAACCGTCAATTTTTTCGGAGGAGTCAGGTTTTGGTGGTTGTGGTTGTCCGTGTACTATCCCAAATTTTAAGTAATTCCTGTTATTTACTTTTTAAAAATTATCTTCTTTTTGCGATGTTTATACACTGTGATATGAAAATATCTATAAAATAGCAACATGAAAACAAGATAATTAATTGCATATTTGACGTAGTTTATGTTTTTTAAAAGACCGTGGTCTTTATTTCAAACTCTCAAATCACTAAAACTTCAATCGGGAAAAAATTAAGAGTATCAAATTTTTGTTTGAATTAAATGTCAAGATACAGTGATTTCTGGCCTTAAAGAGAAAAATTATATAGACAATACAAAACGAACGTGAATAATCAAAACGATTCGCAAAGGCTATACACCAAAGTTATGAGGCCAAGGTTAAACTAGTTTATTCATATATTACACTAACAAAGGGTCCTCAAGGCAAAAGCTTACACTGGCATCACTACAAGTTCATTACGCCCTAGTTTCTGTGTATTCGAAATTCTTTACTATGTATATCAATATAGCTAAATCTTTGTACTGAAGGCATCGAATGCGGGATATGACAGTTAACAATTTGAAGACTATAATAGACAAACAGGAAAAATCAGAGATCTGCCATCTAAACCAAAGGACACACTATTTAATACTAAAAGTCAACCACCAACATGGTTCCTGACTTGGTACAGACACTTGAACACGTGGTGGAGTCGAACTAGTTTATAAGACCTCAACCTTCCCCCTTTAAATCTAATTTGGTGGAAAGATATTATCAAAAAGTATATATAACGGTACATGTAATTTTTAAATCAAAACAAACAAAAAATAAATTGCGCAGACGATATGAAGGCTAAATTGTTTCTGAATATAGACTTTTCATTTCTCCCCATTTTTTCTTGGATAAATACGTTTAGCATGCAAGACAAAAAAAAACATGCGATAACAACTACAAGTATCTGCAATGCATCAATAGTTTAGTGTATTGGTTAAATAAATATAAATGTTGATTTTTTTTAAGACATTGCATTGTTTTCATTCTAACAAAGCTTCAAAGAATTATAAAATATTAATAGACTTTGAGGGTCTTTATCCTTCTATTTATTTCAATAAGCAGATGAAATTAATCCTATCATTTTTTATGACAAAATTGTTAAAAATATAATGCTGAGAAGCAGCTCTAATATCAGTAAGGTACATCTGGTACGTATTGACTAGTTGTCACAACCCGTCCTTAAATTGCATAAAATATACTTGCCACTGGACATGGAGCATATAATCAATCAATCTCCTGCACTTGCTCTGAAACTTAGTGTAATTTGAATATTAAAGGGATAAATTTCAATATACACAGATTGTTCTTAAAGCAACAGAAGAAATGTTAAGGTTTTATTATAACCTTAAAGAAAACGTCAATTTAAGCACCGGGCAAGTAAATTACAATCATCCTCGATTAGTCAAATCACATAGATCATGATATTGATTTACCTATACTGAAAGTACAGCGACTGAGGTTAGCTATATATAAGAATACACTTTTTCTTATTAAGTAGTTAAAATTAGTTTTAACTAGCTTTTATAAGCTGAAAGCGCTATTGTTTAGTATTGTTTTCCTCTTTAATGTAACCAGAAACATGTCTCTATTATAACAAACCAATATGTAAATTAAGTGCTTTTTCTTAAATGATCCTTCATTGATTGTGTGTTCTTATCGTTGGTACCTTTGGTTTTCTATAGATGAAAAAGTGGAGGATTGTTCATTAAAAATTACTTTCAACTAAAAGTACCTGTTCTCATCTCAAGTCAACTAGGTAGCTTGGCCTTGGACATTTTTTCAGATATCTTTTGAACCATACATTCAATCAAAACCAAACTTCTTTTTATAATGTTCCTTGGTAAGACCCATATTGATTTAGAGGTCACAAGGTCAAGTTCAAGGTCTAGATAGAAATTGACAGACTGAAATATGGGCAAACCTTTTGTTTTGTCATGACATCTTTTTAACTAAAGACCCAGATTTCACCAAACTTAGCTTGAAAATGACTCTTGGAAAGAACAAGACCCCTAGTCAATTTGGGTCAGTAACTGAAAGGTCAAAGTCACAGTGCCAATGATAGACGAAATCATTATACAAAGTTTTATTTCTGGACAATATCTTTTGTTTTTAATCCATAAATCAGATTTTTAGCAATTGTTGGTAGATAAGGCTTTTTTGATGCAAAGGCTGCTTCATTTGCATTCTGTTGGATAGTTGTCTCATTGGCAATCATACCACATCTCCTTATTATATATTATCTATATATCTATTTAGCAGGTTTTCAGGTCAACAATCACAGCAGCTAACAATTAATGGGCAATTTTGGAGGTTTTCTGATGATAATGATCAACACTAGTGTGACAACGTAGTGTGGCAAAAAAGATTGTTTTGTTTTCTGCATATCCTTAAGTCCCTATGTCCAGCAGTGACCATCATTTGACAAACTCTTTCACCAGGTTTTACAGTCTTCAAATTGGTATTGATGGGAGATAATGTATGAGAAGTCTTTTTGGCAATTGGGTATTTTGAATAAATGCCATTATCATACAATAAAACTCAACAATATAAATGAAAATACTCCTTTTATTTCTTGGCATGATTCACTAGTTGTTTGACAACAAACCATTAACACATTCATACAATATCTAACTGTGCTCATATAGCTTTACTAATTTCTTGACAAAAGTCCATATAACCCCATATTTTATCCATGTGATCTGCACATTAAAAACTTAGGCATGATTTAATACTATGGAAGATTGTTTGTTTATTTTATTTATCTTAATAATAGCTTTTAAAAAATGTAAAAAGATCACACACCTCTTCGGAATTTACTTTTCTGTAAAAAAAAAAATGTTCCAAGAGGCTGAAAACAAAACAATTATTGATTTTGTGGAGTGGTCAACTGTTTATAATGAAAATGTTTACACAGAGATATGCCTTGACTGTTTCACCTACTCAAATGCTTAAGCAATTGATGCAGCCACCAGAATCTGCAAGACAAAGTCGCGCTTCTGTGACTACGGTTGCAGGCGACACTTACAATTATAAATTAATGAAATTATATGGATTTTTGTATAAGACAAATAATACAAATTTTAAAATACTAATTTATTATAAAATATATCACAGATGATGCTTATATATAAATATGGAATGTGATAAAAATGTAAAAATTTAAATAAATATTTTATCATTATTAATAAATTACAATCCCTCTACCTGGACGGAACCATCACAATACAGAAAATCTTGTTAGTTATCTCAGATTAATTCAAAGAATTTTCTTTTTTTTTAAATGAAGGACCAGTGTATTTGTTCAAGAATACACAGAAAAATGGACAGATGACAGAGTAATGAACAATTTGCACCTAACACTTGATAGCAGGGGGAAAAAAAGACGTATGCAATATATGTACATAGTAGGACACATATAAAATTCATTTGTGCAGGCTTTTGAAAAAGGACAAAAAGCAACGCTCACAAGCTTTTCTTCTGACAATGTACATAATTTTTTTTTATTGTGCAATTAGCCCTTGACGCTTTTACATTCAGTTTTAAAATTCCCAAACTTTGTCTTTGAACTTTATACAATCAATATGGCTTAAACACAGACCTCTATGAGGACCCCAAATATTAACTGTGAGGTTATTAACATTACCATTTCTCTTAACATAGAAGCAGGACAGGAGACTTTATTTGTTCTACTGTAGATTTATTAATATTCGTGGTATACCAATTTTCATGGATTTCGTGAGTATAGTTAAATCCCGAATTTAGATGTTCATCAAAGTGCCAATTATCTATAGGCTTGTATGCAGACTTTGGCGAAACCATGAAATCAAATATCCATGAATATACAATTTTCCCTAAATTCAAAAAATTTGTACCCATGGAAATAAATGAATCATCAGTATACAAATAAAGCAATAATATATTTGAATACCTGTTATTTGTACAATAGGTGGCCCATAGCAGGATAAATTTAATTTGTTGAGTCAATAAAAATATTTTTATGTAGTTACACTTTCATGTTATAAATGCATATACTCATGAATCCTGAGAAGAGTTGAAAAATTATGATTTTTATACAAATGGGATTAAACTTGAAACATTGGATAAATTCTATATAGTCTCTTAATGATGAATGCTTTTTAAAATATCAAAATGATCTCAAATAAAATATTTTGGAAAGTATAATTTTATGTCTTCAGAAAGTGTAAAATAAAAAAAACATAGAAAAATACGATTTTTTTCATATTTATTATTAGTAACTTGTATTATTAATGACAAGATAATAAAAAAAACATTTTATAAGAGAAGTACAAATATAACATGACAAAACTATAAAAAAAAACACCATGATAAGTGCTGAAGAATGTGTGTAATACACACATGTATAAACATTTAAAAAGGAAAGAAAAATCTCCAAAAAATTACTTCGCAATTGAAAATTAAAGCAGATTTGGAGTATGGATGAAATTTTAAAAAAATCTATTGATTAAATGCTACAAAGAATTTGTTGAAATTAAAACAAATTTGGATGGAATGATCTCTTATAAATAGTATGATTAATATAACAATGCAATTTACACAAAACTACATGATGTGTCTGAAAGACACAGGCATCCCATTTAAAAAATGAGAAAATGTTGGTCCAATAACATAAATATTGGCCCAATGACAGAAATAATGGTCCAAAAACATAAATATTGGTCCAATGACAGAAATGTTGGTCCAATAACATAAATGTTTGTCAAATAAAATAAATATTGGTCCAATGACATAAATGTTGGTCCAATAAAGCAAATGATGGTCCAATAACATAAATGCTGCTGGAGAGTCTGGTACTATTCAAAACTGTAGTAGTGATATACTGTTGATATATTACAATAGGATTCTAAAAAGCCAACCTTAATACTTTTAAAAAGTAAAACATAGTCGTTCAATTTTGAAATGTAAGTTAATGTGACCCAAATGGGTACTGTACATAGAACTGTAGTTGTGAAATATCATTATATATCAAGAAATGGACTTTAATGTTTAATGCAAAACTAAACAAACCCAGGACAGTGTTCATACAGGCACTCAAGGGTAAATCTATTACCCCACCCATAAATATGGGATAGGACAGATAATAATAATAATAATAAAAAAAAACACTTCTTAAAAATAAATATCTCAGCCATACTATCACAGCATTTCACATTTAAAACAACTTAATTAAACACCTATGAATACAAAAACAGTTAAATTTTCTTTACATATTCAGGTAATGAAAAATAAACTGTTTTATTTTCATGATTCAAATACTGACTTTTTTCTACATAAAGCACCTTTTGGTGGTAAAACTGATGAACATTTTACAAAGTTTATAAAACCATTTAAGTGTTACAAACCTAATGAAAGAAATCTGTAAATACTTTTTTCTAGATTGAATACAAAGGCACCATGGAATTAAACTAGCTGCAGCAAAGGCTTTTTCATGTATAAATTGAAAAAAAAATATAAAGCAGAAATAGTGCAATAAATAAAATCATATTTGAAATATCTGTGAAAAAGATTTTACAAAAATTATGACAAGCATTTAAACTGATCTACCAGCAGATAAGCAAAAACTGCTGGTCTCCCCTTAATTTTACGATTTTTTTTTTAACAATGTAGGGGAGGTAACAATTACTAGTTTTTTTTCACAAAAATGAGAAAATTATTTGAGCTAATAAATAATTTTTGTACAAAAAATATCTAGCAAAATTCATAAAATACAGAAATGAGATATAAATACATCCTTTAATGGAAAGTAGCAGCACTAGTACAATTTATTCTGTAACTTGGACATCTGAAAATAAAAAGTTGGAAAAATCAGAAAACATTCTAATGAAAATATGGATTCCAGATCAATATTCATATACTTCTGAAAATACTAAGTTCAGATCAAGAGTCTGTCTGCCTTTGAACTGCTCTTCTTGAACTCAAAGAAAGGCAAAATGTTAGTTAGTCCAATTAATTATATAATATTACCCAGTCATTCCAACTAATCTAGAATACTAAATTGCCATTACTTAAAATCCTTCTCCAAGGATAAATCATGAAGACGATCTTTCACATTGTTAAAAGTAATATAATTAAACTTTGGAGGTACTTCCAAAACTCAAAGTTCAACCTTAATTTTTTTTTTAAATAAACTTTCAAGATTTTCATCTTTAAATTATTTTTACCGTAAAAAATGAATTTCCTAGTTGAACATACAGCTTCCAAAGTTTCATTGTTAAAAGTATCTGTAGTAATATAACTATTATTATTCATAGTGAAAATATCATATTTGTATATACAGTATATACTATATAATCTTATAAATAAGCCTTAGTATGTGTGTATATACAAATTAATATATTTCAAGCAAACAAAACAATGTGTAAATACATTATTAAGTTTATTTTATGTGTTAAGTCCTGATCGATTCTTTTTTTTTTTAATCTGCATATTTTTTTATGTTGGTTCTTTTTTTAACATACTGTGGATTCATTATTGAGGGGGGTAGGAGGGGTCCGGATCCCGAAATCCCGGGCTTAAAAACATGGAATCCCGAGGTCCCGAATTTAAAAAAATTTAAATCCCGACATCCCGAAATTCGAAAAAAGAATTCCCTGATCCTGAAAGGGTCAATCCCGAAATCCGAGCCTAAAAACACCTGATCCCGGAGTCCCGATAAAGGTCCTACCCCCCCCTCATTATTATTCTTGGGATACACATTTATCTTGGATTTCGTGGGTACAGATGAACCAAAAAATTTGAATGGTCTGAATAAGTACAAACTTTCTAAAAGGCTTTTATACAGACTTTTGTTAAACCACAACATCAAATATCCACTAAATTACAATATGTCCTTAATCCACAAAAACTGGTACCCAGGATAATAAAATCAATCCACGGTAAATAAATTTTATGCTGTCATAAAAATAGAAAAGATACTGCTAAGTTTATGTTATTGAAATCCAAAAATCATGCAAGCATAAAGCACCAATTAACCTCTGATCAAAGTCATAAGTAGAAAGCATGTAAGTGTTTTGCAATATAAACTCTTCTCATGAACAATTTATAAGGTAGTCGATTCAACATATTTGTTTGGCTTTGATCTACAGTAGATGTAATTACCTATAATTTCAGCTGTATATGGTATTGAATCCAAGCTGCTTAGTATATTTGTCTACAAGTAGATCTGCATATCTCTTTTCTTCCTCAGTTAACTGAGGTGTCGGAGAATCACTGTGCAAAAGAAGATTGTCTACTTATAGAGAGATAAAGAAATCTGTTTCCTACCATACAGTTTCGGTAGAAAAATAGAGAAATCTGTTTCTATGGATATTCTAGAAACAGTGTGATGAATTCTTGATTATATATATTGGTTGAGTATTAATATAATGTATGGCTTTAAGCTTATTTTGGATATAATACATATTAGGTCTATACATTTAATATATCTACCTCATAAATTTGACCTGTTTTGATCATTATGCATTTTTCTTTGTAAAATTGAAAATAATTTGTGTGTTATTGAAAAGTAATGTTATAATTAGTAAAATAATGTACTCATTAAACTATAAAAATAACTGCAATAACCATTGTAAATTATAAGTTATATCTCACAAAAATTATATCATAACTGAATGTATTTTTTAAAATTTATTTGCTGCTGTTAATGCAAGGTCAACCACACCACATTTTAAAGTTAAAGGTCAAGTATTAAGGAAAGAAGCACAGAGAAATTGAAATACATCCAAACATCATCAAATTACTAAAAAAACATGTTATAATGTGATTTAAAATTTTTCATTATTTCTTTTTTTTCAATTTCACAGGATATAATTCATGCCAGTATGCTTATTTTGTTTGCAATGTTTTTAAAAGCCATATTTTTCAATTTAAATACGCTGTCATTATAATACCAAGAATTTGATAATAGTCACTTTCTCTCTGCTTCATATACAGATGCTTACTATAGAATTGGGGAAAATCCATTGTGCATTCTCTACTTGTCAATCATTATCATTATAGAGTTATTTTCCTTTGCAAAACATTATTGTAAGTTATGAGTGTTTCAAATGTAGATTGGAGTCCTATTGGTTCCCCACTTTTTTGGAAGAGAATTTATTTCATAATTATACTGCAAAACAATGAGCTTTTAAATTAATGAAGTTTGAAAAGCCAATGTTAGTGAATTCCCAGTGGACACCAAAGTAAAGTGCAAGTAACTCTTGATATTTCAACATTTATGACTTGCAAGTAGAGAATATTTGGAGGAGAATAAATATCTTAAACTTCCAAACACTAACTGTTAGTTTCAGCAGAACATTTCAATGCCATTTTCTGATTTTAATCTTGTGAAATGCACTTTTAAATATTTAACATAGATCATAAAGAAGTATTTACACATATAGTTTTAAAAATATAAAAAAAAATAATAAAGATGTTGATAGAATATAATTTATTGCAAGAATTGATGCCAGAAGATTGCAAGACAGAACATGGCACTGCATTGAAATAAATCTGACTTCTAGCGGTCACTAAATATATCACAGGACATAAACAACAGTATATATTGATACAGTTTACAAATATCAAAAATTAATTCATGATAAACAATTAAGTATACATCAACATGAACATTACAACAATTACACAAATGCATGATATAAATGTGTGTGCAGGGGATCTCAAAGTGTGCAATTTCACCCTGTATTATTTGACAGTTAATCTGAAAAGAAAGCAAAAAAAATGCTTGTACTTGCCACTTAAAAATAAGCAAACTAGTAAGCAAACAAACAACTTTGTCAAAGTCACAATAGTTATTCAATAGTTTCTAAGGAAATTTTATTTTAAATTGCTTTTTCCAGTATTAAACAGATTTGCTTTGTTCAGCACTTGAAACATGTCAAAGTTCCTTTAAAATTCGCAACTACCATTAAATTAAAACTAAATAATTAGAAACATGATATTTTAAAACTACCTTTGCAAAACCAACCTTTTTTTTTTAATCAAAAATATTTCTGAAATGTTGTTTACCATACAGTTTGGACTTGAAAATTTTAACAGTATTGTGACATTAACAATATATAAACAACAAAAGCTGTGCATCCACAGAAAATAATTATGATCACTGTTCAAGATTCAAAAACTCAGCATTTCTTCTGTTTTTATAGCAATATAATCATGATAATAGAATGTTTATTTTCTTTTGGAATGTTTGGAAAACAAGATTCTTTAAAATAAAGTATATATTTAATTCATATGGTGGTTAAGAATTCAGGTTCAGAAAAAGCTGGTATATTGAGCAATGTTGAAGACTTGCATGCATTAATTTGATTTTTTCCATTAAAATGACTGAAAATATGTTTTTCATTGAGGACTTACAATATATCATTCAGATCAAAGAAATTAATGAAAACTAATATCCATCAAGAATAATTCTGAATGCCAAGTAGGTAGGTAAATTGGATATGTCAACTTAGTTTTCACTAGGTGATCATTTGAAAATCATTCAGATACTTTTTGAAAATATGATACTGGTATTTGTAAACTAACTAAAAATTGAAGCTATAATCCCATGCCATTTCAATAAAAAGGTGATGTGCTAAAAAAGCAAGCTCAAAATGCAGTGGACCCCAAATATACTTGATTTAGGCTTAACAGATGTAAATTCTGAATATCAAATATTCCATTACCACAAGTAAAAAAAAAAACCAAAACAACATACATCTTCCCTGAGATTTTTTACAAAACCACCAAAAAAATGAAAAAGCAATTCATTTAAAGAAAAAAGCTATCAGAATGCAGATCAAACACCTTTAAACTCAAGCAATAAAACATTAAAACATAACTACATGTATAAATAAATAATGCAATAGTAATTTACAATTATTATGATTTACAAATAAATAAATAAAAGCTGCATATTAACAAGCACTATATATACTTACAGTGGTGTGTGCTGATATTTAGATGGTGAAGAAGTGCGTACAGGAGAAAGACTAACATCAGCAAATAAATCCTTAGGATTCCGTACAATGCCCGATTTCTTACTAGCTCCTGAAAACAAGGGCTTGCCTGAACTAGCTGATGCTAATGATGGTTTACCCGAATTACCAAAAGTTTTGTTATTTGCTAAACTACTATTTGCTAGCTTGCTATGATTTTTATTAATGTCTCTATTATGCGGTGGCGTTTTTGCAGCCGGGGAGACTGACCTTTCTAAAACAGATCTATGTAGAGGTGATGAAGTTCCATGTTTAATCATATAGTTTTGTTCACCCTTTGTATTCTTAAGAATTCCTTTGACCCCGTTACTTCTTGCACCAGGTCTAGCTGCACGTGATAATTCAGGTCCATAGCTTGATGATAAGCGATCTGTCCTGTCTCGCCATGAGTCTTTTTCAGGAATGTCATGATCATCATAATATTTTTTGGAACCCTCATCATGGACGGCATTATCTAAAGCGGCTATGAATAATCTATTGTTTATCTCTCCTGATTTACCATTGTAATTTTTCTGATCTGAATACCTATTACTTGGAGATTCACTTCTTGTCACAGGTCTCCTATTTGTATTTCCATAGATGTTGTAATTTTGTTGTCTTACTGGCTGTTTCATTTCATATAAATCAGCTATATCTAAACGGCCCGGACTTTTGCTTCGCTCGAAGCTTACATTAAAGTTATCTTCCCTTCTTGGTGACCTACTTCTAAAACTATCAGCTGTATCGTTAAAGTCTAACCTAACAGGATGACGTGATAATATTCTGTTCACTTCTATATCGTCTATGGTTGGGGAAACACGACCTTCATCAAAAGAACTAGAAAAGTTATTTCTATATGACCTTGTTCTTCTATGTGGATAAATTTCATGTAAATTTGATTTAACTGATGGCGAAATATCTTCGTAATTGTAATGGAATCCTTCAATGCCTTCATCCTCAAAATCATCATCGTCATCATCATCAGAAATAATATCATTTACTACTGGTGTAACAGGAATTGATAGTCCATTTACTCTTCCATATGGATTTTTGAGTGGACTGCTAGCCATGACTGGTTCCTTGTATGAATGACGTGCTGGTGAATAGGAACGCTGATTGGGTTGTTGATAAGATCGATGAGCAGGATCCTGATAAGAACGCTGACTAGGAGTTGGTTCCTGATATGAACGACTAAGTCCTGAATATGTATGCTGAGCAGACACAGACCTTGACTTGCTGCCAGTATTTTCTGGCTCAAGTTTTGTTGGAGTTTCTGCTCTTGGGGACTTTGACCTTGACCTTGACCTTGGTGCTATCACACTGTCTACTGATCTACTCAGTCTCTGTTTGGGTACTGGAGAACAGCGTCTCTCATTTGGTGTTGGAGAAGCTGATCTGCTAGGAACTTTGAAACCGTTCATTGGTTCAATATCTAAGTATATTCCTTTTTCCATATATTTTTTTATAATTCCAGTGATAGTCTGAAGGTGTCCTTCACTTTGTAACCTAGATATTTCCTCAAATAATTGTTGTCTCTCTTTTCGTGCATCATCAACAATAGTTTTAAGATCAACAATTGTAGTTTGTGCTTTAAATGCATATTTCTGTGCTCTCTCCAGTTCCTGAAAAAGAATTAAGATAAAAGAACTTGCTTTTTTAATATGTTGCATTTAATACGTTAGAGTTAGTCGATATTTTTGACTGAAAATCATTTAAGTAGGTTCAATCCTTTTTAACTTATCACAAACATTTATTTATACGTTATCTGTGTACTTTATATTAAATTTTTCAACTTAATATCAAATCAATTGTTTATTTTTTGTCTTCACAAAGTGACCAAAGACAAATAAAGAGATACCCCTGTCATATCAACTACAACCACAATTTTTTGTGGTGGTATATTAAACTTACAAAATGGTTTTTCTTATTCAGAATAAGTCATTTAAACCCTTAGTTGTTTTTAACTTTCTAAAAAAAACTATTAAGCTTTTCAATTTCAAACTACAAATGTTGTTATGTTATGTCTTTTCTCCATCCTTTTTAAAACTTCTACTGATATATTTTTCTTGACTCTTATTGTGATTTGGTGCTTGACATACTGTGCAAACAGTAAGTCTTGTATATTTTTGAAGACAAACACAGTATGTTGACCTTGAAGAGACAATTATTAAGTAACATTGTGTTGCTGTGTCATTGACCAATTGTCATATACCCCCTCTGACATCTTCTTTTGTTCATTTTGCATTTTTCTGTTCCCAGTTCTACGAACAAAGTTAAAAAAAAACCTCCTATCTAATGCAATTGAAATCTTTATTTTTCTACCTTTCTCTTAACTTTAAAAACAAACTTGAAATATAAAAAAAAATACTAAAAAAAAAGGTAACGATTGTAAAAAGTATGCATCTACTTTGTTCTTCACATGTATTTATATCATTCTGATTTGACCGTGACTTATTTTCTATATTCCTTACCTCTCTGAGTCTTTCATTTTCAGTCTGAGTTGTACCTAACACCTCAACCAGTCCATCTCGTTCCTCAGCCAGTGACTGCATTGTTGGAATATCCTTTTTGCTAGATCCCTTGAGTAACTTTCTTGTCTCTTCTAATTCAGATTCCAGTTCACTATTAATACCCTTTAGATCTTTCACTTGTTTTTCAAATTCTCTCATTCTAGCCTCTAAAGATTCATTTCTATTTCTCTCTTTTTCTAACTGTGTGCGTAATTCCATATTTTCAGCTTGAGCTTTTGATAAGTGAGCTCTACAGTCATTTAAAACTTCTCCTGTTTTTTTCATTTTTTCTTGAATGTCAGTATTTGAATTTCGAAGTTTAGCTTGTAAAATGTCATTTTCAGCAATTACTGTTCCAAGAGCATGTTTCAATTCTACGATATCGCTATCTGATATATCACGTGAAGAAGTAAGTTTCTTCCATTTTTCTTTTTGAACCATTGTAACACCTGCAAACTCTTCCTCCCTCATTCCCCAAATTTCATCGGAAACTTTCCTAATAGGACTACTATATCCTAAAGTTATTGGCTTGCCTTGTGATCGTGGTGAATAAAGTAATTTTCCATCATCATCTACCTTAAGTGACTTATCTATGCTTACTGGCAAATTGTGTAAACTATTAGACTTTTCACTAGGTAAAGTCCTCCAATCTGAAGAAGGTGAGACTCGGTTTTCAGATAAAGAACGAGATTCTACATCTTCTTTCTTTCGAAAAAGTCTACCTCTTGTGTAATCTGGTGAGGTTGACCTGTGTCTAGGTGACCTTGGTGAGCGAGGCGATCTGCTACTTAATCTTTCTTTTATCTTTTCACTTAATCTCTGCGTTAATGAATTCAAATCCTCTAAATCACCATCATCTGGTAAATGTGATTTTTCAAGCATCTCCATTTTCATACGCAGAAGTTCAAGTTCCTGATGAAATACTTTCACAAGTCTCCTGTTAGGATCAACTGAATCTGTATTACTTCCAGGAGCTGTATCTCCATTTTGTTCACTAACAGACTGAATTCTATCATAATTTTCAGTTAGCCTATCTAGATCTGGTGATCTATGTCTTGGAGATCTATTAGATCTTGGTGATAATGATCTACCAGAAGGTACCCTATCACTACTCAAAGAACGATCTCTTTCCATCTGCTCCCGTGGTGACCTTGTATGTAATCCATGGTCAGACATGCTTTCATGTTCTCTTGACCTTGGGCTTTGTGACCTTTCTCTTGTTCTTTCATAGCTTGAATCCCTACTGGAAGATCCATAATTTGATGACTTTTTAAGAATTGTTTTTGGCACAGTATCTTTATCATTAATAGAAATGGTTTCATCAACGTAATCATATCCAGGGGAAAGTGGTCGAGTTGAATTGTCTCTTCTTGGTGACATTCTTTCGTCACTCTTATCTCTTCCCATTTCTCTTCTCACCTTAACATCTTCTTTTATTTCCACTCGTGGGAAATGTCTCTTATCGTCTCTTTCTGCAAAAGGAAATTCTGCAACATTAGTTTGTGGTTCTGGTGGACTTCCAAGCACATCAATAATTGACTTTTTTGTGGGTAAAAATTCAGGGGAGGGAACATAATTGGATCTCCTTGGTGAAACACCACGAGGTGTTGAAATTTCTGCTTTCTTGTCAGATTCAAACTGAAGATATTCTGACGGAGGGATGTCATCAACAGTTTCTAAATCTAAAAGTCTAGCTTTCGGAAGAGTTTCCTCTGAAGAACTTTTTGAACTTGAGTCTTGATCATGAAAGTTTGCTTCATGACGAGCCTGACGCAAGGCTTGTAATAAAAACATTGTTTCTGGATTCTGACCTGGCATCACGAAAATGGGAACACCTCTCCCTAGTCCAGGTAAATACTGTGGCGGACAAGTTGTATATTGTGGCAAGTTTTCACGTATCATTTCCTCTATGTCATCATTTGATGACCTTGCTGAATCAAGTTTCATACTAGTATCGATCTTTTTTGCTTCAGTTTCTTTATGAAGTTTCTGTTCTTTTTCCCTAACTTTTTGATCTTCATCTTCTCTTCTTCGTCTTTGCTCCTCTAATTTTTCCTTGGCCTCTGCCATTATTGCTTTATGATCTCTCGGTCTGCGTAATGGAGATGTTGATCTGACAGTATCACTTGTTAATTTACTTTCTCTTTTTGGCTCATAGTTTCCATTAATATGACGACTATGTGGCGAACTTTCTCTATCTAGAGTTCTGTCCCTTGAATCATATGTAGATCCTGATAAGGCACTTAATTTGTCTTCCTCGTGAAATCGATCAGAAATTGTATCGCTGATAGTTTTTGTTAATATTCTTTCTGATTCTACAGGTAATTTAGAAAACTGAGGATCTGAGCCTGAACCGTTAGATGTAGAAAACCAATCTGATGTTTCTTCTGAGGGATTTTTTCTGCTGTCAGACTTCTGTAAATAAATGTAAATTTGTCAATGGAAATGAACTGTTTAACTTATAGATATAATCTAAACGTACAATTATAGTCTGTTGTCAAAACATTCATTTATTTAAAAGATACTGTCAAAATAAGTTGGAGAAATAAAAAAAGTGTTTGAATTTAAGGGTTCACATGTATTTTCATACCTCCCCAATCCCTTTCAGTGGTGAGGGTGTGAAGTATACATTTTATCCATCCCTCATTTCATCCTTTGTATGGTGATCATTGTGTCCTTTCACCTATTTGTTTGTATGTTCCTTTGATTGTCTGACATTTTGGATCTGCTATTCCTCCTAAACCAGACTTGATTACCATGAAACTTATAGAGAATCAATTGGTAAGAAATGGCATTGTGCAACTTTTTATTTTTAAAAAGCGATTTATATCTCGACTTGGTACTATGGTATATCACTTGTCTATTATGAATGCAGTATGTTGACCTCTTTTTTTTATTCTTTAGTTTGAGTTGTAAGGTTACTTTGTAAGTGATGTTTACGGACACATTCCCTAATTAATATTCTTAAATTAATGTAAACCACTTACTGAGGATCCTTCATCTAAAAGACTACTGCCATCAACCTACAAAATATATAAATATTTGTTCAATCTTCACAAAACTTGCTAACAAAACGGTTGTTTTTCAATTTTCCAAAAAGTTATTAGTTTTTAAAGAAAATTACAAAACTTGAACATAAGCAACAGTCAGAATTTGGAAGTTTATTGTTTGATATTAAAAGACAAATTTTAGAATGGATATCTTTTAAAAACCTACTACAAATTTCAACACTGATAATAGCTTGCGACTAATGGCAAGAAAATTTCTAATAGGACTTAGGTAAGCTGTCAGCACATTAAATATTCATTGCAAGAACTCTTGTGAGATCTGTAGGTTGCCTGTTGTAAGGCAAAATTTCCCCCTATCCAAGATACTGCTGTTCAGCGTTTAGCTGTACAGTAGTCTGATTCATGTTTACTCCATATTTTCTTTCATTTTAATTTTGGATCATTTAAGCTTCAAGCATGTTGCAAGTATCCCCATTATCAAAACATTTTGTAATTACTATAAATACAATACATTCATTGGTACTTCCACATAGAGGATACCTGGGCATGCTTGAAGATTGTGTTTAATTATAATAAATATATCATATAATGACTTTACCTTTCTCTGTAAGAGGGAAACAAAGATCATCAGAGTATGTTCATCTACTGTACCATCTACAATGTCTGAGGCACTGTAAAATAATCAAAATTATCATTTATATACTACTATAAGTGTTTTCAAGAGGTTAAGTTTAGTTAATGAAATAAAATTATTAAAATATCAAAACCTTTGTAAGTGAAAACACACACAGTTCAAGTTCCTGTCCCATGTCATGAAACTGGATATTGCCTGTCTTTTGTGGTATCTTATTCTTAAATGTTTATTTTTATTTTTTTGTGATATCTTTATGTTTTTTATGTTTTTTATGATTTGGTATATTTGGTGTTAATGGCAAATGATTATAAGCTATGCTGTGTTATGATATACCATTCTTACTAGGATTCAATCTTAAGATTTTCACATAGCAAACTATAAACTTATATATGAAGAGATCAAAAATATTTCCTTTGATCAAAGAACAGTCGATTTTACTTAATTTAGAGAGTATGCTAGACGTTTTATCTTTTTTCTAAAATGCTGTGATAAGAAATTTACCAAGTCTGAAATACATAAAAATATCAATAAAAGTTCCAGAATTAAATCTATTTGAACATGAATTGTATGTATCATTAAGTTTGATTATATTACTCAAATTTTACATGCTCATTATATTCAGTCAATTTGTAAAGAAAGCTTTGAGAAGGCTTACTTTATAATACTGCTTTTAATTGAATACTGTTTTTCTATTGAATCTAAAAGAATCTTCAACTGCTCAGCTTTATCCTGAAATACAATAAATGAAATGTTGTTATGAAAAAAAATATTAATGTATTACATGTGCATCATTGAATCTTAAGAAATTCATTCTTCCATTAAAAAAAAAAGTTAAAAGGTATAACCAGTACATTAGTTTCCTTATATAAGATGCTACACTGATAAAAAATTGTTTATATACCATATCTCATTTTCCTTATAGTTCAGGGGAGACCTTTTGTATATCTAGGTTTCATTTGCACAAAATTAAGAGGTAGAATAAGGGATATAAAGGATGGAATGAAGAAAAATATAGCATTTTCAGTTTATCAATGTTTATCAATTCATATGTTATATTATATAAAAAGCATTGGCATAGAAAATTGGTATCCAATAAATGATAACAAATTTACAGCATCTTTTTAATTGTTTCTGTACTTATACATCCTTGGCTTTCAAATATTCGGCTTTAAGCAATCCTGAGGAAGGTAAATCCATAAAAGGGCATTGCATGCATAAAATTTATGCATTGTTATTTTCATTTAGCAGACAAGTAGTCATAATACATACCTCTGTAGCAATGGCAGAAACACTGGAATATTTCTTCAGTAATTTAATAAACCAGTCACCAGTACATAGGCTGTAAGACAAATACACAAAACATTATTTAATTTAACTTTTGTCATGTTTTGAAACACGTATATATTTGGTTAACTGATTGATTGATTGATTGTTGTTTGTGAAGGGCATACGATACAGTTACAGGGGAGGTAATGACATTGCTAACGTAAAATGTTATTGTGACATATCAGGAAAAGATGCATTTTCGACTGATTTTTATCATTCAGACTGATTTAACTTGAAAAAGAGTTCATGGACCCTTCTTTTTAAAAATGACATTTGACTTGATTATGTATGAAGATTCATTGTGCCAATTTTTATGAACAAATCACTGATGTTTTTTTTAAAATTAGATAAATATACAGCAAAAAATGACGTTCTTTGACAAAAAATCATGAAAATTTGATAAAAATTAATAATTTCCAAAGAATTGTTACACAAATTCAAAGCACACTTATGTAGAGAAGATATTCCAGATGCTTTTACATAACTCTGCTTGCGTTTATCTTTTGAAACAAAAAAGTTAAATATGTCTTTCCAAAGGATTGAAATGTCAGAGAAACTGGAATTTTCAGTAAATGTCTGAAATTTCGACCCCATTTATTTCTAAAAGTAGCACATGAAGGTATATTTTTTATTACATATTTGAATTTACTAAGTGAAAAATAGCTTGTATGCAAACTTTTGTCAAAAATTCACCATGGGATCAAAACTGTATTGTATGCCCTTAAATGTCCATATAATGTAGAGCACATTTAGTACAGGAGCAAATAAAACCATAGAATATTTAGTTTAGTACTTCAGAGTGGCTTGGCTGGGACTCTACAGTGGAAAAAATAACATGCAGTTAAACTGTGCAAACATTTTGCATGAAAAATCCTGTTCAAACTATTTACGGTAGTCAATAATTTTTTTTAATTTTTTAAATTGTGTACCAGACTAAAATATTTATAATCACACTTGCTTAACTTACTAGGTGTGTAAATTACACAGAAAATTAAACAAATATTATCCAATGATCAAACATGACTTGATCCCAAATAAAAACATTAACAAGTGAACGCTTGCATTGTAAACAGCTTTTGACAATTTTTTATTTTATTAAAAATTCTTAAGGTTTATCTTATTAGCATATTATGAAGGCTTAACTCACTTAAGTGAAATTAACACTCTACAAGTGCATTCACAAAGTTAAAGACTGGACAAAAGGATATGGTAGACCTTATTATCATATCACAATACTTATATATGAATGAATGTATATACGATGGCTTTACAGTCATACATCATACATTACCTTAATTTCATATTATGAATTACAAATTTTCTACCCCAGGAGTATGTAACCTTATATGCATTTTTATTGATATTATGCGATCTGTTTGAACTTCTATGGTTGTCCTTTGAATTAAAAGTATTTATATGCAATTAATTATTCATCAGGTCTTTTTTTATCAACCTTCTCTTTTCGCAATGTACCTTATTTTTAAATTCTTTGGATAAGGTTCAATATTTCAATTGGAGAATTTATTATATTGTGTAAAAATAGGAAGATGTATAATTTCCAATGATACAACTATCCACCAGAGACCTAAAGATGAGATGGTAAATTTGATCCTATGACTATATAGTATACAAATCCTTCCTGAAAGAAGTATGTAAAAATAGAATTGTATGAGACCAAAACCTGCACCTTTTACAAAAGACCTGTTTATAAAGTGCCAATAGAGAAAAATACAATAAAAATCAAGTTACAGAAAAAGAAGAAAATTTGAGAGGGATATCTATATTAATTGTATGTTATATATTTTACTATCATGTAACAAAACAGGTATATATATAAAATAAACCACTTCCTATAACTCATTTAATCATTTTTTCAGTGCAAATACATTTAAAATTAATAAAAAAAATAATAAAAAGCTTGTAAATTAAATAATTATAAACACACTCCTAACTTTTTCAACATGTTCATTCATGATTTCAGTGTGTTTTAAATGCAACAACACACAAAAATGTTAAAATCCCCTCATACAAATATTTGATCAGGTTCTTTAAATATACAATAAAGAAACTTATATATTTGTCCTAATGTTTTGTATTACTTTCCAGGCCTCTAATGTCAGAAAGTTTTTTGAAAGAATGTTTTCAATTGGATCGCCATTTAGAACACTTCAAAATTAAAGTACAATATTTTACTTAGATATAAGGTGAAATACATTTGACTTTGAAGTGAAAAGTGTTGATAAGAAATTTTATGTCAACTTGAATTTTTATCATCTGACAGTCATATAAATTTTAAAATGATACAAAAACTACTTATGTTCAGACAACATTGTAAACTATGATTTATTCTAATGTAAATATATGTTGATTCCCAGTGAATTTTAAAATTCATTTGTGCGAAACAGGAAGAAAGGCAATTTTTTTTTGGCAGGTCACAAAAAAAAGCAGACACAACATTGTATATGTACGATATAATAAATGGTAGTCTCATCATCATAAAACTCGATGGATGAATGAAAAGACATTCAATCTACAACATGTAATCTTTCATATTCAGGATAAGATCCATGCTGATGCGAAATAAATATGACCCTTACTTTGAACCAGAACTAGATCCACACACTAAAGCAGATTCTTTATAAGGTAAAGCATTTATGGAAACAGTCTGAAGAAAACTTGACATACCCAACACTGACAGATTATTCTAAATTGGGGGACAAAGGGATCAAAACCACACCAATTCTTTCTAAAAGAAAGCATGCTTCCACAAGATGATGGAGGCAATACCATAAACCTGTCCATATTGGTGTTTTTGTTATATATAATATTCATTCAAAAACACATAGTATAACAGATTCATTACATTTTAATAAATTTAACCAAAAAAACGTATTGCTAATTTTGCAATTTTTTTAAATTGTTTACTTGCTAAAAATAGGATATCTCTTCATTATGAAAAATACACTTATAGTGATTTAAAATTTTAAATCAATTTCTATCTGATTTACCACAGAATTATTCAACAGTTTGAAAAGATAATTGAGTATGTTGAATGCAATGTTTACATTATTGAACAATAACCAGATTTGACTTTAATTAGTATTGTAAATTATCAATCTCAGCAGACCATGAAATATTTCATAATTGATAATCCCAATATTGATCCAACAGTCCTCCATTTGAATATGCTGATAAAGTCACACACTTTCCCTGACACATCCACTGGACCATTTTGACAATATATCTTAGTTACTATATACTAGCTACCATCAGGCTAGTACTCCCATCCAAACTGGTATATACCTTAGCTTTTCAACCCTAATTCCCTTCTTTAATGGTACTTTTTTCTTTCCCATCAAAATATTATTATTTAAAGCTAAGTGGCCAATAAATGTGTTAAAAATACATTGCATCATATCAAATTATAGCTGAAAGTATTAATTTTGTCCGCTAATTCTATTTTTTTAAACTCTTTCTTCCATCAAACTTTCAGGACAAATAAGTCTGAAAGATCTTACAGGTAAGGACCAATTTATCTCTTTTACACACAGAAGCATTTTTGACTGTGTTCATTGAAAAGGAAAATCTTTCTATTATGTAGGGTAGTAAAAGACAGCCTCCTTTCAGCCATAAATTACCTGGTACTAAAATGATAAATACCACCTTTAAATAATATATATCGATAATCATCAACCTTATTGATAACTAACATTAGGAAATTGAACTTTAAAAGAAATTTTAAATAATATAATTATATACAAAGAAAATTGCATGTTGAAATTTAATATATTGAAATATAAAATGCGTCATCTGTCGGCAAATCATGTAATCACGCCAGGAAAACACTTGCCTATTCAATACTACCGTTTGAATTCAATAGTAAACTGTAACATTTAAACTAATTTAAGGTTTATGTTTAAAAATTCACCAAATGTAACAGTAAAAATTTGATCTTATCTCGTTTGAATATCAAACTGGAATGCACTTGAAAATGTTTTACATAATGAACACAAGAAAATGAAACCAGATAGATTTCTTTTACTTGTATAAGGGAGCAGGATAAGATTTACAAGCATTCAAAATTTTTGTGTGCACATTACTCAATTGTGTTTCGAAAAGTCAAAAGATGTGTGTATGTATTAAAGACTAATGATATTTGATTCACTTCTTTAAAAGTACTGGGTTTTTATCATTACAAGATTCATAAACAACTTCAAATGTATCTCAAATCTGTCATAGCTTAACATGTATATTTTTTTCACAGTTATCTTCAGTTCAGTACCCTGTAGTGTGACAAATACAAAAGTTCATGTTATGGCTTTGGAAACCACTGAATTTAAAGTTACCAACAAAATAATTGAAAGATGCATAACCTACTTGCTGATGAAGAGTTTATGCAAGTTTAATTTCTTATTCTGTTTGATGGGATAAAGATGTGTCTGTCCCTTTTTTCAACAACATTGAGGGCCCCTGTTTGGCTATGGGAAATCAATGTGGTCAAAAAGTTAAATTAGACGTGAAATATCCACTTCCTAGATCTACACAATTTTAATGTTTTGTTTTTTACTGGTGTAGGAATTGAAAAATAGCACTTTATGAATTTGTTGTCCAAAGTGATTTTCTGGATTTAAGAAGGGTTGTGGATCTACACTTTTGGATGAACAGAACAAAATTTTATTTTTCAGTTCAACAGATGCTTAAGTTCTCAAATCTGCATTTATATATAGATATATTATATTTATATGTTGTTTGTGCAGTATTTAGACCCCTCTACCAAGAAATTTGTTTTGCATGCACACGTATAAAAATTGCGGTTTTTATCCAATGCAATCATAGGTTTGAATGTTGTTTTCAATTTAGACTTGTTTGTATTATATTTATTATACAAAATGTAGAAACTGCTTTATAATGATTCACACTATTAAATATGCATTATTTTCTAATGGCAATACATTTTCTTTTTTAGTTTCACAATCAAATGTGTTTTAACATGCAGCTGCACTGCATGTACAATACAATTGGACTCAAGTTATGGATTATCATTCCTTATAATGAATCATATTGTAAATGTTTTTATGTATTTAAATATCTTTTAGTAATAAAAAGGATTTTAAAATTATGTATCTCTGCATGGTGTCACAATAAGGGGCAAAATTTTAATTACTAGTTTCAAGCCAATATTAGTCAAAGCACTTATTACTAGCAATATAGTTAGGTTTAAAATAGCAGTGTTATACTGCAAACAGTTTGAGATATGAATCAACAGAAAAGGTATGGATTTAATATCAAATCATATATAACAAAATTTCTTTCATGATATAAAAGTGATTGATTTTATTGGGTATTTTTATGACTGTAATAGGAAAGTATAAGAAGGGGGTCTTCCAGTTTTCTTCAAGGGTAATTCCCCCCATCACTCATTCAAGAATTTTAACTAGACCTGTGATTAAACTCGTCAATTTCTGTCTAGCCATTTAGGTACAGTTGTGCTTACAAGGCAAACAGACAGATGTAAGAAATATAAATATGTCCTCAAAGACCCCAAAAGAATTTTTCTGGAACATCCCTTACTTCTATAGCTTTTCACATCAATCAAGCTAACCATCATAGAATATTTGTAAAACAGGTTTGTAAAAAGTGCTATTCTTTTCTAAAACCAACCATCTTTTCAACATGTTACTGTAAATTTCATACTCAAAATGTATTTCAACCAGTAATAATTTGTCTAGTTACTTAAGATTTAGTCGTACCATCTTTTGTGAAATACAGACCCGGTGTTTAAAGTTTATGGTTATGGTAAGACCATGGTTAGGTTCTAATATCATAGTAAGATAAAGAAGAGAGACAGGGTTAAGGTTGATAACACTAAGAGTCTTTTCTAGGACCTGTATATGTTAGAGGTATCAGTATTTGAAGTCTGTAGCAAAGATCAGTTATTTTATAAGAGGGTCTGGAGGGGTGTCCTTCAATTCTGTATTCTTTAATTGTTCAAACCATTATTCTTTATCAATTTCACCCATTATTCATTTTTTTGTTTTACCTCTTCTCCATTCTTTATTTTTTTGGACCATTATTCTGTAGTATTGGCCAAATATTCTCTATTCTGTAAACCCCATCCACACCCTCTTATAAGACTTAGAATTCTAATTATAATTGTAACTTAAGATAATAAAAACATCAATCCCATCATCATTTCACTCATCCATCCATCAAAATAGTATACAGTTCAAGATTACAATAAGAATTGTGTCTAAATAATTGAAACTCCAGGTTATGTTCTCATTACGAAAACACCATACTTACTTATATGTGAGTGTATTTCTAGAATCAAAATCTGTATCTAGCTGTCGTTGACACCATTCCAATAATAGTTTCTTGCCAATTCCTACTGATCTTTGATGTGCATTTCTCCCTGTAAATACACCAAATCCTGGTTTATTTCTACATCAATCCAGCTTTTAACAACACATATATCTTATTGGCTACAATAATGTGCACATAAAAAGACTTATAAGTAAACATGATGGCCTCATTCAAATTCATACCTTTCAATACAGAAAAATAGTCAACACATAAAATTCAAATAAGTTTACTATACATTTTATTTCTAATATTTTACCAATAAATACTAAATAATTTATACCTGTGAATTTTTAACAAGACAAGATTCTCTGGAGTGGGAAAAGGAATATGTTGGGACTTGTGCCATACCATTCATCGAATGAACAAAAATTTTAAAACTTTTAAATTTGTAAAGAATTTGTTTACTGATCTGTCCAAATTAAGATACAATTGTTTATTATATAAAATTAATTATTTATTTACAATTATTTTACTGTTCAATTCACATGAATTATTTGAATTAAACAAAACCATTTAATTTGTTTAGTTAAAGATTGACTCCCATAATTTACATCTTAACCTTTAAAACTATATGTTTAAACCAACAGAAGAAATGTAAATTTCTGAATTTTTCAGAATGATATCAAAACTATTGGGTAATTTTTAAACGGTATATTACTTAGGGCTTCCATCAAGTTAATGTGAATTGTTTTTCCTTAGCTCTACACTAAAATAAAACTTTTGCATCTGTCAAATTGTGATTGTTGCAATAGTAGATTACTTATTACTCTTGTAAGTCAATTTTGGCTGACTACCATTAATAAATGACAATTTTTCTGGAGTTTTTTTTGTAGGTTATTATCTGAATTAATATGACAATTAAAGCTAAAAAAATTGGTGAAAATAGGTCTTGAAGAATACCAATTACAAATTAATATGGTTAATGGGTCAAAAATGTAATTTGCATGGAAACAGTATCATCCACTGCTTTGGATTCAACTTTACAGCAGAGCTTCCAAAAAACACATGTGAACAAAACTGATAATTGGAAAATCTATAAAAAAAGAATTCTTGTACATTAAAAAAAGATGGAATATCACTAAAAGATATCCCATTCTCATGTCATAAAGCAATCTATTAGCATTTCCTAACAATTCTCCCAGTTGTATTCTTATTGGACGTACTCAACGATGAATTTCTCTTAATTTGACTTATCGAATCAATACATTTCCACATCTTGTATGATTTTAGATTTAATATAATACCACCTTATATCTTAAATTATTCATTAAATCAGATTTCTTATGTACATATCACCTTACAATTCCAAAATAAAATATTTTTACAATGTCTGTATTAAGAAATCATAGGATAGGTACAAGACCTGTATTACTAAGTATATAACGGGATCAGGAAAATCAATATATATTTCAAATATTGACTTTAAATTTAAAACTGCAATAAGGTGGAATTCCTAACAGTGTATGGTCAATATGATTTGATATTGGTATAATCTCAGTCAAGCAATAAAATCAAAGCCTTTGACGGACATTATAATTGTGATAGCTATTTCTGTATAAACACTACAAAGCACTTGATCGTTGTAATTTTATTTTGACCATAAACTCAAGTGTTTTGTTAAAGGTCTCTCATACAACGAGAAGTTCAACAAACCTAGCTTAATTTTAAGGACAAAATTTGGGATAGTAAATCCTGAAGTTATTTGGAAATTTATTCCAACTGGAAATTTTAGAATTTATTTTGTCAAACTTCAATCATCTTCTTCCAAATATTGTGTTTATAAATGTTTATTTGATAAGAAAAATGTTTTCGTTTGAGGTATGAAAAACTTTAGTTTGTTAGTTTACCAGCTTTTAACTGACATTTTTTGTTAATGTCTGACGTTTACGTTATATCTTGATTATTCATAATAAAATCTTTTGACAAGTTACAGTAAGTTCTTTTAATGCGCATCACAGCAGTATATCATACCTTATAAACCAAGGAAAAAAGTTCAATTAATCCTGATAGATTTCTAAAGAGGTTACATACTGAATTTTATTATCTAAAAAAATTTGCAGATGATGAAAGCAAATACTGTACACTTCTAACGTTTTGAAAATTTTGAGATCATGTAATATATACTTTTTAACACTATTTAAAATTTGTACTGAAATATAAAAAAATCATGATGATAAAAATAAACTAAACTGAAAAGAATCCAAGCCATCCTTACAAAAAATAATTTAAATGCTTATAGGATATCTATTAAAATGATAAGTAACTCTCATTTTCAGACTGAGTACTTGTGTATGTCATTCGCTCATTAAAAAAAAATAGACCTAAATAAAACCTAATATATAAGTAAGCATTTCAAATTCAGACTGTCCTGACGATCGTTATTTAATCCTCTTTTAAATATGACATTTATCTTTGGTGAATCTTTCCTATGTCCTTTTGTATAGAAGTGTGAATAGATCTTTTGTAGAACAAAGGAGTTATCAACCCTTGTTAATGTTTTAAAAGGACTGTGGGAATGGTATAAAATTAGGTGTTTAATTTTCCTACAGTGTGTCATTGTCCAAAAAAATTAGTTGTGGATTATTTATTTGTTGTTATTATCATATGAAAGGGTCTGTCATGTCAAAATGCCCTAAATCAATCTACTATCAAATTATTAACAAACGAGAGCTCTTTTTATTGCAAAACTACTGTACGTCATCATCAAGTAGCTATTTTATTACTAAAAACTTTGTAATAATATATATGTCTTTATAAGCTCTGCATCTTTTGTATAATTTGCAGATATTAATATAATTGTCAGCAAAAACCTGTATATATTTATACTTTTATACATATTAAGCTCTTTTAAGTTCTACAAGCATTTTTTAAAAATATACATTAATTACTAATACTTCTACATCCATGATCTAAATCATGATTTTATAATAGAATATCCTGTCTAAATCTCATCATGATTAAATTATAAATTCCTATTTATTTCTGATATTCAGTTCTGGTTCCTGGTGTGCATAAATATAGTATAATACCTTAACTGTGAAATGAAACTTCTCATTTATCATTTTCTCGACTCTATCTATATATACTAATAAATTGTCATTTTACAATTTATTACATTTTCTTTCCATTTACAAAAAAACTATGAAGCAATAATAGAATTAATCCTTGTTGGAATGCTTGGTAAAAATTCAAACAACACCATTCATGCAATAAAAAAATGAGAAGATGTGGTATGATTGCCATCGAGACAACTATCCTCCAGAGACCAAATGACAAAGATGCAAGTTCCTTCAAAAATGTGCTCATGATAGATTGAAATACCAATAAATAAATATTAAAGTAAATAATAGATGAAGATACATAGTGCATGTTTTTGCTGTTGATGTATAACAATTTCAAGTTAAAGTGCAATAATGGGAGATAACTCTGTGACATTATACAATATACATTCTATTTTCCGGGTGACACACCCAACACTTACTTGTGTTAAAATCATCACAATATGCACCTAGAATAAACAGTATAAATAAAACAGATTTTGGGAGGAAAGATGTTACAGCTGTTCTAAAATTGTCATCAAAATACTGCTGCTATTTTTTGACAATTATTGCCTGCCTAAATTCAAAGATTAAAAATTCATCAGTCAGACTTATCTCAAACCATGAAATTCTCACAGGCTTATACATTATAGTACAATTATTTCTAAGACAACAACTTATAAAATCTTTCAAGAAGAAAAATTTGTTCTTCTTAAAAACAGTTACAAAGTTAAAATAGCTGTAATTGTAAGTAAACAAATCAAGAAGTAAACATACACCCAGTAAATAAAACCAGGATCTGAAAAATGAATTGTTAGACAGTATGTTTGGGCAGTAATTTAAAGTAAATAAAGTCACAACCTCAAGGAAGAGATTATCCCAATAAACCATTATCAGAAATTGTAAATTATACTGGAGAAGGGGTTATATCTATATTATGTCTATAATTCAAAGGTTCTTGAGATTTATTGGTAAGGATATTAGCAAAAGGACAATTGTACCTTTAATGAAATTATCTACTTGTGTGGTTCCTTCAAAATAAATCGGAAAAAAGTTATTATTTAGTTTGAAGATTCTACATAAATTTCCATGGAATCATTAATCTTTTCCAATATCTAATTTTGTATGCTGGCACATTCTTTAATAAGATATAATCATAATTCTAATGGTTTTTTATTTAACACAGCATTTTGTTTTGAACTGTCAAATGTAGTTTTATGGAACTCAGTTTATTTCAGTCTGCTATGATTCTACTCACTATCACTTTTTGCATTTTTGTTTTTTGCTACAAATATCATGTTTTTAAACTTTATATATTCTTCACATCACCTATAACATGTATAATCTGTCAAATAGGAATGGTCCAAAGGAGTCCATCTTATAAAATCAAATTAAAAAAATCTACTTTCAAAGGAAAAATATAAACCAAAAAAAATCTACTTATAGTATGTGACTATTTTCTAACATTCATATAATTATAAATGACTGACTGACTATATGACTTACTTATATTATGTATCCCGTAATTAAGTATAATAAGCCATAAGACATCTAACATGGATTTAATATCACCATCTGCTATATCTGAAAATAGAAAATACATTGCACATTATTTTAATATTAAATATATTTTTTCCATAGATTTAATTCTAGTTTTCTTTCTTGTATTTTGTGTACTGTTTGTCTTTTGGTCGTTTTTGTTTTTTGTCATGGCATTAACAGTCAGTTTGTTTTTTGCTATGGCATTAACAGTCAGTTTGTTTTTTGTCATGACATTAACAGTCAGTTTGTTTTTCATCGTATGAGTTTGAATATCCCTTTGGTATCTTTTGCCTCTCTTTTATGTTAGCCAATCACTCTATTCATGGTATGAGTTTGGTTTGCATCAAAACTGTTTTCGGGTCTAGGTTAGTCTGATATTTTTAGGACATCCTGACAGCCTTTTGGGTGACATGCTAGGGCTTGGGACTGTCCTGTCGCAAGACCCAATAAGGCTACAGTATCGAATCTCAGAGCAATCTCAGTCTCTGACCTGTTCTAGGTTTGTTGAACTCAATTTGACACACTCTTTTCACTTGCCTGAACCAATTTTCATTAGATTTCGGTTTGGGACTAATGACTACTAGCATACGACACTAAAGGCAAAGTTCTAAAAGATATCCATACATGTACAAAGAAAAGCAAAGCTGTTCTAAAGGATATCCATACATGTACAAAGAAAAGCAAAGCTGTTCTAAAGAATATCCATACATGTACAAAGAAAAGCAAAGCTTTTCTAAAGGATATCCATACATGTACAAAGAAAAGCAAAGCTGTTCTAAAGAATATCCATACATGTACAAAGAAAAGCAAAGCTTTTCTAAAGGATATCCATACATGTACAAAGAAAAGCAAAGCTGTTCTAAAGAATATCCATACATGTACAAAGAAAAGCAAAGCTGTTCTAAAGAATATCCATACATGTACAAAGAATTTAATTTGTACAGCATCCTAATAAAAAAGAATGAATGAAAACATTTACACCTATCTAGGTTACCATCTAACAGTCCCAAATGATGGACAAGTGTCAAGACTGTCTAGCCCTGACTGGGCTGAGTGTTGACAGTTCTAAATGACAGGACTCCAATTTTAGGTCCATTGGTCCCATGAACTTCTGTACCAGTTAGATGGAAAGCTATTTCTATGATGGCCATTTTAGTGTTAAATCAAAATATAGACTTAAATGTGAACAGTTATTTGTTCAAGTTTGACATAGCAGTAGTATATAGCATCTATATAATCATATGCAGTATATACTCAAAGTGTGTGCAGAAGATTCATACTTATCAAATATTGATAAACAGAGATGTTTGGGATATATGTCGATAAAACACCTACCAAACAACACCAAAAAATAACATATCAAGTTTATTTTCAAAGTACAATTATTGAGTTTTTCCCTATATGAATCTATATGCCAAAGCTTCTCAGTCCCCTTTACAAATTTTCAAAAATATCCTACTTACTTTTTATACATATATCCTAATATTTTGCTTTATCATACAAATATCTCCACTCTTTTAAGATATTTGACAGTATAGACAACCAATAAACATCTGAGTTCTAATGTTTAATCAGGTAAAAGAAGTAATTTTGTGTAATTAATTTAAGACTTACCCCAGGTGTAAAATTGGTCAAATATACAATCAAATTCAATTACCAACTTGTAAAATCTAGTTAACAATAAACTAAAGTATGCAAGATTTGTATGATATAGTATATCCTTCCAAGGATACACAAGTCAAACATGCGACCAACAGCATGGACACACAAATATTTAATTATCAAAATAACAATTAGGGGTATTAATTTCGATATTTGGAATCTAATTTAATTAAGGTCAAGGAGGGATTAAATTAAATAATTGCATTTAGAATTGTAATTGTTTAGATATAATTCTTGCAAATCATTCTGTTTTGAGTGTTTAGAGAACAATTTCATCACTGAGTAATTTTTAATAATAACAATGACTATTTGCAATTCTGTACTTATCAACCTGGCCTGTAGTATATATATTATATTCAAATATGAAACTCTGGTGCATTATGTAAATAACATACATGTATTTTGTAATAATCATGGACAAAGGAAGATAACTCCAATTTTAAAAATTACTTGATATTCAGAAGAAAATAAAAATTTTGCAATTTTTCCATTTATAAAGGGGCATAACTCTAGAACAGTTAAAGTGACGCCACCAAAATTCAAACTTGATCTGTGTTTTGTGGTAATAAGCATAGTGTAAAAGTTTCATAACATTTGGTTGAGGCAAACTTAAGTTAGAGAACGGAAACTAAAAATTTTGCAATTTTTCCATTTATAAAGGGGCATAACTCTAGAACGGTTTAAGTGACGTGACCAAAATTCAAACTTGATCTGTGTTTTATGGTAATAAGCATTGTGTATAAGATTCATAACATTTGGTCGAGGCAAACTTAAGTTAAAGAACGGAAACTAAAAATTTTGCAATTTTTCCATTTATAAAGGAGCATAACTCTAGAATGGTTAAAGTGACGCCACCAAAATTCAAATTGAATCTGTTTTTTGTGGTAATAAGCATTGTGTATAAGTTTCATAACGTTTGGTTGAGGCAAACTCAAGTTAGAGAACGGAAACCAATTTTGGGACGTACAGACGGACGTACGTACAAACAGACGGATAAGGGTAAAACTTGCATTTAGTCGGGGGCATAAAAATGGGTTACGAACTTATCAGATATAGTAATAGATTTTAACCTGATGTAAACTTGAAACAATGACCAATGTTAGTAAAGAAGTAAAAGTGGACGAAAAGTTATTCTATTCTCTTAAAACTCCATTGAGGCAAACCTCAAATTTATTTGGAGATGTATGTGTAACATAGAAGAGGTCAGCTGAAAATGCATGAACATGGGCTAACCTTTGGATTGCACTCTTTAGATTCCTTTTTGAGAAGACATCCTATTTGTAGAAAGAAACAAGTATATACCCAGAATATGGGGAAAATGAACAGCATACACATTTATTGTCCTCCATTCAACAAAAAAACAGTCTGCATATTAGTCTAGAGTTCTCACAATTGAGTTACATTTACAAGTGTTAGACTGTTTAAAATGATCAATGCCTCAAAATGCCATCAAAAGCTCTTCAACAACTTTAACAGCTTTTAAAGTACATTTTACAAATTATATTTTAATAGACCACTTTTCTTGTCACGGAACCAAAATATAATTATGTAAATATGCAAATACTGTCTGGAATATTAAACACTCCTTTAGAAATAAAGTGTTCCAAATCTTGAGTACCATTCAAAATTATTTTGGTCACTTGGCAGATACTCTATTCAGGACAAAATTGTGCTTATCGGACAACAAATATTACAAGTGTTAACTACAAAATATTAATAATGAATTTTGACCTTTTCATAATTCCGTCAATGAGTATTGAACAATGTATGAACTACATCCAAATTTTAATTTGTTCTTAATCAACTGAAATATCATTTGGCAGAATTTCGATGGACGACTGGAGCCGAACAGATCTAAAGTATCATTATGTTAAACGACACAGAACTGTATTAAATGGCATGTATCTATCTGATGAATACAGTTAAAGGCCAAAATAAAGATACGTTTAAGCTTATATCAATGTATTAAAATAAATGGAGTGCTTTGAACTACAAGAATTTACTTAAGTTAAACCTTCAATTAATTTGATCCTGCTAGTTTCATAAGACCTTTAATGTGATGTTTTTTTTTTGAGTTTTTAAAGTGACAAATTGTGCTATAATAGATATCTTCATGTAAATTAATGTAATCTTGAAATTTTCACAATTAACATGTTTGAATAGAGAACTAGTGTTTAACATTTTCAGATTATAGATCTATATATTTTATGTTATAGCAAATTGAATTTGTGATTGTTGCAAGAATTTTTATACCCTATTGACATACAAGGAGATATTGAAAATTCTATTTTCTTCTATTCTCAATTTTTACGTAGAAGTTACTGACATAAATATATCTTTATGGGTCCTAAAATTAGTCACAAATATAGTCTTACTCCATGTAATAAGTATATCTATGAATTTTGAAAACTGTATTCATGAGGTTGTGTCAGAGATAGACTTAGAATATTTCTAAGCAAGCATCAGAAAATAAATACAAAAAACACAACATCAATTATTCATTACAGAGGAAAACGAATCATAATTCTGATTTTGTCCAGACTTAAAATACATATACATGATTGTATAGTGTAGTCCAAAAACTGTTTGTCATCGAACTGAATCATATTAGAAACAACAAAGTTTAAAATAAAGACTTGGCTCACATGTAACCACTTGCATGTTTTATCATTATTCCTTTCAAGTTTACAAACTCTAAGAATTTTCCATAGAAAGTCATGTAAGAAAGGGATGTATATTTTTTAAATACTTGAACATTCTTGATTCCTTAAAGGGCATAAGGACAAACTATATGGCAAACTGAACTTAACCATTGAGTTTTATTACTGATTAAACAAATCCATATCACTTGTTCCTAGGTTTTAATCAAACCTGATTTAAACATTTTGATTGTGAGACAAATTATTTTGTCATTTACAATCCTGTATGGGACTTTTGAATTTGCATTTTAATTCCCTCATTACTTTTGTTGCCAATACATGATAAAAGGTGCAAGTCAGCAAATTTCTATTACTTTTCAAATTAAATGGTTTCCATTTCTATCAAAACTCTTGTGAGATATTTAAAAAAGGAATAGAGAATTAGCATGCATTGTACAATTGATAAGTGCAGAAAAGTTTAAACGAACATCAGACTTAAGGATTGGGTTTTTTAATTTCTTTTTCATTTAAAAAGATCTATATTATATATATTAGTAATTATGTTGTATATAATTTTTGTGCTATTCAGGTATCTAACAAAGAACTTGAAGGTATTTTAGCACAATGCATTGTTCCTTCAGCTTTCAAATTTTATGGTATGTTTAATTTTAATTATACTTCTAAAATTACTCAGTGTTTTTTCTAAAAAGAGATCTGTCTATAACAGAAAAATTTAGAACACTCTGACCTTAGTATATACACAAATAAGTCAAATGCAAATTCTAATGTTATCAGTTACAACCTTAAAATATCATCCTAAATGTCAAAGTAGGAAAGAATTTTGCGGTTATATTACGTAATAGGAATATCTGATTTTCTAATCAGTTGTTTGTCTATTTGTCTTTTTTTCTATTGGCCATATAGTTTTTTGTTAGTTTTCCCATAGGATCTTCTTACTTTAGCATGAAAGTTTTCAATTAAAACAGATATATCTTTAAATTTAATGGTACACATATAAATCAATTATGCCAGTATAAAGATGTTATAGCATCTAACTCTCATAAATTAACCTTTCATTGATTTTCCGTCAATTACTGTTTGAAGAAATCTTCTTAAAGATCAAAAAGGAACTTTCTTAATTGACTTATAAAATTGATTGAAACTGGAATAAACATAAGATTAAAAGGTATAAACATAAATTAGAATGTTGTACTTCCTTTTAAAATGTAAATGATTTAAATCGTGTCATGCTGATTTTAATTTTCAAATCATTTAAAAGTGATGAAGTCAACAACTTTATAAAATAGACATCAAATTGAAAATTAGCAGACGGAATTTTATTTTCCAATTCACTGTAATCATTATAACTTTAATTTTCTTAAAATAGGTACTACCCAATATATTATGTAATTTGTTTTAAATTATATATTGATAATCTATAACCAAACAGTAGGGGGTCTGTAACAGACATTTCAAAATATCTACAAAATATTGTCAAAATTGATTTGCCATAGAGTTTGATTAACATATTTACTTTTGTATACAAATAAAAGACAGAATTTTATCAATACCAAAGGGACACTAAAAATCATAAGTTGAAAAAAACACACAATACCATGACCAAATAGAAAAAAAGACAACATTTTTTTTTTATTAATCATGACTGTGAAAGGTTTTCAAATTTTTTTAATTCAAACTTACGACTTGTCAGTAAGTTAAATTGATTTCCAAAATCTGAGGTGAGCTAGCTGATGTCAAACAGTCTGTTTCCAGGACTGGCTGGGACCATTGGACAACTAGCTAGGTTTCCAGTAAAGAGATTTTTGTAGTGATCACTTCTTATGTTTGCCTTTTCTCATTAACAGTTTTGGCTAATCAGGTTTACAGAAGTCTATAAAGATATGTTGGTGAAGCTACTTTAAAACTTACCCTGGCTGGAGAAGTTCAGTTTGATGCCATATTTCCTCATGTGATCTAAGGCTGTCTGTATGTACATTTCTGGTAATTGGGATGTCCCTAAAGCCTACAACATACCATGAAAACATTAAAATGGTATACATTGTATAACAACTGAATTTCACTGAAGCAAAATTTAACTAGGAAATTGTTTTGTAATAGTTTGAACTGAGATTTTTAGTCCCAATATTAGCATGATTAGTAATTCGCTTTTCTCATTTTTATTGGTCTAAATTTTTATTTAATGTTTAATGTTGATAAATATTGGACTTAATCTCTATACATTTTTGTACTGCTATATGTCGTTCTGAACAAATAGTAAGTGCTAAACTATTTTAATAACAATTTCATGTATGTGACAAAATATCAATACTAAAATATATGTATTCAAATCCCATATATAAAGCTTGCAAACATGAAAAAGCATGATTTACTTTTCATTACACTGAAAAGATCCAAAATTTGAACTTCAGAGAGACTTTAGTTTAAAATTATTCATTCAAAATATAAAGGAATATGCATTTTCTATAAACCAACTTTTTGCTGGCCTTTTATAGAATTAAATGGATGTCCTTCACATGTAGTACATGCAGTACAAAAACATGTCAGGGCCTTTTATAGCCGACTATACGGTATGGGTTTTTCTTGTTGTTGAAGGCTGTATGGTTACATATAATTGCTTACATCCACTTCATTTGAACTTTGGTGGATAGTTGTCTCATACCACTGTGCACATCTTCTTATTTTTATATATATATATATATATAATGTCAAGGCTAGCTAATATGAAATTCCAGCCTTGACTTTTTATCAAACTGAAATTCCACGGTTACATTGATTAAAATTATCATGATCAATATTTCAGCTGACCATAACATCTATACATTAATCTATTAATTAATAATTTTCTCTTAATCACAATAATTTGATACATATATAAATCAATGAAGCAGATAGTGATTTATTGCAGATTTCTCCATGCACAAGAAATCTATAAATTGTAAGGACAAACTGAGCCTCTATTGATTAAATTATTTGTTTCCAGGTAAAGAGCCAATAATAGGATATAATTAGCAGATTTGTCAGAAGAGATCACCTTTACATCATCAGAAGCATTTAAATGACATTCCTCAATACAAATCTAAATTAAACTATCTTTAATAGTCTGGCTGTCAATTCAATATATTTGTCTTTAAAAAAACGTAAGTTTTTCATAGAAGTTCTTTGTATTTATAAGGCTTGTGAAGACTCTTTTCAGGAATTTTACTGGCATGGTGTTGGGCTTGTTGCCAATTGTAAAGGCTGGTATAGTAATGTAAAGGAGATGTGGGACAAAAATCAATTAGTCACTCAGCAACCCAACATTGCAAGAAAAAGATACTCGTCTATCATTGAAGACCATATATCTTTACTACTATGAGTCTATTCTGGTTTTATTGTGTTGTTGGACTGCTGTCTCAACAAAACATTCTCCACACCCAATTTTTATTAATCTAAATCTTATTCAAAATAGAAAGACAATAAGAATTTCAAAATAGATCATCAAATCAAAGGGGATAACAAAAAATGTGGAATTAATACCTGTAGTTTCTGGAGAAGACATGCTTCTGGGCATAGTAGGTCTATTAGCTGACAAAGCACTTGTCCTTCCTGTATACTGGAGATCCCTTCTACTTCTTTATCTATATCAGCTAAAACTGAGTTAGCCCAATTCAAATAAACCTACAAAACAAATATTTGTAAACATTTACAATTTTTTTTTCAATTGGAAAGTTACATGTACATGTATCTGCAAACTGTCAAACTAAATGTTAGTAATATTTTGCCACATTAAGTTGATGTCACTTGTACAGTGAACTGTGCATTTTTGTACATAATATATATATCTACTGCTCATCAAACAGCAATAAAAAATAGTTACATCTTGTACCAAAGATAACAATCAATTTTAAATTTGCATGATTCAATAGAAAAATAGTTCATATGAAGAAATGTATTGACAGAAATAATATTTGAGTTATGTACAGTCAATGTATCACTTTTATTCGATGCACAATTGTTTGAAGCTGAAATCTGTATCTGTTAATGGATGTACAATGTATGCAAAGATAAGAAACCAGTATTATTGTAGGCCAGAAATAAAGTGACTACTGTATGTTTCTGCATATCAAGTGGCCAATTAAACAGACATGTTTTTGACAATTTTAGAGTCAAAATATTGTATAACAGTAATAAGCCTTCATCTTAAACTTCCTGGTTTTTGTAAGTTAGGTATTCTTCATTTTTTAGTTATGAAGTTATTTTCTGCTTGTTTAATGTCCTGAGTACAGTATATGTATTCCTGTCCCAATTTTTATTCTTACTCATGTGTGTTACATAAGTATGTAAACTGTGTGATTTATTTATCCTTATTCAAACAAACAATTTAAATCTTTTTAAGGATTGCTGAACTTTCATTTTAAAAGTAAGAAAAGGACTTTTTATAACATTCAAGATCCTGAATCTCAGACTTACATGTTTTACATTTATTTTTGATTATAGTCATCATATACAACATTCTTATTGTTAAAAAATAATTTCCCATTTTTGTTAGAAGGATAGAAATGAACCAACACCAGATGATGCCTCTAACATATGAATAATAAACAGAAGATTTAGAGAAAGAATACATGTAAAATGTAGAGTATAATTTTGATGGAACTATCACCAAGTATTGGATGAAACCAAGCAAAGATTGAGTTCTTTGACTATTGTTCTTCATATGGAAATATGACAATAAATTCATCAATGACTCACAAAAATTGACTGATTTCTTCGCAAATATATGGTGTGCAAAACATGTGCAATTAAGAATCTATTCATATTATTTTTTTTTTAAGCATCAAAAATGATTGTGATACCCTTTTTTAGCACTTTTCAGTGAGAAAGGTATTGCCAAAAAGAGATACTTTTAGTATACATGTAGATGAAAATGGATGAAACCTAACACAAAACTGGTTAAAATTACTATTCTGCAACTCATTTCATCTTCAAACTGAAAATATATTGCAAAAAAAAACTATCCTAAAATTGTACTTTAACATTGAATGTTGACAACAATTTGAAGTTCAATTAAACTGGCAAAGAACCTGCATGCACAGTGCCAATGTTGATAATTCTGATAAAAAGAACAATTATATAACAGTGATAGGTTTTTCCCACAACACATGTGAACAATAAACATTCCAGTTAGTATCAAACATATTTATTCATGCAATTTAAAAGGTTGTGCATATGAAATGTGTAGTCTAATACAGACAATTTTAATCTGAGATAGGTTCACTGATCTTCATGTACAACAGATCATGCAATAAGAGTACTGGGTCTAAATAGATGTTTTTGAGTATTATGTTACCTTTCGCTTGCTCATTCTTCTTGTTTACAATTAGTTATCTATTAGTCTTCCTGAATATGAAACTGAACTGATAATCCTTTTTATACAAATATCTTTTAACTTATATTATTGGTTTTCTCACAAATAAATTCACATTAAAAAGCTCAACACAATTACAGTTTACATGGTATTAAACTTTTTATCTTTAAACTGGCACCTAATAATGTCTAACTCAAACTTCATTTACATATCTAAAACATTTAGCATGTTTAGTAGCACCAATCTAGTCAAATCACTTTCAACATGTCAAATAAAACCACTCTTTCAGTGTGTCAAATAAAAATTTCTAAACTTGACAAAGTTTAATTTAATTACTGCAATCAATACCATTAATAAAATAATCATGATAAAGACAGATCACCTAATTACACATTCATGACATTGGTAATTAGATTATAGGAATAGTAATTGTATTATAGTTTCAGTTACTAATAGTAAATAGACCATGATTTAATTCTGTTTAAAAATATCTGAAATAACATATTTTATACAAATTTTATTTGTCATCAATAAACATTTCCATTCTATTTATCAAAATAATAAATATTATTACAATGTCAAATATATTTTTCTTTCATTTAATTTATTGTTTGACATTTCTCCTATACAAATAGATGATTTAGATATCCTTCACTTGTACAACAATTTACCGTTAAATCACCTATTCGATTCAATTTCAAGTCCGCACATGTCATGTCCTTTTATTTTCAATCAAAAAGCAATTAAAACCACATATAAATCCATTAACGTATGCAAATAGGTACATAAATGCAAGGGAATATAGATAATTACCTGTAAAACTGACATGATGTTTTTTAGCTTCCCATTTTAAACATAAACCTCATTTCATTAATTCAATATTTTTGCCGAAAGAGAAAGTTCACACTTGGCCGCCATATGTAAATAAGTCGTAGGCGACCAGCTACGAGTTTGCGCACCTGCTAATTTTCAGAACCACTTCCTTTTCCGGTTCCAGGCAGAAAATGTCAATACACAGATGACAGTAGGAAAAAAGTCATTTTTGCAGACTCCTTTTGAAAATTAACATAATTATTTACTCCCTATAAAAGCATGGTACTTAATTTTCATATTGTCAGACGAATTTGCATTTTTATGTGCTGTTAATGCCCACAACAGGAATGTTTCTTTCTGTCTGTTATGTTTACAAATCCAATCATTTTGATTTCTCACCAATAGACTTTTGAAAAAAATTGTCAATTAATAGTAATTAAAATAGATGATATATTGCTGTTTGTTTATATGACGCACCTGAGGCGGACAAGAATACCCATTCATTGATGGATAATACCTCAATTCGCATGTAAAGATGATGATGGATGGCTGCTTAACGTCTAGCGGCAAATTTATATGCATATTCAGGACGAGAACATGTTAATGTTATATGAATATTTACCCTGCTTTGTTCTAGACAGACGTGCCTAGCCGGATTTTTAACGTGCTAGTTCACAAGGCAACAAGCCACAGGAAGACATGTCACCTTACCCGGACACATTATTCTGACTCTGAGCCAATCAGTCTTTGCTCTAACACTTATATGCCACTTTAAAGTCTTTTGTTTGAACCAGACAGGGTTCGAAACCCACGTATAAAGCATCAATAAACAATTCTCATATTACCAACTTTTGACTTTGGAGTATATAATTTTTCGACAGCCCATACAGTGCTGTCAGGTTATGTAAAACACTTAAGACAGACAGGAATACCCATTAATTGGTGGATTACATCTAAATTCACATATAAAGCATCAATAAACGATTTTCATATAACAAACTTTCAACTCTGGAGTATGTAATTTTTCAACAGGTAACCTACTATGTGGTGAGACATCAAGTACCCGGTCAAGTTAGACAATGTTAGAGCAACTGAAATATGTTAGATCAAGCCTAAAATCTGAAATTTGGGAAATAAATTTAACTGTTTTCCAATGATTTTTCGTGCCTGTACAGAAAACACAAAAATGGTTTATAAAGTTTAAAGGAGTAGGCTGGTAAGACCCCTTTTTGGCCCCAAAATATAGCATTTTTACCAATATGTTAAAATGTAAACTTTTAGCTATTTATTGGAAAATAGAATACTTCTGTGACATAAATATGGGCTGTTTTTGACAATACAATGCACATGCAGCAGGTAATAGCATCATAAATTCTTGCAATATTACTAAAATCTTCATAATTTTAGCATTTATGCTAATCTTAAGACGGTTTTTGTCTAAAATGGAAGTGGCCGCATTTGTGTTCAGTCTTAATATTTTAATATATGTTGTATTTGATGATAATACATAACATATATAAAGGTTGAGACTGAACACGAATGCGGCGACTTCCATTTTAGACAAAAAACATCTGAAAAATGACGTTTTATGGCATATTTGATAGATTTTGCATATTTATGCGTGAATTTGAGCTTCTCTAATGACCAAATCAGTTCAAATCTTTTACATAAACTAATTTAATCAACTGAAGTTGACACTTAAGTGTTTAAAAAATGTAAAAAATCTTTTATTAGATGTACTTCGAATATTAGGCCAAAACTAGCCCTTACCTGACCTTCTCCTTTGAAGCATACATCAATAAAATCACCTTCAAAATCACACTTACTACAGTATTCCAGCCTTTTCAAAGTAACACAAGACCTTCCTTCTTTAAATATTTCGCTGCACAGTACCTAAACAGTAACTAAACAAAAATAAGAGTACAAGATTTATAGCCAAACCAAACATAGCACAAGGACAACTATGTCCAACCTTGGTGAAATAACTGTTACAGAAAGGATAAAATCCAAATTGAAATATATACTGAGATAGACCAGTTGACAGTTTTCTTCACAATAATTTTTGAAATATTATTAGTGCATATACCTTCCCAAACTTTACTAAGCAATGACAATAAATTGATTCTGACACAGAATGCTGCATTTTGTGAGAGAAACCTGAAAATGATCATAAATCTCCTATAAATTCTGTTTACAGATCTTTATTCTGTTTTCCCCTGCAGTTTCTTACTGTCCACTTCTACAATCAACACTTGAAGTAGGTACCAATGCAACATTTTGAAAAGTAGTCATGACAAACCATTACTTCATTTAAGTTCATTAGCAATTAATAAAGGATACATAAAAATCAATTCAGGTGTAATCTAACTTTTCACAAAATGCAGCAGCTTTGCTTTTGGTTTCATAAAGTGCATATAGGGATTTTGTGTCATGTTTTATTTAGACCTAAGCCTAGAAAAGTAAGATTCTTAAAGAGAGAAGGCCTAGGGAAAATATCACTTTCACCTTTAACATGTCCACAAGAAAGAAAAAGCATGACCTTTTCATCACTAATAGCTTGCTTAAACTTAATCAATTTACATGCATATTTAAACTTGTCTTTTGTAGGTCATTTCGTAGTTTAAGGCTGGACCATTTTATGGTTATAAAATGGCAACCATGGATGTACGTCCGAAGATGTTGCAAGGTCGAGAGCGTCCTGCATTTAAACATAAGCAACATACACAGAAAGCATTTGAGGTTCTAAACCAGCTGAGAAGGTGATTTATGAAGCATAACCTTTACAAGAAATGAAATTGTAATGAGATGTGATAAAAAAAAATTATACATGTAACTGAATGTGTAGTTCATTGAAGGCTATTAGGTAGATTAATACACAAAATAATCAGAAATGGAAAAAGACATTATCTTTTTATGATTTTACATTTTGAAAAGATTTGCAACAGTTGAGATAGCTTACATGAAATCAAGATGGGTCTATCTTGACCTGAGTGAATGTGTTACTATGTAAATGTATATATATCAAATTAAGTAATGAGTCTAATTTACAATGCATTTTTTTTGCTTTTCTAAAAATAAATTTATAATAGACTGTAGCTATTGGTGTATGGGAATTTTTTTGGGGTAAAAAACCCAAGATTCATGTCGCACACATCAACAAGTGGTCTTTTGTAAATTTCCCACACTGCATTTGATTTTCCCCAACATTTTGCTAAAAGTATTTTCCATATTGATGAGAACCAATTTATCATAAGAATAAAAAGAGAAGCAAACCAACACAACAAAAGAAAAACCCACCAAAACCAGACATCAAGTGATCAACATTAAAGATGTATAAACTCAATTATTGTATGAAACAATTCGATATTATAGATGTGTATAGATTATGAGAAAAATATGGCATAATAGAAAAACAAAGGATATGGGGTATCCATCCATGACACACAATCAGTACATGCACAGCAAAACACAAACTAAAAACAAAGGAGCTGTTCTTCATCTCAAAGTCACAGTCTTCAACACAGAGCAAAAACACTCTCACATCACTGCAAGTTAATAAAGACGGTTTGAGTGGAATTCTTTGCAATTCATGCATGAAAATTAAAAGTTTATGAATGAGATCTCTACTAATTTTATTAAAATATATATTTGGTTTTAAAGTTGTATAAACATGATAAATTGGTTGGTACATGTATCTGAGTAAGAAGTATGTTTTTATTTATTTCAGAGAAAATCTGTTGTGTGATGTTGTATTGATTGCAGCAGACACTGAAATCCCTGCCCACAAAGTAGTTCTGTCATCATGTACTTCATATTTCTATGCCATGTTTACACAAGATCTAGCAGAAGCAAAAGCAGAGAGGATTACGCTACAAGAAATAGACCCTAAAGCTCTGGTGCTTCTCATTGACTTTGTTTATACTTCTGAAATTCATGTTACAGAAGAAAATGTTCAGGTAGTATAAAATTATTTTATGTAGTGAGAAAAAAAACAATGTTACTTTTTTGTTGAGTCTATGACAAACTTCATGGAAGAGATCCATAGCAGTCCTGCATTCCATCTGCCCCCTCAAAATTAAGGTTCAGTCTGTCTTTTTTTTTTAGAAATCAATCATTTTGTCACACCTCATGGAATTTTATGGAACTTGTGCAGAAGCTTTTTTATTATCAAAACACAGTATCCAGAGCAAAATTTTGAATTTTTTGAATTTTTCCTTTTTTTAGTGATATATAGACTTATATTGTTTTAGTTAAGATTTACATTCATTATGGTGTCCAATTTTATTGGCATCAATAACTTTGTTAAACATTCATTGAATGTTATGATACTTTGACAGAAGCTTATCAATAATCTAGAATTAGAATATGAAGAAAAACATTGAGGTCATTTTTATTTTTCTAGATATTATGATAATTGGACTTAGTTTTTGGCAGTCAACATTAAAGTTTTACATTGATAGTAGCAATTGCAGGCAAGACAATGTCACTAGGTTACTATTACAGCTTACATGAAGTGACTTACACATATTGACTCAAATATCTTCAGAAAAATAAAATGACTTCACACGATACTCTTATACATCTCTCTGAACAGTTATGAGATTTAAGCTTTCTTATTTCAGACCTTACTGCCTGCGGCCAATATATTACAGATGACAGAAGTTAGGGATGCATGTTGTGATTTCCTACAGTCTCAACTACACCCATCAAACTGTCTGGGTATACAAGCTTTCTCTGACCTTCATGCATGTACAGACCTTAAAAACTATGCTCAGACATACACTGAGCAACATTTTGTGTGAGTATCTTGTACTGTACAGACCTTAAAAACTATGCTCAGACATACACTGAGCAACATTTTGTGTAAGTATCTTGTACTGAACAGATCTTGAAATTTGTTTTTGGACTTTTAAGGAGTAACACATCTTATGTCGCTTTCTAACAAAAATTCATTGTTTGCATTTGACAAAAGCATTTCCATATGTGATGTTATATAATTATGCTACTTATTGACACTATATTGGCTGTATAATTTCTAATTGGCCTTAATATTGCTAACACCTGGGCTTTGGTTTGTATTTTAAATTCAAATATTACAGAAGAATCTTTTTAAGGAAATGTTAATATACAATTATTGACTTTTGATGAGGTTGATACAATGGTTTATCAACCCCAGATATATGATATTCAACAGCCGGGGGTGAATGTCATATCTCGGGGGTTGTTTAATCAATGTATCAACTGATATTAAAAGTCAACAATTGTTTTATTTTATGACTTTTTATCTTTCTCCAATTTTCTAGTATTTGCCCAAGATACTTTAAATTGTTCTTTGTTGTTATGCTTTTTCAGTTGCTAACTTTTGAAAGTTGAAATATTTACTAAAGATTACTGAAAAAAAATACACCAAAAACAAGAAGACAAAAAATTACACCGAAAACAAGAAGAAATAGAAAAAACGAGAATTTGTATGACATCATAACCCTACTTCATTGAAGTTGCCTTGGAATATATATATTTAGGTACATGTTAGCTGTTCCAAATCTTATATTAACCTCTCATGATTTTTCCTGCAGGGAATATAATGTTTTATCAAAGAAGACTCTGTTTGCTTTAAGTCAGTGAAGAGAATTTGTTTAGTCATTTAATAACACTATTTATCGCATCTCAGGTAAATTTGTGACGTCGTGATTGGTTTAACATCGTCACATGGTGACCGGCTATGGATCCTTAAAGGGCCAGTAGATTTCATATGGGGTTCATGACGTCACGTCTACTGTTAATGGTGACGTCATCTATTAACGTATTTTGTATTTTCATGGTTGATTTTTTTACAAAAATTTGCAGTAAAAGTCGTGTGTGCAACAAAATCTTTATACGGTTCACTACTAACCCCCTACTGATCCATAGAGGGTTAGTAAAATCCATAGGGGTCGAGGCTGTAGGGGGTCAGTAGCAAACCATATAACTTAAAATCATGTCTGCTAATGAGTACCCGATCAAACCAAGTGGACAAATTATTAACTTATATCCTCTTTGTGAAATAAATGTGTTTAAAAAATATTGAGGACAAATAAAACCAGATAACTTATTCTGAATTGAAGCATTTGTATCAATCTTCTAACAAGGGAAATTATTCGTACCCTTGTTTTTTACAGTGATGTTGTACATTACGATGAATTCCTGTCTCTACCATGTGAGAGTGTATGTAAACTGATCTCGAGTGACAGACTTACTGTAATAACGGAAGAACAGGTATAAATATACAGTGCTATGTGTTTTTCCTTCCCCTTAAAAGGGAGATAACAGCTTTCAAACAAAAATCAAAAGATATGGTCAGACAGAAAATTGAAAAGAATGTGTTAGATGTGTAGCTATTCTCTTTTATATCCTTTTGATTGAGTCTTTTATAGATAGTTGTCTCGTTACTGTTATTTTAAACAATTTCTATTTCTTACAGCACGGCAAGCTCTAAAAGACCCTAAATAAATACATAGAAAATGAAAAACCAATTGTTCAAAGAACAATTGAAGGTCTTTCCACATCAATTTTCTAAATAATTGATAGGAAGCTACTCCTGGTTTACTCAAAGTTATTAATAGCGTCAAAGTATAGATTTCTTCATACTGATTCAATCAATAAATGGTTTCTTTATACTTTTGCCTGAAATAAGGGAGATAATTGCCAACTTCCGGTTTAGAAAATGTCACTTCCGGTCTCATATGATAGCTTTATTCACACTGATTCCAAAAATATATAGTTTGTATATACTTATGCCTGTAATAAGGAAGATAATATGCTACTTCCGGTTTATAAAATGTCACTTCTGGTCTCAAATGATAGGTTAACCTATGATCATTCAAAAAATATATGGTTTCTAGGTACTTTTCCATGAAATAAGTGCAAAAAATACTACTTCCGATTCACTCAAGGTCACTTCCGGTTTACTTTTTTCAAGGTCATATGTCAACCAACAGTTTGCAAAAGACCCTATGGCTTTATCATGTACCAAGTTGGAGTAATAATCAATTAACCTTAAACTGAATCATTTCAGGGACAATAACTCCTATAAGATATCATTGGATTGTTTCAGACCTAATGTATCATATCTTAATCACAATTAAGCAAACATTTTGCACTAGATCTTTGATTTGTAATTTTAAAAGTGACAGAGGAGATCAAATAACAAGGAAAAGTCAAAATTTAGTATATGACCTTGACCTTTGACCTTGGCCTCAATTTCATTTATATGAACCAAGGATCTCAAATCAATATACCTTAGGTCTCTATCACTTACCATTCATGCTATACATTTATATATCCCTTATGTCAAAAACAGAAGGGGAAATAACTCTCATATGGAGTTTACATATCGCTTCGGTCAAAATTGGACACAACATCCTGAGGATATAACGAGCAATTTGGTAAAATAAATTTGTCGCTTTCTTTTACGGTTACGGAGGAGATGCATGCACAAGGAAAACAGTGTTCGGGGAGATAACTCCTACAATGAAAAGTATTCGGTTAAGCAGGGTCAATTTCAAAGGCGCATAAACTGTTTGATATCATATACGAAACATCTAAGCGACATCTTGCAAAACAAAAATTTATTGCAAGAACAAAATTTGGCGGAAGAAAAAAAAAAAAAATAATCAGAAGAAAACCAATAGGTCTTTCCACAGAAAAGTGGAAAGACCTAATTAAAAAGAAATGATATAAATGTCATCTGAACTCTAGTGGATAGTTGTCTCATTTTAATCATACCACATCTCCTTATTGTCCCCTGAGCAATGCCTTGTAGGAGACCTAGAAATACAGGGCACCCTTACATCCGTTTATCTGTTCAGTCTTGTTAATACTCTCACTTGTTCAATTCTTGCCAGATTTTCATAAAATTTATATCATAGGTTTATATCAGCAATGTCTCTGACAAGTTTGAAAATCAGTGTCGATCAACCATTTAAAAAAAGAGTTATGCCTCTTGGAAATATTAATTATATGGAAAATTGCATTGTAAGCACTCTCATATGTACAATTCTTGTCAGATTTTTATAAAACTTATATGATAGGTTTATATCAGCAATGTCTCGGACAAGTTTGGAAATCAGTGCAGATCAATCATATTTGAAAGAGTTATGCCCCTTGGAAATATTAATTATATGCAAAATTGCTTTATAAGCACTCTCACATGTACAATTTGTGCCAGATTTTTATGAAATTCATATCAAAGGATTATATCAGCAATGTCTTGGAAACTTAAAAAATTCATTGCAGATCAAATATTTTTAAAAGAGTTATGCCCCTTGGACAGATAAAATATGTGCAACACAGGGGACATTGGAACTTTTATTTATATAATAGTCTCATTTAAGTAAAAAAATTGAGTAAGAAAATCAGGATTCACTGAGAGAAAAAAATCTATATCATTTACAACATACACACCTTAGTTCATAAATAGACATCTTTTACTTTCTAGAAAGTTACTTTAGTTTTTGATGTGACAATAGACCACTTTCGAGTTATGTCCTTCACTGGAAAAGTTCTTCAATTATGCTTGCCTTTATGATGTCATTTACCAGATAGAAGGGACCGCCAGTATCCCTGCTCTATTAAAGTTCAGCAATCGTCTTTTTGATCATCATTGTGCAGGATAAACTAGAAATAATGTTTGTTTCGTAGGTACTTAATCACAATTAGCTAATGACAGCAGTGCTGATTATCAATTATAAGAATTTGATTTGCCAAATAATTCGTGCAATATAGCATCATATTTTTTAAACCGGTTGCTCAACATGGGAAAGAGTGATGATGACCCTAAATGCATGAATGATGTTCACTAAAACCAATGTTTTTGACGGAAATGCAACAAACTCGAAAGTGGTCTATTCTTTCTTTCAAGAAGGTAAGGATAACAGCAAGATTAAAAAATAAAAAGTTACATAAAAGTACTTCATTGAAAATGAGGAAACACCTCAAAATTTGATTCTTGTAGTGAAATAAAATTTACTGGCTAAGCTTTTCAAATTCATATTGATTATCTGCAGATGATTTAAGGGGATAATTTATAATTTTGTACACAGAAATCTGTAAATTTAAATTACCTGTATACATGCGTTTTTTTCACAAGTGATTGATTAATTTATTGATTGTTGGTGTTTAACACCACTTTCAGTACTATTGGCTATATTGTGGCGGTCAGTTTTTATTAATGGAGAAACTGGAGAGAACCACCAACCTTTTGCAGGAAAACTGATAATCCTGATCAATTAAGAGTGGAGTTGCACCTACATGTACCACTTGTAGGGTTTGAACTCACAACAGTAGTGTTGAAAGGCTAGTGATACAGTAGACCACTCAGCTACTGAGGCCTTTTTTTACCAGTGAAACAAAAAGTTTGATAAAGCGTGAAATATTCTTTTTTGAGGCAACAGTACAATGTTCTTATTATATTTTTGTTCTTCCAGGTTTATGAGGCTGTAATTTCATGGGTCCAGCATGACATATCAAATAGGGAACAAACTTTATCAGAACTTTTAGAAAATGTGCGATTTCCTTTAATGACACAGGACTATCTTGTACAAAAAGTTGAAGAGGAACAAATGATTAAAACTAGTAGTCGATGTAAAGACTTTCTTATAGAGGCTATGAAATATCATCTATTAAAAACAGAACAAAAAGCTATATTTAAAACACCAAGAACATTACCAAGAACTCCTCTAGGATTACCAAAGGTATTGTAGTATAAGATTTTATAAATATAGTATCTATTACTTTTTTTTTATCAACCAGCTGTAAGTTCTTTTTCGTAGAATAAGATAGAAATTGTGGCATAAAAAAAAGATCAATATAAAACATTTGAAAAATATTTGAAAAAGCATTGTTTTTAGTTTTAAAATTTTGTATTTAATCATCAAAAGATATTTGTTACAAGGCCTAGTGAATGTTATTTTATTGTACTTCATTCCTTTCTTAAAATCTTTGGTTTTTTTTTAAACTTAATTCCATTTCATAATTTTTTCTTTTAGTATTTCACTGTGTTTTCTCTGAAGTTCTTAAAGAAAAATCAGCATTTTTCATGGAGAGGATGATATGTTAAATCAGTAACCTAAGAGTTTTCATGAAAATGTCTTATTAATATCACTATTATGTAAATTCATTAATTGAATTAGTTTACAAACAAAGAAGAACTGTATATCGCCTTAGGCATAAAAACCAAGGGGCATTCTTGTACTTGTTAATTGAAATAAGTTAAATGAAAGGATATATTCTGGGGCTAAGATTATCATTAATAGTTAAAATAAAACAATTAAAAGACTAAATTTCAATTAAATTGCTTTGATCTTTTGTTTTTTCAAACATGTAAAGATGTAAATTGATGGATTAAATGAAAATGGAAATTTACATGTTAAAGAATATTTCCAATATTTTGCAAATGATATGAATTATTTTTTTTAAAGATAAAATATATTTACAATCAAAGTATAAAAAAAGAAATCCAACTTACAAAGTCATAGAATTAAGACATTTTTGTACTTGAATATATATATGTATTTAAACGAGTATTGCAAAATTTTATTTGAAATGAATAAGCTCCACCCTTGAAAAATTTTCTGCGGAGATCCCTGAGTTTGTGTTTTAAAGTAAATTGTTAAATATTTTTTTATAGGTTTTATTAGTTATTGGAGGTCAAGCACCAAAAGCTATTAGAAGTGTAGAATGTTATGATTTCAAGGAGGAAAGATGGTATCAATTAGCAGAAATGCCATCACGTCGATGTCGATGTGGTATTTTATGTTTTAATTTTTTTTTTTTTTTCTATTTATTTTCTCTTAAATCTTAATAAGTTCATGATAAATATAGAAGAATGGCATTTTTGTTTTTGATACTGACTTATTCAGCAGGAATATCAAGCGAGCCCGCTAGTGCAGGCTGATATTCGTTGATGAAGTCAGTATCACAAAATAAAATACCATTATTCTTTTATCGGTAATTTGTCTTAACAACAAATCGTTGTGATATTTGTTCACTTCTATGCATTTCATTGACAAATTGAGACGCAGATGGACATGAAAACTTGATGTTTCTGCACTGTTACATGACATTATTGCCTAATATTTTCAAGTATCAGGTCCTGTCCATGATATAGAAATATATTAGAAAATAAGAGCAAAGGAAAAAATGTACAAATTGCCGCTAAAATTTTATCAAATTTACATGATTAAATAGTTTTGTAGTTAGCAGCTGCTAATAAGTATGTAGTCTAATGTTTAATTGAATGACATCCACATGTTTTTAGTCTCACTGATGAAGAGTTTACTTATTAGTACCTGTATGAATAATGCTTATTATTTTATCTGAAGTACTGTAAAGTTAGAAATGTTGTGAGGGGTTTAGTTTCGCTAATTTTGCTATCAAGTTAGAATAGCAAAAATGTCAGTTTCGTGTAAATTTGAAGTATACGAAAAATCAGAGATCAAAGCAAGAAAAACAAGTAGATAAAACATTGCAAACAGGTTCTGCATTTGAAATTGTATTATTTAAACTTTGCAAATAAACTGCTTTCCATTTTATATATTATAATATATTCATTAAAAAAAGAATACACAAACTTGACATTGAATTCCATATAAATTAAAGTAAAAAAGTAGTATAGAGTCGACATCTAAGTTTAATGTGCACAAATATCATTAAAGAAGTGATGCAATAGATATGAAATATCTGTCAAACTTGTATTACATTTGACTTTGTTTCAGGAGTTGCGGTTGTGAATGGTTTAGTCCATGCTGTTGGTGGGTTTAATGGTAGTTTACGAGTAAGAACAGTAGATGTTTATGATCCTGTTAAAGATATATGGTCTGCTTGTCCCAGTATGGAAGCAAGGAGAAGTACATTAGGTGTTTCTGTATTAAATGGTCTTATATATGCTGTTGGTGGTTTTGATGGGTCTTCAGGTAACTTAAATAGTCTGTTGATAAATTTATGAATTATTAAGAAACTAAGGTTTCAACTCCCTCAGTTAAAGTTGTCCTTGGTGCATAATGACTATTATTTCTGGGTCTTTTGTGGTAATATTGCTCTTCAACTGTTTCGGTACTTATACATCCTTGACTTTCAAATATTTGGCTTTAAGCGTTCTGATGAAGGTAAATCCAGAAAAGAACTTGTTTTGAAATTAATAAAGTGTTGTTTTTATTTTTTTTAGAAGAATAAATATGTCATAAACTTCTATGTTATTTGGTCTCTGGTGGAGAATTGTCTCATTGGCAATCATACCACATCTTCTTATTATACCCCACGCAATGAGTTGCGGAGGGTATACTGTTTTTGACCCGTCTGTCCGTCTGTCTGTCCGTCCGTCAGTCCATCAGTCCTGTTTCTTGTCATCGCAACTCCTCTCAAACCACACAACAGAATTTAACGAAACCTTTTAAGATAATAAGGACATACTATGTAGTTGTGCATATCAACAGGAAATTACGATTCAATTTTTTTTCTAGGAGTTACACCCCTTTGAACTTATTTACTTTAATGTACTACTGCAACAGTTTGTCATCTCAACTCCTCTGAAACCACACAACAAAATTTCATAAAACTTTGTAGATAATAAGGACATACTACGTAGATGTGCATATCGACAGGAAATTACGATTCAATTTTTTTTCCAGGAGTTACGCCCCTTTGAACTTATTTGCCCAATATACTACTGCAACCTTTTGTCATCGCAACTCCTCTCAAACCACACAATAGAATTTCATGAAACCTTTTCAGATAATAAGGACATACTACGTAGATGTGCATATCGACAGGAAATTACGATTCAATTTTTTTTTCTAGGAGTTACGCCCCTTTGAACTTATTTGCTTCAATATACCTCTGCAACAGTTTGTCATCGCAACTCCTCTGAAACCACACAACAGAATTTCATGAAACTTTGTAGATAATAAGGACATACTAGGTAGATGTGCATATCGACAGGAAATTATGATTCAATTTTTTTTTCTTACAGTTATTTTATTTGCGGGCTCACTAAGGTTCTTTAATTTTTATATGTAAATATATATAAAAATAAAGAGATGTGGTATAATTGCCAATGAGACCACTATTCATCAGAGACCAAAGGACAAGTATGTTAACAACTACTGGGGATTCATCATTATTAATGGGAATCTGATTGTAGTGGGGTAAGTTGAACAACTGTTCATCGAAGTAAAAACTTTCTATACACTTACATGTTAACACGAACTTTGACAAAACAACATCAATAATCACAAAAATCCGATTCTTCCTCAATCCACTGGAATTAGACATACACGAAAAATTTCCCTGTATTCAGTATTACTTTGAATTTTTTTCAGGCAAGACATCTTTGTGCTAACAGTTTTATGGAAAATTAAAATAATTGCTGGTTATATTAAAAATGGTTTGAAAATCTTTTATTTTTTTTAGGTTTAGACACAGCTGAGTGTTATGACATAAGAACTGGTGAATGGAGAACTATATCTAACATGAGTACAAGGAGGAGTAGTGTTGGTGTTGGGGTTGTGAATGGTAGGTCACTGACCACAGTTACAAAGGTTTTAAATAATGATTTGACAGTCAGTTTGCTCATTGCTATCTTGTTTCAGAGGAACTATGTGGCTAGCCACTTTAAGTAACTGAGGTTTTTATGCCCCCGCCATAATGGAGGGGCATTAAGTTTCACCCTTGTCCGTACCGTCCGTCCAGTACGTCCCCCAAATTGGTTTCTGTTCTCTAACTTTAGTTTGTCTCAACCAAATGTTATGAAACTTATACACAATTCTTATTACCACAAAACACAGTTGGGTGACATCACTTAAATTCACTTTTACCGTTCATGAGATATTTCCCTTTATAAACATAAAAATTGCTGAATTTTTCGTGTTCGTTTTCTAAATTTAGTTTGCCTCAACCAAATGTTATGAAACTTATACACAATGCTTATTACCACAAAACACAGATCAAGTTCGAAATTGGGTGACATCACTTTTACCGTTCATGAGATATTTCCCTTTATAAACATAAAAATTGCTGAATTTTTCGTGTTCGTTTTCTAAATTTAGTTTGACTCAACCAAATGTTATGAAACTTATACACAATGCTTATTACCACAAAACACAGACCAAGTTTGAAAATGGGTGGCGTCACTTTTACCATTCATGAGTTATGCCCTTTTATAAACATAAAAATTGCTGAATTTTTCGTTTCTGTTTTCTAACTTTAGTTTGCCTCAACCAAATGTTATGAAACTTATATACATTATGCTTATTACCACAAAACACAGATCACATGTGAAATTGGGTGGCGTCACTTTTAATGTACTGAGTTATGCCCCTTTATAAATGGAAAAATTGCTAAATCTTTTGTTTCTGTTCTCTAACTTTTAGTTTGCCTCAACCAAATGTTATTGAACAATGAGGGCACTCAAACCTGCAAGAAAAACTTCTAATGACAACATGTAGAAATATAAGTCATTAACTTTAGAAAGAAAAGAAAATGTAATTAGTAAATTGACTCATATTTACAAGCGGGGGGGTCTGTGGCCCATAGACACATTCTCTGTTTTTTTTATGCCCCTGTCGTAGCGGAGGGGGCATTAAGTTTTACCCTTGTCCGTCTGTACGTATGTACATCCGTACGTCCCAAAATTGGTTTCAGTTCTCTTACTTGAGTTTGCCTAAACCAAATGTTATGAAACTTATATACAATGCTTATTACGACAAAACACAGATTAAGTTTGAATTTTGGTAGGGTCACTTTAACCATTCTAAAGTTATGCCCCTTTATAAATGGAAAAAAAAAATGCAAAATTTTCAGTTTCCGTTCTCTAACTTAAGTTACCTCAACAAATGTTATGAAACTTATACACAATGCTAATTACCACAAAACACAGATCAAGTTGAATTTTGGGCGTCACTTTAACCATTATCGAGTTATGCCCCTTTATAAATTGAAAAATTGCAAAATTTTTAGTTTCCGTTCTGTAACTTAAGTTTGCCCCAACCAAACATTATGAAACCTATACACAATACTTATTACCACAAAACTCAGATCTAGTACAAATTTGGGTAGCGTCATTTTTATTGTTTTTGAGTTATGTCCCTTTATAATGTTGTATGCAAGCAGGGGCATCATCTGTGTCCATGGGGATACATTTTCCATTTATTTACTAATCAGATGGTTCTGTTTGACTAAACTTTTTTATGATGAAAGGCAATGGTACATTTTTGGACTTATTTATAAGGTTGAATTTGCTGTTTAACCTCTAACCTTTGTGTTGATATGGACTGGTCCTTGTTATTTAATTTTATGCAATTCTTTTGTATGACATGATAACATTACATTTACATTTTGAAATTTATCTTACAAGTATTATGTAAGAATCTGAATTTTACAATATTTGTTAAAGACCGGAATATCAACTCCGAAGTTATTTTTAAAGAATTAATAAAATTACTTTTGTTAGTCAATTAACAATTACAGTTATGATTTGCCTTTTCTGACTTTCTGAATATACAAGTCTAAAAAAATTGACTCGATGATTTACAATATAAATATTATAAAAACAATGTTCTTATACTTTAGAATATGTTATAAATTACCATCAATGTTCTTATACCTTAGAATATGTTATAAATTACTTTATTTAAAGTTCTTAATCTTCCCATAAATAAATTCAATTCCAAATTATTTCCCTTTTTTATACGACAGCATAAAAATTTTTGTGGTCGTATATTGGTATGACGTTGGCGTCGTCGTCTGGCGTCGTCCGAAGACACATTGGTTTTCGCACTCTAACTTTAGTTTAAGTGAATGGATCTCTATGAAATTTTACCACAAAGTTCAATACCACAAAAGGAAGGTTGGGATTGATTTTGGGGGTTATGGTACCAACAGTAAAGGAATTAGGGGCCAAAAAGGGGCCAAAAATAAGCATTTTTGTAACTTCCAGACATAACTTGTGTGTTAGTGTATGGATCTCTCTGACATTGTACCACAAGGTTCCATATCACAAAAGGAATGCTGGGATTGATTTTGGGGGTAATTGCCTCAAAATTTTAGGAATTAGGGGCCAAAAAAGGGGCAAAAAACAAGCATTTTTCTAGTTTCATAACAATAACTTGTGTGTAAGTGTATGGATCTTTCTGAAATTGTACTACAAGGTTCCATATCACAAAGGGAAAGCTGGAATTGAGTTTGGGGGTAATTGCCGAATTGTTTAGGAATTGGGGGCCAAAAAGGGGCCAAAAATAAGAATTTTTCTAGTTTCCAGACAATAACTTGTGTTCAAGTGTATGGATCTCTCTGAAATTGTACTGCAAGGTACCATACCACAAAGGGAAGGCTGGGATTGATGATGGGGGTAATTGCCTCAATATTTTAGGAATTAGGGGCCAAAAAGGGGCAAAAAACAAGCATTTTTCTAGTTTCAGGACAATAACTTGTGTGTAAGTGTATGGATCTTTCTGAAATTGTACTACAAGGTTCCATATCACAAAGGGAAAGCTGGGTTTGAGTTTGGGGGTAATTGCCCTAAACGTTTAGGAATTTGGGGCCAAAAAGGGGCCAAAAAACACATTTTTCTAGTTTCCAGACAATAACTTGTGTTCAAGTGTATGGATCTCTCTGAAATTGTACTGCAAGGTACCATTCCACAAAGGGAAGGCTGGGATTGAGTTTGGGGGTGATGAATCATAAGGGGGTTCAAAAAATTTGGGGGGGGGGGGATTTTTTTTTTTTTCCTTTTTTTTTTCTTTTAAAATTTTCCATTTTAAGTTGGTTATTTCTGATTTATATTTAAAAGCAAATAATAATGATATGGTAGGAGATACACACCAAACAGGATGTGTAAATTATTATATAATAAGTATTGTGCAATAGCAAGAAATTTTCAATTGCGCAGTATTGCACAATAGCAAGAAATCTTCAATTGCACAGTATCAAGAAATCTTCAATTGCACAGTATTGCGCAATAGCAAGAAATATCCAATAGCACAATATTGCGCAATAGGAAGAAATTGTCAATTGTACAGTATTGCGCAATAGCATGAAATATTTAATTGCACAGTATTGTGCCAAAGAAGATACTTCGTATAAATTGCTTATTTCTTGACCAATTTCAATGGGGTTTTATTCTTGAATTCTTGGGTTTCTTTAATATGCTGAATCTAACCGTGTATTTAGTTTTTGGATTTTGGGCCCCGTTTTTAAATTGGTCAACATTGAGGTCCAAATTGGGGTCCAAAATTAAACTTTGTTTGATTTCAACAAAAATTGAATTCTTGAGGTTCTTTGATATGCTGAATCTAACCATGTATTTAGATTTTGGATATTGGACCATAATAGGTGAATGTCCAATTTAAAATTTTTAAGTTCTTAGACCACATTCATTCTGTGTCAGAAACCTATGCTGTGTCAAATATTTAATCACAATCCAAATGCAAAGCTGTATCAAGCTTGAATGTTGTGTCCATACTTGCCCCAACTGTTCAGGGTTCGACCTCTGCGGTCGTATCAAGCTGCGCCCTGCGGAGCATTTTATTAAAGCTTTTCAACAAATTTATTTGTTCAATTTTCAATATCATAAATTTTGTTTTAAGCACAAAGTATTTTTCAAGTTTACATGTTTTTTTCCATACAAAAAGGGAATCCCTTCTATGCAGTTTTTGTCTCGCTTGACGGAGTAAAAAAGCGAGACATAGGTATGCTGTTTCCGGCGTCAGCGACGATGTCGTCAACAATGTATTAGTTTGTGATTATGTCTAGTTTTTAGTGAACCACAAGTTCAATCATATTTGGTATACAGTTGTATTAGTATTGGCACATCTCATTTCCATGGAGATTATTTAGACCTGCCCCCTCAGTCATGGTCTATTGACTTTGAAACTTTTGCTTATTTTACATGTATTAGTTTGTGATTAGGTCAGTTTATGGGGAACCATTAGTGGTAGGTCAATGATATTTGCTATACAGTTGTATTAGCATTGGCACATCTCATTTCCATGGAGATTATTTGGCCTTGCCCCCTCAGTCATGGTCTATTGACTTTGAAATTTTTGCTTATTTTACATGTATTAGTTTGTGATTAGTTCAGTTTATGAGGAACCATTAGCGGTAGGTCAATGATATTTGGAATGCAGTTGTTTAAGCATTGGCATATCTCATTTCCATGGAGATTATTTGGCTCAGCCTCCTTAGTCATGGTCTATTGACTTTGAAAATTTTGCTTAGTTAACATGTATTAGTTTGTGATTAGGTCAGTTCAAGGGGAACCATTAGTGGAAGGCCAATGTTAATTGGTATTCAGTTGTATAAGCATTAGCACATCTCATTTCAATGGAGAATATTTGGCCCAATCCCCTCAGTCATGGCCTATTGATTGAAACTTTTGCTTAGTTTACATATATTAGTTTGTGATAAGATCAGTTTAAGATGAACTGCTAATGTTAAGTCAATGATATTTGGTATGCAAATTTATTGGCATTTGTAAGTATCATTTCTATGGAGATTATATAGCTCCACCCCCTCTTCATGGTTCATTGATTTTGATACTTTTACATAGTTTACAAGTTAATGTTTGTGTTGAGGTTTGTTTAAAGGGAACAACTTATAATAAGTCAATGATATTTGGTATGCAGTTGTATTAGCATTGGCGCACCTCATTTACATGGAGATGGTTTAGCCATGTACCTCAGTCATGGTTCATTGACTTTGAATATTAGCCTAATTTGTTAAGTATTGCCATTTTATTTTCAACATTTGCATAATCAAAATTACAAAAAAGCGAGACAGATCTCTGTGATAACAGTTTATTTAATAGCGCTGATACAAAGTTTAATCAATTTGTAGTTTTTGCTTTGCATCACTGTCAAAGCTATTAGGAATTTAATCTTTAACTTTCTATTTCATTTTTTTAGGAATGTTATATGCTGTAGGTGGATATGATGGAGCATCTAGGCAATGTTTGAGTTCTGTTGAGTGTTATAATCCTTTAACAGATAAATGGATTCCTGTCAGAGACATGTCATGTAGAAGGAGTGGAGCTGGTAAGAATCTTAATGAAGATATTTTAAAAATATTGAATAAAATGAGCGTTTCAAGATGTTTCTGTTGGTCTTCATATATGAAATGAATGCCAAAAAACATAAGCAAAGTCATCATGCTTTCTACCTAGATTTTAACGAAACTTGATATTTGTGTAGAACATGTCCTGAATTATTACTGGTGTCAAAAGGAGAAGGTCTCTGGCCTCTAGTATTCAAAAATTAAAAAAAAACATCAACTTATTAAATAACATCCTTCAGCAGTTTCATAAGACATAAGTCTATTAGACATCAGTATTTAAATTTTAGAATTTTGCCTTACACATTAGGGTATCAATGCAAATATATGTTTATAGGTTAGATGATCTCAAATTGTTATCTATGCATCAGACAATATTGAAATGATGTAGGATTTGATAAATTATCGTATACTTTTAATGTCCTGATTTTCAGTATGGTGCAGAAACATTTATGACAGTACCATGAATATCCAAATAGATATAAAAAATCAAAACAATTTTTTTTACCAGGTTTTAATTTCATAATTTTAAACCAGATTTTTTCTTTGTTTTTAATACTGTCATTTGCTTGAGATCTGTTAGTTGAATACAAACTTGATTCATAATTATGATACAAATGTGTTTTAAGCATTATATAAATGGTGGAAGCATGTTTTATGTTAGACATTTATGTACTAGTATGGCTATATGAGTGTATCACTTTAATTTGTATAGGAGTAGGTGTAGTCGATGGCACTCTGTATGCTGTGGGTGGTCATGATGGGCCTTTAGTAAGGAAAAGTGTGGAGATGTATGACCCAGAAACTAATGACTGGAAACATTCTGGTGACATGCATCTTTGTCGAAGAAATGCTGGTAAGATTTATATAATAGATAGTGTAGCCAACACATTTTAAATAGGGACACTTGAATCTAGCAAAAGCATCTTTATGAATATAAAAATAAGGAGATTTAGTATTATTGCTGGTGGGACAACTATTCATCTAAGTCCAAATGACTTTGTATTTAGCAATTATATGTCAAAGTACAGACTTCAACAATGAGCAAAACCCATACTGTATAGTCACCTATATATATTTTTATTTCATGAAATAGTTTTAAAAGGATTTTAAAAAACCAGATGCATTATTACAAATAAATATACATGTTATTTGAATTATATGATTGAAACAAAGGAAGTTCCCAATATTTACCATTGAGACAGCATTCCAACAGCTTTCTTAGTAGAAATGTAGTTTTTGTCGAGCCTTCGACTTTAGTCGAAAAAGCGAGACATAGCGATCCTACATTTTGTTGGCAGCGGCGGCGGCGGCGTCCACAAATAATCACTCTGTGGTTAAAGTTTTTGAAATTTTAATAACTTTCTTAAAATATCCTGGATTTCTACCAAACATGGACAGAAGCTTGTTTATGATCACAAGATAGTATCCAGAAGTAAATTTTGTAAAAATAAAATTCCATTTTTTCCATATTTTTGCTTATAAATGGACTTAGTTTTTCTGCCGGGAAATATTACATTCACTCTTTGGTTAAAGTTTTTAAAATTTTAATAACTTTCTTAAACTATCCTGGGTTTGTACCAAACTTGGACAGAAGCTTGTTTATGATTATAAGATAGTATCCAGAAGTAAATTTTGTAAAAAAATAAATCCATTTTTTCCTTATTTTACTTTTAAATGGACTTAGATTTTCTGCCAGGAAACAACACATTCACTCTGTGGTTAAAGTTTTTAAAATTTTAATAACTTTCTCATATTCTATTCTGGATTTGTACCAAACTTGGACAGAAGCTTGTTTATGATCAAAAGCTAGTATCTAGAAGGAGATTTTGTAAAAAAATAAATCCATTTTTTCCGTATTTTACTTTTAAATGGACTTAGATTTTCTGCCAGGAAACAACACATTCACTCTGTGGTTAAAGTTTTAAAAATTTTAATAACTTTCTCATACTATTTTGGATTTGTACCAAACTTGGACCGAAGCTTGTTTATGATCAAATGCTAGTATCTAGAAGGAAATTTTGTTTTCTTCCAGTTAACATTACATTCAGTCTGCAGTTAAAGTTTTTAAACATTTATTAGATTCATAAACTATCCTTGATTTTTACCAAACTTGGACAGAAGCTTCTTACAATCAAAAGATAGTATCAAGTGGAATATTTTTATTGATTTACTTCCTCATTTTTGTTGAGCCTGCAATTAACAGAAAAAGTAGGCGAGACACTGGGTTCCGCGGAACCCTTACAAATTTTTCAATGTGAATATACTTAGCTGTAATATTTTACAATATTTGAAGTAAACCAACAGGGCATTTCAATATGAGTGAAATTGACGACATTTAATAAAAAATATAAAGGAATAGGTTTGATAAGGCCCTAAAATGGCCCCTTTTTCTAGCTACAATTTAAAATTAGGATTTACCAATATCACAATTTATCATCCTTCCCTACGGCAATATCTGTTTCCTCAACGTATCCGTAAAACTCGTATCACGATAGCGCGTGCTCTGAGGAGACATTATCAACTTGAGGTGGAAATATCAACAAATTCTCCCAACATTTATTTCATCATTGTAATGATATCATGTCACTTACAAAGATGATTTGACCAAATAAATTACCCTTGCATACCAATTTTTGCATTGTGCAATTTTTATGTTGCCAAATTTACCTTTTATGCTTGAATAAGCAATAGTAAAAACGTGTCCCACCGGATTCTAAATAACGTCTGCCGGGACTACATTTTTTTTAAATTCAACTCTGTGACCTTACATGAACTCCTGGTATGACCTACATTGAGATCAGTCTACCGAAAAAAATGTCAACAAAGCGGGGGTGGAAAATTTAACGATTAAAACTATATTTACAGTATAAACCAATTATTCACAGTAAAACCAATAACAAATTAAATCTAAATTGTTTAAATGCACTTGTGTTTAATAACAGCAAAGCTTACACATTTAACATTAAATTATGAAAGAGCTCAAACACCCTTTTCCAGACAAGTCTAAAGCACTTATTTTGTCTGCTGAAACAAAACAAAACAAAACAAACACACAAAATGGCCACTGATACAGAGAGTGAGAGTGAATCATGGGAATCGAGAGTCAATTCAGACACAAATACATTATTAGGTGAAATGGACAGCCCTTCATGCAGTTACTGGGACTTTTCAAAACCAAATTCAAGCACTAGATATAAATATCTCCCTGTAAATGTTCACAAAATTCAAAAACAAAGTGCCACAAATGAAAAACAAAAGGAAAATGCAAAAGAAGACAAGAACACTAAAACCGACAGTGATCAAACTGCATCTTTTGGCACAACATCCTTAGCAAAAGCATTAGAGAGTGACCGTTTCAGAGATGTAACAGATGCTGATATAGACTCCTTCCTTCAAGAGCAACTTAATAAAAATACTTCCATGCGCAAGAAAACAAAGTCTGATTTGAAAATTTTCCAATTGTTCTTAAAATCAAAACATGATGAAAAAAGAAACATTGAACAAATACCACCACAACAGTTGGACAGATATCTTAGTTTTTTCTTTCTTAGCGCCACGAAGGAAAAACAAACAAATGGTACTTTTGAATATGAACCATCATCTCTTAAATCAATACAGCAGAGCATTAGCCGACATTTAAAGGATAATGAGTATGACTGTAATATTATAACTGATGATGAGTTCCACAAAAGTCGTCAGACTCTGAGAGCAATTTAAAAACTTAAAATCACTTGGTCTTGGTAATAAACCCATTGCTGCAGACCCTTTGACAGATGACAATCTCAACAAATTTTATATGAAAAAAGTTATGGGGTCAAATAGCCCTCGCTCTCTTATAAACGCAGTATATATTAATAACAATTGCCATTTTGGTTTAAGAGGAGTAACTGAACATTATAATTTATGTTGGGGTGATATATCACTAAAAGTTGACACAAATGGAGACGAATACCTCCAGTATTGTCGTGAAAGGCAGACAAAAACAAGACAGGGGGGAAATATAACAAATCTAAGTAAATCAGGACCAATCGCAGTAGAAAACAAAATTGACCGCACCAGATGTCCTGTGTTTCAATATAAACTTTTTCGACAAAAAAGACCAGAAACCATGAAAAAAGAGGATTCCCCTTTTTATATTCAGGCTTCAATGTTTCAGGATAATAACTATGAATCAAAAATTCTTTGGTACAAAAACCTAAGACTTGGAACTAAATCAATTTCTAAAATAATAAAAGATATGGCCACGGAAGCACTACCCAATAACGATAAAAGACTCACTGGCCATAGTGCAAGGAAGGGTTCAATTCAAAACAAAAAGACAATGGAGTGCAAGACACAGAAATTGTACTAAGAACAGGACACAAAAATGTTAACAGTTTGCTGTCGTACTCCAAAACAAGCTTGGAACAACAAAAAAAAGCATCTCTAATGCTATCTTCAACAAGAGAATTACAGCATACTACAGTTACTAAATCAGATAATAAAGAAAATACCTCACCAGTATTAGAGACAATAACATCAACACAGACTCAATCAACTGTTAGTAACAACAGTAAACAGTCAATTTACAAAGGAAATTTTAATTTTTCGAAATTACATCCTGCAATGAGTGGTCTTTTCACCAATGCAACATTCCATGGTGGAAATTTCAGTTTTACCTTTAACAATGGGACATCATCGTCATCAGATCAACAACCCTCGGATGACAACAAAAAGAACAAAAGAAAGCGTCTATGCGTAATTGACAGTGACAGTGATAGTGATTTCTAAAATATAATAATCATTCAATTCATTTATTAGTTGTGGGACTATTATCCAATATTTCCATTACTCAGTATGCTTTAACAACTTTTTAAAACTAAACGCAATAAATATCTGACCAACAAATCTATTTTATGTATACAATCAATTGCTAAAATAATACGAATTTCTCCAGATGCTCTACAAATAATAAGACTCACTGTATCAGTATCATACTACAAGTGTAAAGAAAATAAAAATAGTCTTATACTGAAAATGTGTAAAAATATTTTTGCTTCAAGCAATTATGATTTAATGTATTTGCAAAGAGAGCAAATTAACAAAAAAAAATCATCTTGCATATCAACCTATTATTACTAGCTTCAATTTATTTCATGTAACCTAAAACCAGTCTGCAAATAACAAAAAATAAGAAGATGCAATATAAAAACACCAATAAAAAAGATTTATCAACTTGAGATGAAAGCAAATTTACATGTCCGTCATGTATATGGCCTTTAACAATGACCAAAATACATACTGTGTAACAAGCTTTACACAAAAGCACCAACCAAAAAAAAAAGCTTTTGAACGACAGATAATTTGGTCTAGTTTCTACATATATTGATATAAAATATCAGTTGCAAGCTACAATGAGAAAACTGGTGTAAATCATAATTATATTGGCTATATCAAGGACAAATCCTTGGCTATATGTACATTGATCTTTCACATGAGATAGACTCAAGAAGGCAAAATATTAAATGATTAATACATGTTAAACATGTTAAAATTCCATTCATAGTATTTACTGTTTCAGTGTAACTAAGTTAGGATTTGAACCTAAGACCTTCTCATAAAGAGATGCTCTGACCCCTGAGCTACCTAGTTGAATACACTGAAAGCATATACATTTCTCCAAGAATCATAAACATGATGTATCTTATCATTTAACTCAAAGTTACCAAAAGAATGATACATTTATATCAATGTACATGGACCAACAGTATGCAGCGAAGCAATATTGAAAAACATTTCAAAAATTCAGGTGATCTGGTTCTGTTATTGTTCCTTTAAATTTTATCAGGGAAGAAAGTACCCGCGGAAAATATGTTTTCCCCAATTATAACATAAGGCAAAGCACTTATAGGAAATGGTACCCAATTACTTGAACCAAATACCGTCCCAATGCAATTTGGTGGGGAAGTCTGTACAAAAATAACACCTACCTTCCATGTCCTCTTACGTACAAATGGCGGGTACAAGGTGTGAGATGTCGAGGTATTATTACAAAAAGGACAATTTACCAATACCTGTCTTTGTCAAATTAACTTCTCCTAACGAATAACAACTACCAAATATTTATGTACTCTCAGACTTGATACAAACAACATTTTGATGCGATATTTCTGGATTTGTTTAGTGCCGCGTATGCTTAGAAGTTGTTCAGCAGTCAGCGAGTAGAAATTTTTTTCTTCTGGTGATATGAAATACTTCGATCTTTCAATCTATCGTTAAGCCTTGTTTCTTTTTTTTTGTATCATCTTCAAATATTATACATCAATATATGCATTATCATGTACAAAACACATTTTTCTTCATGTAGTTAATGGGAATATTTTACCCTGTGTATTTTGGCAGCAAGGTGTTCCGCGGTTTAATATGTCGATGACGTGTGTTGCCTAGTAACAACAGAGACACTCCGGTAATAACAATTCCCGCTTAATTATTAAAAAAGAAAATTTTGATCAAAAACATTGCTTTGAAAGATGATAAAAATGTTATCTAAATGTGGATTGTATAGATATTGAAAAAAATCAGCCAGCTCGACAGAATATGAAGCTAAATGGCTCGTTCACTACGCTCACTCGACATTTAGCTTCATATTCTGGCTCGCGGGGTGATATTTTTCTATATCTATATATCCACACCCAGATAACATGTACTTATCCTGCAATCAACCTTTCTGCTTTACAAATACAGAGTGGCAGATAACATGAACCAATTATGAATAAACATATACTAAATGTTTATAGTCTCCTGGTATCCTGCTTCTGTTGCGAGTAAACAGTTATCTTCAAATTATTGTTTACGTAACAGTTCAATTTGGGGTCCTCATTGCAGTCCTTGTTTAAGTCATGTTTATTTCATTGAACAAGGATTTTGATGGGAAAAAATATAAGTTTAGGCTCAATGTTAAATTGCAGGATAGAAACAATATTCGTACAGTAAAGGAAATATAACAGGTATTTGTACTCGCTTTTGCCTCGGTTTCTTAAGCATGTCATATAAATTTTACATTTTCCTACAGTGGACTGGAAACATAGAGCTCATGGGTCGACAAAAAAAGACATTTTAACATCATGTTTGTTATACCATTCTACATATCTGACTGGAATATTGATTTGTCAAGGCCTGCATTATATGTTTCCTAGGCCTAAATTTCATTGAAATCTGGACAATTTTGTCACATTTTACAAAAATCTCTGTTATCCTATTTGCGTTAAATAAATAAATATAAATGCTTTATGAGCAAAACTATAAATATAGCCTTTACTGAATTTACTCCTTTGTTTCCATTTATTTAAAATTGTAATAAAGTTTTTTCCTTTCTTCAACAAGCATTTAAATATAAAAGAAAAAATACTTGTATGATATTTTCCAGGTGTAGTGTCAAATGGTGGTTACTTATATGTTGTTGGTGGCGATGATGGATCTTCAAATCTTGCTTCAATAGAATGTTTTGATCCTAAAACAAATTTATGGACACTACTTAGTGCAAGTATGATGACAGGGAGGAGTTATGCTGGAGTGACTGTTATAGATAAACCAGTCTAATAATTATAGATAAACCTGTCTAGGAGCAGCTGTTTATTTTCCATTGTAATACCACAGTAGTAAAGTTGAACTAGTAAGAATTCTTTTAGCATTATTCAGCATATCAATTAATGTTTCAAAAACTGGTTATTTCCCTTTGAACATTCATAACTTTCTTTTTAATATATTTGAAAAATATATTTATAGATCCAGATCTGAAACACACATTTTGACAAATATATAAAACAAAAATTAGTTCATATAGCTTTCGGTTCGGTGTGAGCCAAGGCTCTGTGTTGAAGGCCGTACTTTGACCTATAATTGTTTACTTTTTACACATTGTGACTTGGATGGAGAGTTGTCTCATTGGCACTCATACCACATCTTCTTATTAGTCCCTTACCGACGAAGTCGAAGGGGACTTTAGGTTTGCACTCTGTCTGTCTGTCTGTCCATCCGTCAGTCCGGCAAATCAGTTTTCCACACTCTATTTCTTCATGCTTGAAGATATTGACTTGATATTTGTTATATAGTTTACACCACGACAAGTTATAGATCAGTTAGCATTTTGTTCCAGAACAATGAATTTTTAACTGTAAGGGGACTATGTATTGCCATGCAATACTCTTAGAATGCTTGTTTCTATCGTGTTGACTTAAAATGGGAACTTGAATTAAATAAATTACAGTAATTACCTTAATCTTTGAATCTTTCCAACCTTAAAAAATTAATTGTTTCAAATAGAGTTAATTTGAATGAAAATTCTGTATATACTATCTACTAAACTTTTAAATATATTCAAAGTTATAAACTAAACAAATATAAGAACATGTTCTCCACTAAATAGTTTGCCCTATAGAACCTAATCAAGACATAGTGCAATATTTTTAGGGGCTTTACCCAATAAGTTTGTTATAACTCATCGTATAGAATCTTTTTATAAAGGCATCGCACAATAGTTTGAGGGCTTTTTCCCATAATTTTGTTAGACAGCTAAGCCATATATATAACATGTAAAAAGAACCATGATTGAATATGATTGGCAGCAGAAAAGAAAAACTGAATTGTTCCAACCTTTGAGTCATTGAGGTTAGGAAATGTGAAATAAAAATTTGGTAAGGGATGGGGGCACTAGTTACCCTCTTATCTGCACATAAAAAAGTAAAATTTCTTCTCTTGATTCAAGGCTATAAAAAATAATCAACTTTTTTTTTAAACTTTACCTCATTTTCATAGATTTTTGTTTCAAGATTTAAATTTTGTCTGTTTCTTCTAGTCATTTAAAATTTCTATTGCTGTACTTTTGATCTTCATACAGCACAAAAGGCTTGTGTGACCTATTTCAACCATTTGGCATATTATATAATTCATCTATCTGTGGTTATGTCTGTGAAAAATGTTCTCTCTGAAACTACTGGACCATTTTTTCCCAATCTGCATGAATCTTACTTTGATGAACTAACATAGCTGTCATTTCTAATGAGAAGAACATAGGAGTTGAACTGTAATCAAGGTTTAAAAAATCAAAGAGTATTTTTTTTTAATGGTTTCCTTTTTGGAAATATGTTTGATAAGCCCTTTGAGCCAACAATATGGATACTGTTACTATAATTAGAAAATAATGTGAAAAAATAAATATCCTTGAAATAATTCATATGACTTGACTAAATGACTCTGCTAGGTATCCCCAAAAAAACCTTCACAGGCCTCTGGTTTATGCATTTAAATTTTTTACCTAGGCATGTTTAAACCACTGTTGTCCAAATTACTTTAAGTATTTGTTGTGAAAAATTTCTCTGATTCAGTCAGTATTATGCTTAGACCAAGATAGATTATATAGACTATAGGTTTAATGCACAATTATAGTAGTAAACAAAAATATGATTTTTGTCAATAACCTTTAAATTAGTTTTCTTTTTACATTATTTTGTATTTAGCTGCAGTGTTCAATGTATTTATTTATCTGTGATTGTAAAAGCTCATTGTGATAAATTTGTTTATTTTTTGTATGTGACAAATGTAATTTTCAATAGAAATTATTATAAAATATTGATAGCAACATGATATATATACTGTGTATTTTTTTATTTACGTAGTAACAATTTACATGGATTGAGAATAACTTGCATTTTCCTGGATATCTAGATATTTCATGGTTTTGCAATAATCTGCATATATTCCTATAGAACATTTTTATACTCCCGCTTTAAAAAAGTGGGGGTATACGGTTTTACCTCTGTCTGTCCATCCGTCGGTCCATCCGTCAGTCCGTCTGTCCAATGAATATTTTTCATCGCATCTTTCTCAGGAACTACATTACAAGGATTTCTGAAATTTGGTTTCAGGGTTTATATGAGTCAGCTATACCGTGTGATGCGTTTTAAGATTCATCACTCAACAACTTCCTGTTTACCTTATACTTTTAGCGGGGCGGGGTATCATTAGTGAGCAGTAGCTCACAGATTCACTTGTTTAATTTGTTAAACATTTAAATTCAAGGTCCTACTGTTTCCACGAAATCCACAAAAATTGGTATCTAACGAATAATAATGAGTCCACAGTATACATGTATTATGTTTAGATAAAGACTTGAATGCATATTTTGGACTTCCAGATTTGTAGCAAGATGGTAATTTTTGTCCTGTATAATCTAGTTGAATAGTTGAATTATTAAACTATTTAGTAAATAAATTGTTTTTTTTTAATTTTTTTTTTAGAACTAGATTATACCACATAAAATTTGAATAATGGTTGTACTTTTACTGACGACTGTTACAAATTTGGGAATTGAGGTAATAAAAACTAGAGTTGGCTTCCATTGTGTGATTAACTTACCCAGGTTTTACATTAGAACGTTAGTGGATTTACCAAGACAAAACCACATAGAAGTGCAATCTTATTTTATTTATTTTATTTAATTGCTGTTTAGTTAATATGTTTTCAACTATAGGTCATCCACTAGTATATAAGAAATTATTTATATTAAATTACTTTTGTCGGTTAGATAATTGTGCGCTTTTTTTTAGAATGAATGAATGGTTGTGAGTTCATTTTGTGTTAATATTAAAATTAAAATGTATGAAGTATTTTCAAAAAATAAATTGATAGACCATGTGAACACATGCAGTTTGTAAGCTAAATGTATTCATTCTTATTCTTTATTTCTTTATTATTCAAAAGATGAGGAAGCCTGTCCATGTTATACATGTGTACACAGTAATTTTATTAGTTAATAGTGTTAATAATCAAGATCAGAAAGAGACCGCTGCTTTGAGTTTTGAAAATGCAAAAAATAGATTTTTGGAAAGTATTAAATCTCATAGGGCTATCAATTTCATAGGATATCAATGTCCCTTAACACTGTAAAACTCAAATTCCAACTATTGGTAATGTTACAACTCTGTCAAGTTTTTAAGAGCTTGTGTTCCTAAAAAATGTCGGTAGTTCACTAAAATTGATGAATACATAAATGAAATCCCTTCAGAGTACATTAAACATTTGTATCTGTGTCTACTATCACCATGATACAGACATTTGTATCTGTGTCTACCATGATTCAGACATTTGTATCTGTGTCTACCATGATTCAGACATTTGTATCTGTGTCTACCATGATTCAGACATTTGTATCTGTGTCTACCATGATACAGACATTTGCATTATTAAAAACTTATTTCAAAATAAAGAATATTACTGTTATTCCTTAATTCATATTCCAACATTAAGAAAATACAATGTGTTTAAATATTAGATGTGGTAAGATTGCCAATAAAACAACTACCCACCATAGTCCAAAATGACATGGATATAAGCAACTGTTTTTAACAGATACCACATTAATTTCATGAGGATCAACCATCCAATCATGTTGTTGGAATTATTTCTGACGGTCTTGATTGAAAAATGTTGACAAGGACTATATATTTTCATGTTAATAATTTATTAAAATGAATAAAATCAAAACATTTAGGCATTTATATTGTTAAGTAAAAATATAGAAAACAAATATTTTTCTTATTAAAATTTACAGAATTTTAAGTTTAAGTTTTTAAATACATTTATGAAAAAGGCATGCAGAACTTTTTTATTATGGCTTTCCCTCTGAATATGACATAATAAAAGTTTTGAGAAATAGAGGGGTGTTGAATATGATTTTTGCACCATAATGAAAATAAAGGTGAAAATAAAAGTGAGACAAAAACTTTCCTACTATATTATAGAAAGACTAAATTCAGAATTATAGGATATTTAAATATCTTGGTTCATAATGTGTACTATAATAATTTTATGAAAACTTTAGATGAATAATTCATTTTGAGATTTGGTGTCAGAATGCAGAATGCAGAATTTTAAATTACTTCATTCGAAAAATGTATAAAATGTACCCAATGTGCTTCCAGATTTAATCTATCTGTTTCTATACTGATGTCAAAGAGAAAAAAAACATTAATACATACTCACAACAATTTGCTTGTGATTTTGAGAGTGATGACATGTGAAGAGTGATTTTGATGACTATGCTGTGTTTGTAATTTATTGTCTATATAAGTAGAACATACACAGAATTTTTTGTTTGTAATGCATTTACCACATATTGGTATAAGTGCTATTATTTATGAAATAAAAAAAGTGAAACAAAAATGAGTGTTGCTTGGCCACTTTTCTTTTAGACAGTCATTCATAAGAGAGATATGAGGATTAAGGAATGTTTCTCCCTCATGCAAAGCTCTGATTCCTTGCCTGACTTTGGCTATACTTTTTTGTCCTTTTTGGTTTAAAGCTCTTCATCTTTTTAATAATCTTTGGATTTTCAAATGTTTTGGCCTCGAGCATCACTGAACAGACATTGATTGTCGAAATACTCATCTGATGCAGAACAATTGGTACCGTTTATGTTATAACTGACATGTAAGAAGCCAATTCAATGAATGTTTAGTGTAAAATTAAAAAAAAAAAAAACCCCGACATTTGATGAGTTTCCATGGCATTACAAAGACTAACTTCACATCTCCTTAAATCATGGATTATTTCATTTGACAGAATATTCTTTTTTGGTGGGATTAATCAAGACCCAAATTTTCACTGAAGAAAAAAGAAGAGGTATTAAATTATTTGAAAATTCAGTGGATATTGAGTATAATTCTAGTGTAAATCCAGGATTAGAGGGAACAAAATAAGCCTTTTGGGGCCTGTTAAGGTTAAAAGCATGTCCAAGACAATGCTAAGTCAAGGGGTAGCGGCTGGTGCTCCTTCTTTTGTCTGTTCCTGTTATTTAAGTATTCATTTTACAGTTATCTCCTTGTATAGATAAGGTTTAACAGATTAAATCATTGAAGGGTCAATACCCAGTGGTATAAATAGTTATCAAAGGTACCAAGCTTATAATTTAATACGCCAGACGCGCGTTTCCTCCTATTTAGGACTCATCAGTGATGCTCAGATCAAAATAGTAATAAAGCCAAACAAGTATAAAGTTGAAGAACATTGAGGACCCAAAATTCCAAAAAGTTGTGCCAAATACGGCTAAGGTAATCTATGCCTGGGATAAGAAAATCCTTAGTATCTCGATTAATTCATACTTTTGCAAACAGTTAATTTATAAAAATGACCATATAATTGATATTCATGTCAACACCGAAGTGCTGACTACTGGGCTGGTGATACCCTCGGGGACGAAACGTCCACCAGCAGTGGCATCGACCTAGTGGTGTAAATAGTTATCAAAGGTACCAGGCTTATAATTTAAAAGGTGGGAAAAAGACATCACATCAAAACCTCCCTGGTGGAATGAGAGTGTCAAAGAGATGAAACGAAACCTTAACAAATGCCAAAGAAAATTTAAGCATAAAATCACCCCAGAAAATTAACTCTTGTCAGTGGAAGCACAATTGGAAAATTGGAAAATTACGAAATTGATGCTCAAAATAATTGGTCTGAAAATCTATGTGATTAAAAAGGGGAAGTTAAATCGCTTAAAGAAGAATGGTCAAACAAAAAAAAAAAACTCACCAAAAACTTTAGTACTAACATTTCAGGAGGAAACAAACGAAATTGTATTTGATGTAAGTAAAAAATCAGATAAACTAGAAAAGACAATCCTTGGTGGTCATCACCTAAAACATGAAACCTTTGATAAAGAATTTCAAAAACAAATTATGGAAGAAAACATTGACTTATGCAACACAGTATCCCAAGAGGAAATGGAACATCCAAAAGTTAATGATTACACTACCATGGAAGAGTTAGAAGGGTCCATTTATGAATTAAAAAGCGAGTCTGTACCAGGAGCAGATTTTTTCTTTACAGAATTTTACATAAAAAGTGGACTTAAACTAAAAAGAAAATTATTTGATATTATCAACCAATCGTGGGAAGAGGGAATAATACCAGTAAATCGGAGAAGGGCTAATGTAAACTTCATAAAATTAATATTTACAAAATAAATTATAATCTATAGCATCATCATACAGACCTATAAGTTAAACAAGTGTTAGAGCCAAATTAATTGAGAGAATACTTACTTATAGATTAGAATGGTGTGCTGAAATTTACAATATACTTAGACTCAGAACAGGAGGGTTTCCGTAATTTTAGATCTATAACACGTGCACTGCTATCTCTAACACGAGATAAATTTAATGGTTTCAACAAATCAAAATCAACAATAACAGTTTTCATAGATTATGAAAAACCATATGACAGTGTCTGGAGAGAGGGACTTATGGTAAAATTATACAGAAATGGAATAAAAGGTAATAAGTGTAATTTGATTAATGCATCCCTTAACCGCAGAGAAGCTAGATGTTTGTTAAACAAACATAAATGACCATGGTTTCATACTAGCATAGGATGTCCTCAAGGATCAGTAATTTTTCCCATCCTTTTTTAACATATTCATTAATGACAAATTTAAACAGTCATAGCAGATAAGTGTGAGTTTGCAGATGATGCTTCAATTTGGCATACTCATACAGATAGAAAAATAGCAGAACAAAAATTACAGGAAGATCTTAACAATATAACAAAATGAAGCAGTCAATGGAGAATAAAACTAAGCGTTGAAAAAACAGAATATTGCATATTTTCAAGACAACAATGAAATGAAAAGAATAAAGTTCATCTAACATTAGGTAACCGAAACCTTCAATATAACACAAATCCAAAATCCTAGGAATAAGACTGGATGAAAAACTTAACTTTAGTAACCTCATAGAGTACAGCATTTGAAGAGACAAAAGATCACTTGGAATCATTTGAGAAATAAAAGGTATTGCAAATTTTCCAACTAAAACGTTAACTCAAATATATGGCAGTCTGGTGTATTCAGTATTCAATTATTCAAGCAGCATTTGGCAAATTGGAAAAACAACAAGCCTAAATAAAATTAATGAAGTTCAACGCAAAGGATTAGCCATGTGCCTAGACCTCCCATTACAGTCACGTCTAGAAACTGTAGAAGTAATAAGTGAAATATGACCAACTGACCTTAGAAGATAAATAATGACCATCAGACAATTTGCAATAATTAACTTGTACAAAACACTGTACCAATTAAAAGAAAATTAGAATTTTGGAAAGAGGAGGAAGAACCAGGATTATTTCTATCCCCACTAAGTAAAAATACCAACAAATTGAAAATTTGAAAATATCAGAAAACATAGATGTATGAGATGTGGAACCACAGCACAATTTTCAGGGGCTTATTTCAACAATCCATGCACCAGACTACAGGAGAAATATGGGCAGTTCTAAGACAAAAACAAAACAAGAAGCAGAAGAAGGCAAACAATTGATACTAGATCAACTTAATATACAGCCAACAAAATCAGCTGTTGCATTTACAGATGGTTCCTGTATGAGAAATTCTGGGACCTGTGGATCTGGTGCTATTTTATATTTCAAAAATGAGGAAATCAAAGAAAAAAGGCTGTATCCAAACGTGGTTCAATTCTTCTTGCAGAGCTCATTACTATCAAAATCGTTCTGGACCATTTAACCAAAATAAACTACCCTGATTTGGAAAATTTAATAATTTTTTTCAGACAGCCAAGCTGCACTCGGAATTGGAAAAGTGAAATTTATCACCAATCAATTAAAAAAATAAAAGGTAAAATTGATTATTAAAAAAATCATGGAATTACAGTAAACTTAAATTGAACACCTGGCCATGCAAACATCAATGGTAATAAACTAGTAGACCAACTAGCTAAAGAAGCTACGAAAGCTAAAAATGGGAAAAAGGATAACGGTTACACCGGGAGACATAACTTCAGGTTTCAAAAAGAAGTCAAATATAAAGTAAAACGCCCCCCTCCTTTGTTCGCACACAAAAAAAAACAAACAAAAAAACTCATTTTTCTCACGCTTTATAAGATTTTTTTTAGCATAAAATTGTCCAAATTGATTTTTTTTTCGCCTCGATACGCTCGCCAATGTATATACAGTTTCATCAAGTTCCACCCCTTTCGAAAATCTTCGATCAGCAACTAGTAAATAACTCACATTCTTAGTTGTGTATAATACTGATAGCAGACCTTTTTATTTGCTCGTTGGTATATGAATCTGTCCATAAATCTTTGAATCGTGAAACTGAAATCATATATATGTTCCAACGGTATATAAGAAAAAAAAAATTAATATCATATACTTGTAAGTTAAGTTATTGAGAAATCAGTCCTAAACCAAAAATTATGCCTGGCCACCCAGATTTTAAATGGCTTCAACCAGAGATATGTCACAGTTTTATAGAGAATCCATGTTTCAAATAATAGTATAAAATATGAAAACAACACGTTATTAATTGCATGCGTACGAAGCGCTTTTCTGGATGTACCTTCATCGGGAACGCTCAAAGCCGAATATTTGAAAGCCGAGGATGTATAAGAACCGAAACATTTGAAGAGCTATATTACCAAAAAGAACATAAAAATAGCCAAATCCATCTAAGGTCAACTTTGCCAGAGGGAGTTGAAACCATAGTTTCTATATAATTTTAAAATCTATATAAGCGGTCAATTTTAAAAGGGTTTGTTATTAATCATGTCAGTACCGAAGTACTGAGCTGATCATACCCTCGGGGACTGATAGTCCACTAGCAGAGGTATCGACCCAGTGCTGTAAAAATGAAAACAAAACGTTATAAATTTCATGCATCTGAAGCGCTTTTCTGGATTTACCTTCATTGTCTTGTAAAATTACAGATACATGTAGTTTGCATTAGCTTCCATATCTGTTCTGACACTATCAGATACTAGTTTTGAAGTTTTTTGTTTGACAAATAAAGGCAACAGTAGTATACCGCTGTTCGAAACTCATAAATCGATAGAGATAAAAACAAATCCGGGTTACAAACTAAAACTGAGGGAAACGCATCAAATATAAGAGGAGAACAACGACACAACAAAAACACAACATTAAAATGTAACACACACAGAAACGAACTATAATATAACAATGGCCATTTTCCTGACTTGGTACAGGACATTTTAAGAAAAAAATGGTGGGTTGAACCTGGTTTTGTGTCATGCCAAACCTCCCGCTTTTATGGCAACGTCAAACACAACACCAAAACGACAACATGACAAAACCGGTGATGGAAGCACGACATAACGCATTCGAGAGGAGCGAGTTACCACGGGACC